CAACCTCTGCGCCCCGCTCCGTCAATTTCTTGAAGGTGAGACTCTGAAACAGTCCGCTCACACCTCGCTCTGACATTTACAGTCGAGTGAGTCACAGTTGTTTTCCTCTCTGTTTGCAGAGGCAAAGCTGTGAGGGGTCAAGAGGTGAGGATGACATCTTCTTTCTCAGACTTCAGGGCTCCCTTTGCTCCTATCAGCCAGTGCAGGAGCCTTCATGGCTGAATCCTCTCTACTATCTCCTACTTCAAAACTCACAGCAGTCTCTGTCTGCTTCTTGACCTCGTCTTAAATCCTATCAGAACTGGGATAAACAACCACAGACTCTATACTTCCAAAGTGTTTGCGTGTTTCCCACTCTAATACGAATGTGTTTTTCCCCTGGTGTGGAACAAACATTTAATTGCATGCAAAAAGGTATAAATTTTTCACAGAGAATAACACCACAATTCATAATGCAGAATCTCTGAAAGTAATGTTGCATTCATCTTTTATGAAAGCAAAACCAGATTAGTCAGCACACTCTGAGTGATCCGTAGCTCCCAAAGTGGACCAATGAGGGAAAAGCTGCCCCCTTTTAACTACACAGCAGACGGCCCAACCCAGAATATTAGGTAATGTGGGTTCTGGCAGGGGTCCAAAATAATATTAATGTAGAGTGAAATTTTTGAGGTGAAACAAACAAGTCTTCAATGGTTGTCCTGGCAACAGATGTTACTGTTATCATGATGTCATCTAGATTTCCTTTTTTTTTTTTTTTTAAAGAATTTTATGCTGCGTTCCAGTTACCTCGGAAGTCAGATGTCAGAGCTGGGAATGACGCTACATCCCGAGTTGACGGCGTTCCAGTTAACAAGTCGGAATACCAAGATGGATGCCTACAGTTAGCCGTTGTTAGCTGTTGTTTACAATTGTCAGCTGTCGTTAGCCATTGTCAGCTGTTGCTGTTGTTAGTTGTTGTTACCTTTACCAGTTGTAAACAGCACATAATACAGTATTTTACTCTTACAAACACCATAGCACTGCGTTCACAGTTAGACGTTGGGCAGTACAACATATACTACTTATTTAATTAAAAAAAAAAAAAAATAGAAGCGCTAATAATGCTGCATTCCACTTGTACTCGGAAGTCGGGATTTCCAAGCTCTGAGTCGGAAATTCATCCGGAACGTCCCCCTGAAGTCGGATTTCCAACTCGGAAAGTCAGACAATCCACGCCAACCCCGACTTGACGACAACGTCATAATTCAAGATGGCAGCACAATGCATCAACAGTAAGGAGTAACAATAAAGTCTCTCTCAATGTATTATTTATAAGCACTTTTGTTTTGTTTTTGTGAAATTAGATAAGAGGTATATGTTGTACTGCCCAACGTCTCACTCTGAACTCAGTGCTATGGTGTTTGTAAGAGTAAAATACTGTGTTGTGCGTTTTTTACAACTGGTATTGCTACTAACAACTAACAACCGCTGACAATTGTAAACAACAGCTAACAACAGGTAACTGTAGGCGTCCATCTTGGTTTTCTGACTTGTTAACTTGAACACCTACAACTCAGGTTGAACATCATTCCCAGCGCCGACATCTGACTTCTGAGGTAACTGGAACACAGCATAAATAATACCTTACGAGAGCTTTCACTGTTACTCCTTACTGCTGATGCACTGCGCTGCCATCTTGGATTATGACGTTGTCGTCGAGTCGGGGTTGGCAAGGATCGTCCAACTTTCCGAATCCAACTTCAGGGGGGCATTCCAGATGAATTTCTGACTCTGAGTTCAGAAATTCCAACTTCTGAGTACAACTGGAGCGCAGCATTAATCGCAGGCCTTTACCGTTATTTTGGAAGTAGTAGAAAGTGAGGGAAAGAGCTAAAAGTGACTTGCCTATCAGCGTGACCCAATGTATATTTGACACAAGCTTATACTGGGCCAGCAGCGCCCCATGTGGTCCAAATTTTCAAAGGGCCTGCGTCCTGTAACGGCAGTTTTGTACTTGTAGCACCATTTTTCTGAACAAAACCAATGATGTTTGCACACTTATGGTCCCAAGAGTAAAAACAGCCTCAGAGCTGCAGTGCATAAACTAGCTAAATCTTTGCACCTGGGCTCACCAGTTTTAAGTTTTAAGCTGCAAGAATCACTCTGAAATTGCAGACAAAAAAGACATTTTGGGGACTTATTTTGCTGTAAACACTCTCTTTTCTTCAGTCTTCGGTCATTTTCCAAAGCATTCACATGGACAGCATGTGTAAACTTTATCATATTTAATTCCATTGTAGCATATTGATGATGACACACAGTACAAAAACAATAACTAGACTTTTTTTTACAACTTGGACCCAGTAAACCCCACAAAAAATATCAACAAAGAACCACATCCGGACTAAGTTTCTCTTTGTTTCATGGTGACAATCACAGTCTTTGTGAGGAAGGACGAAGCTAGAACTGTTAAGAGTTAACGCTCCTCTTTTTTCATCATGAATGTAGTTGTCATATTGTATTTGTATATTACAACACAACATAAAAACAATACAAAAAACACAAAATATGAACCTTTAGCAAGCAAGGGGAACCAGCTTTGAGGAGCAGGACTTCTAGCACATTAATTTACATTTACACAAAAAGTGCTTATAATCACAAGCTAGCTGTCTGAAATGAGCACAGGCAGGTCCTATGAAAAATGCTGGGAGATGCACATGATCTGACAATAGATGGCGCCATTAGTCTCCGCAAAATCCTGTGGGTTTTCCAATGACCTCTTTCTCTCAAATACAAGAGTGAAATATGTGTGTAAGTTTGAATCCTGAAAAATTGAAAAAAAAAAGAGAAATATTTGCCAGCAAATATCCACTCCACTAGAACATGACATTTGAGAAGATTTGGACAGAATGGACGGTGATTCATTCCATTATTTCACTCTTTGAGACAGTGAACATACCCTTTAGAGATTTAATAGAGTGAATCAGCATGAGAACTGTTGTTAAAATCAACTTTTATTGTGTTGTTATTTATTGTAGTCCTTAATTTTGTTTTGGCATTTTCCTTTTAATCATTATGGTCACTCTTTAGGTGATTTCTTTCTTTCTCAACTCTTTTCTTTGGTGTTAGGATTGTAGTCCTCAAGTGTAGGTGACAGAGAGTTGTTCAAACAGGGAACTCTATTACTATTTGTGGATTTTTAAGCTGTTTTTATCCATTTCTGTAATTTTAAGATTTATCAATCGGGAGAAAATAAATCACTGAAAATATCAGTTTTATAAGTCTTATTTACACATATAAAAACAGCATTGTTAAGTTGTGTTGTATCATTAGTTGAGTTTATTATTATGTTCCCAACACATATTTTTTTTTCGGCTTGTTATTTGCCACTCTGGCTTTTTAATTTTATGTGATCATATGGCAAATATCTTACACTTAATTTGAAACATAACTCTAATTTATACCCACTTTTAGTCAAATTGAATTAAAGCCCAACATTGCCACCAACTCTTGAACCGTTTTACAGAAAATAACTGCATGAAATGAACACTACCTTCTTGATAAATATCCTAGAGTAAAAAAAGGAGACTTTGGCACATTGTTCCTGCAATGTTGCAGGTACTAAGGTTACATAAAAGCAAACTTACAGCTGAGTGCTTTAAAACTAGGTCTAAGCAATTAGGCCATAAGCAAATTACTTTACATTCAACAAGAGAGACAAAAAGAGCAGTCTAGCACCAATTTTTAGACTGCCAGTTAAAGGGCTTAAGTAATCATAGATTGGCAATTTATATACTTTACATGTCAATTCACATAGATATTGTTTATGTAGGTTTATCAACAGTTTGTATATACACATTCAAACATTATCTGACAATGACACATATTCAACATTTGATCTTTTTTGGACCGATTTGGCTGAGTTATGATACAAGTACACACACACACCCAAAAAAATCCACATTTAGCAGCAATTACCATTACGTACAACTCAGAATCTCCTTGTTGTTAAAAAAAAAAGAAAATAAGAAATTAAATTGTAAGAAATGACAGAAATAAATTCCTATCGTTCTCCACTGATACATGAAGACTCACTATAAAAAGAATACATGGTCACGGTAACATTCGGACACGTTTTTGAGGTATTTCATGTGGGCGTTATTTTTATTTTATTTATTTTTTAAAGGACAAAAACACAAAGGGAAGGAGGAAAAGCACTTTTTTTGGACACCCATGCTAATCACAAAAATGCAATAGGCTCTTGGATGTCAAAGTCTGTACAATAAGGCAGCAGCTGGGCACGTAAACAACAACGCCATTGTGTTAAGTTGCAGGACAAGAACGGGAAATTCATGGACTGCATGGCATCTTCAGATGGATGGATGGATGGATAAAAAAGCAGGCAGCAAGGTGGAATGAAAGGTTAAATTACATGTGAGTTGAAGTGATAGCTTTTTTCTAAGTGGGGTTATATGAGTATTTAATCTTTAAAAAATGTCTAGCAGAGTCGCAGAGTTAATAGTATCTTTTTAGCATGAGTACATATGAAGCCAGCCTCAAGTGGACGCTGAAGGAACTGCAGTCGCATTGCTTCTGTAACTTAATTTCTCAGGACTGGAGTTTGCAGGTTCATTTTATGCAATTGCAATGTTTGCATCCAAAAAGCATTACTTTTCACCACTAAACTGGCATTTATCCGAACGTTGCTAAAAGCTAGTTATATTGGAAAAGGTGTAAAAGCATCTGCATAATGTTCACATCATATAACCCCACTTTAAAAAGAACTATCCCTCGAAGAAGTGATTGTCATTGAAGGGGTCCGATCATGCCAGTTCACCTTGGCAAGCAGCAGCTGTTTTTCTTTTACTTTAGTTAAGGGTAGCTTTAAATGCTGTCACAGTGTTGCACAGTTCATCCTGGTTTCATGACAATACAACATTTTGACAGCATTAACGTTTCCCTACCCTTTGGGCAAAGTCTGAAAAGCACGGCTGCTGTGTGGAAATAATTAGTGGTTGAACTCACACTAGTGTTTCAGGCAGTGCGTCTGCATTGTCCGAGGAAAGCAGTTGCCAGATCTGCCACCGGTCCCTCTGCCAGTCTTGCCACTCTGGCGTATGTGGCACCATTTGGGCCTCTGTCGTTGAAGCTGAGTTACTCTGCCCTGCATTGAGTCTCCCATGCTGCAGGGGGGGCTGCTGAGCTGTTGCCAGCTGAGGTGAACTTTGCGTACCGGCCAGTCGATGGTGAGCATTGTAAGGGGGAGGACTGCGGCTGTCCTTGGGGCAACCATCACCAGTGTTTGCACCACCCTGCGATCTCAAGGCCGGGCTAAGTCCAGGTTCACCTGCTCGGTGTGTGCTGTTGAGGTGTGATGTCACGGGGACGTTGATGTTGAGCTGCAGGCGTGGGCGTCCGACATGAGGGCTGGTACACACCCTGGTGACTGGGGCGTGGGGTCTGAGCTCAGAGACGCCGGGTCCCGTCTGAGTTCGTTGTGGCGTTGTTTGTTGCCTGCCATCGCTGTGCAGTCCATCAAGACCTTCCTGCGAGCTGCGCGAGCTGCCTTCGGACATGTTCCCATGGGAACCTAGAAACACAGCATTGGCCATATCAGAGGAATCAATCACTGCTTGATAAATAAATGGTAAAAGTATTCAAACATGCATCAGGATATTGTTATTCTCATAAATTTAGGACCCTTTAACTTCAAGTAAATCATAAGAAAAAAACCCTTTTTAGGGTTCTTACCACTGACATTAGCCAAGATAAAACCCACTTGTGAGTATTTACAGTGAAACTGAGACTTGCCACCAATAAGAAATGATTGTTTAACCAATCTGGAAGGGTCAAATTTGCTTCTTTCTTTTAACACATTGCCGCTGCTCAAGTGGCTTGTTTAAGTTCAAACAGCTATAGGCTTGAGGTAGTATTTCCTTTGTGTGAGCAACTTTTACTGTCAAACTGAGACTCACCAAAAAAATATTAACCTTTGAATGGCTAACCTTTATTGAAGTGGAAAATTTCAGCTCATTTTGACTTGATCATATAGTTGCCTCCTGAACTGCTGAAACAAAGATTTAAAAAAGGGCATATTTGGTGTGTGCTAGTGCTTAGTAACAGTGAAACTAGGACTCGCCAGATTCAAATCAACCAAAAACAATTGTATAATACAGAGTGATGAATTTCACCTCACTTTAAATTTGCTGATTAAACTTTAAATAATGATAGGTGGTAGGAAGTCTTGCCCTTGGGTGAAAATTAACAGTGAAACTGAGACCTATTCGAAACAAAAACTGTGCCAAACTAGCACTTCATTTTTACCTGTGTATGGCTGGTCCTTAAGTGCTGGTTTCAAGGTAGTGTGCCAAGTCCCCCAAATGTTCGTATGCTCCTCTGATACTGAGTCTGAAAGAACCAAACAGATCTACGTTTCTTCACATGTTGTTACACAGACATAAATGAGTAGAAATCAAAGTCTAACAAACGACAAAAAACAATTTGAGTGAAGTTAGGAAGCGCCTTGTTTCACCTTTATTACCCCAAGTGTCAGCTCCGGGCAGAGTGAAGTGTTCTGGGACGCGGTAGAGCTGCTCGCTGCCCGGACTTCCCTGTTCTCCTCTCCGCTCACTTAGTACAGGCGAGTTATTGTCATAAGGGGACACCTCCCCGCTGGACGCCTTGTTGGAGTCGCTGGAGGAGCGGCGCTCGCTCAGGGTAAAGGGCTCCTCTGTCTGCAGCATGTCAGGGCTCCTGCGGTGAAACGGGGACAAAAATAGAGCCGAAACATGTAGATGCAGAGGCGGAAGCAGCAGGAAAACCACGCAGCAAATGATGAGCGAATCTTACTGTGATGCTTTTCTTCTCAGAAGGTAGTCCACCACATCTGGATCAGTCTCCAAAAGACTCATCAAAACCTCATTTTGCAGATCAGGAGGCACCTAAAAGACAAAGACAAAGTTTTCTATCTTTGGACTCTTTTTGTGCAATATGTTGGATCACATTTAGAGAGTTAAGCACTCAAATGAACTGAAGCTGCTTAAAACAACTTCATACTAAGGTCATGAACTTTTCTAAGAGAGGGATCTGGTGGCAATCATTTTTTGTCATCACAAGGGACACTAACTTGGACACGACATCAGAGTGTACTTGGTTTGAATTAAACTCCACTTGTTGCCTTGGATAAAACCAAAACCCAACTTCTGGTTTCAAACTTTTTCATTCATTTCTCATAATCTTCTTGATTTTATGTCATTTACAAAACTTTTAGAATACAAATAAATGTAGGGGAGAGTGGGGTAAGATGAGCAACTTTTCATATTTCGTATCACTACATCAAGGCAATCATAGTTTTGTCTCTAACTAGTGAATCTGCATATATTTCAAGATTTTGTGCATCTCTGCACCAACAGAACTGTCTTGAAAATATAGCATGCCAAAAAAAAGTGGTCTCCTATGGTCAACTTACCCCGTGGATGGGGTAAGTTGAATCCCACTCTGCACCCCAGCCCTCCCTCACCTTCTTTCTCCCTAAATAACAGTCACTTCTTCACATTCATGTTTATTTTTATCTATTTTACGCTTTTCAACTGGTACAATAATTCTTTTTATTATTATTGGATATGACTGCTAAAAAGCTGTTTTGTAAAAAGTCATTTTAACATGAGAATAACTTAAAGTGATTCAGAACATTCACAGCTGTATTTTAGAAAAGAAAAAGTAAAACATTTCAACAATCTGAACTGAAACTCTGATCCTCTCATCAGACTTCTTTACTTTCTCACTTGAGATACTGGCTCAACTTACCCCAGAACCCCAAACAGAATTTATTAGTCCTCTAAGCTAAAATGGTGGACTTTTATTCTAGGTTTTTGACCTCATGTTGTAGCTCATAGATACCACAATTGATGTATAAAATAAATTTAAAATGATCTTTTTTTGGTCTGAACACAATTCTAATAAAACTTATGACAGACTAAATTCACTTTCAAGAGTGAAAAATGTTTTTTTGGAAATCTCCTAAATAGATTTCCTAAATATTTGGTCACATGATCTTTTTATTTTACCATTTCCAAGCAACAGGGGGTGGCTCAATGTACCCCATTCTTCCCTATTCCTATATGTTCTACCACCAAATGTGCAAGCTGCAGGAAATGAATCTTGTTTTCCTGGTTGCTGAAATTTCTCGCCATTTTCCTCTGATTCGTTAAAATGCACCTTCATGACACTGACCATTTACGGTGAAACTGAGACTTGCTAGAAACAAATTAATGGGGATGTCACCACAGAGATTTCATGTTTGACAATAGATCATAGAAAACCATTTTGTATCGTGACCTGGAGTTGTGTCCCTCTAATAAGTCTCAGATTCACTGTAAATAGTTACACAAAGGCTTTACGGTGGAAAAATTTCAGTATCTACGTTTGGACTCATGACACCTTTGGATAGGAGTTATGAAAACTTGCCAGACACCTTCTACTCCAGATTTTAATCCTCAATTGCTTTGATAGCAGAGTTTGCCAAACATAAGCGTGTTACGAAACAACTTTCAGATATCATTCACGGAACTTGAAACCACCTACAAATCTGTTTTCACTCAGGAAGGCTGAGCTAGTCATGCCCACTTCACAATATGTGATTAATACGTCTTTATTGGCTTACAGGAGGAATGTGAGCCTTGGGGGACTGGCAGTGGCAGATTACAAAACATCATGGTTTAAGGTTTCGGACCCAAAGTGACCTGAACTGCCTGTCTGCACTGTTTGAGAACAAAGAGGAACAAAAGCAACTGATGAGGCGTTAATCCGTGCAAAATCGTGCCCTCTTCTGACACCACGAGAAGGATTTCATGCTTGAATTTTCTGCTTTTATTTTGGAAAGAGAAACTTTAACAACCTCAGTGAAGGGCACTCATTGTTTTTGTCAGCCAGCTGGCAGGATTCAACCTTTTTTTTATATCTTTTTATAATGTTATCAAAAGAATTCAGGTATGATTTGTCCAAAAAACAGTCGTCATCCGCTTGTCATCTTGAATTGTCTTTGTTTCCCCCGCTTTCTCTCTTTATTGTCTCTTTTATGAGTCTGTTTTCTTTTCACAAAGACCCAACCATTGTCTGCTGAGCCAAGAGGGATCATCTTACCTTAAGCCCACACAAGAATCCTAGAGGGAAAGTACGTGTTTAGCGGAGGAGTGAGTGATTCAGTGGCGGAAGCAAGGGTTACTGACCATGAAGAGGGTTTGGTAGCTGGCGATCATCCTCTGGAGCACTGCAATGACGGCTGTACTCTCCTCCGCCCGGGCTGTGCTCTGGACACTGAACTCTTTGTCCGAGCTCTTCTGCTTGTGGAGCAGGTTCGGGCCAAAGATGGTGGCCAGGTTCAACGATGTCATCTTGTTCCCAGTGATCTGCATTTGGAAAGATAAATCAGAGGAATTCGAATAAGTGAGTTTTAAGAACCTGGACAGGGGTCGACCAATACAGATTTTTCAGGGTCAATATTGATAATGAGTAGTCCATGGGACCAAGAACTGATTTTTGGAACTAATGCTAATGTCACAATTTAAAGCTTAGATTATTGCACTCCAACATATAAACCTTGTTTCATATCCTTGAATGCTGAATATCGGCCCACTTATTGGCCCAAACCATCAACCAGTTGACCCCAACTCACCACATTGGTTTTATTTTTAACCCCAGAGGTTGGCATTCATTAAAAATGCAGAGTTAACAAGAGCAGGACCAGATGTAAGAACTGGAAGTTGTTTGGTTTCTGTTTGTAGCACAAAACATTGACTAGTTTTAAGGGTGTTTAGCTGTATGAGGAACACCATTCATGCTTTTAAATTTGCTATTTGCGGTGTGTGTTCTCATTAGAAAATGGGGAAGACTCGCCAAATTAGACTCGCTAATTATAATGTTGTTTTAGAGAAAAAAAGTATTTAGTATGAAGACATAAAATCACAGCCGAATAGCGTTTAAACTTGTTGCCACAGAGCTTTAAGTCTCAAAATAACAAGCATCTGGATCTCTAAGAGAGCTGTTTTACATCCAGCAGACTGCATGATATTTTAATTGTTATGTTCTTTGAATAGAAGTGCTTCATTTGCATATGATTATTCTTTAAATTATGTTTTATTCAGATCATGATAGTAGTTTTTTAGGACGATAACATTCCTAGAAGTCTTGCAGTCGTGGCCACAAAAGCAGGAATGACTGATAGATACTGTTACGGATCTTTTAAGGGACTCTGGTGGATCTTTGTACATACAGTCTACATTGTCAGAAATCTCAGCGTCGGAGAGCATTTAGCTTGATAAAAATGGAATTATGAATCAGAAACAACGTCAGTGTTCTGCTGCGAGAGATATTTCCTCTCCCTTCTTCTGACTCATAATCTCTCCTGTCTTGTCCAGTCCTTTCTTACATCTCCATCCTCTATCCACCCTCTCATGTTGTTTTCTCACCTCTCCCCCGACCATTCTGTATCCCTGTCACGTCTGCCCTCTCTGGTTTTGTCACTCAAGCACATGGGGTTTGTTAGCGCTAAAAGTGTTGCAGTGTTACAGCTGAATCCGTCTCCTCGAGAGCTGGCTGATGCTTTGCATCCTGTGACACAGCTAGCAGCTGAAGTTACAAGCTCCTCAGCGTATGGACAACATTTTCAGTGATCACTTCATTTTTCTGATTCTTTCCCAGTTTCCTCCCTTACCACTCCCAGTCCCAGAGGAGAGATGGGATCCACTCGTGGCTGAAAGTATTTAAGTGTTTCTTTTTGCCAAGTGCGAAAAGCTCCTACTTCCCGTCACGATCTCAGATGCAGATACCGCAGCCGCTGAGTCGTGAAGGGACGCAGAAACAACAAAACATACTTCCATCTGTGCATAAACCTGCCAAAACACACCCTCTGCTTCTCTCACATATACACATTCGAGGAAAACATTCCCTTAGAGAGGCGAGATTCACACCTAAGTGAAGTTTCTCTTCTCACACACATGCTTGAGTCCATGTGTCCGTGGTTCAGGAGTCAATTACAGTAATTTGAGTTTGGTGTGTCCACTCAAAGGAGAATAAATACTCTGGTGCTGAAGCTATAAGGAGAACAAACAACCTTATTTTTTTATCTCTATCATGAAAGACAAATACAACTTAATAATCAACACCAGAAATAGTCATTAGCTGAGCAACAAGAGTGGCACTTTGCGTAAGGACAGAGGATGTAAGCGTCAGCCTCAAAAGTTGGGGCTTTCAAAGACTAGGTCCCTCAAAAGTTGGGTCCCTCAAACTCAATGTCCTTTTGAAGGCTTGGTCCTCCAAAGACTGCAGCCCTTACACTGGGACAGCTAAACAAGCAGTCTGCTATTAAGCACGTCGCCCTGTTGCGGTCCTCAAATTCGCAGCCTCAGGTTAAGCCATGTCATTCCTCACTCTCTTCCTTATTTACAACATTATCCACTCTTCCATGAACGGTTCTCAGATGTCTAAAAAAGTGATACCCCAGACAAGGAAGATCAAGGTTTTTAGGTCTGGTGAACGGCAGCTCCCGTGATTTCAGATATCTCACTATAGCGCCATAAAAAGGCATCAAACTGTCTTTACTAGAGCTGTGAAAAACATGGAAAGAGATGATTTGTGCTGTTTCAGGCCTAATGGGCCTGGAGAAATACAAAACCACTCAGAGTGGTTCTTATCACTCCAGTGCTAGTTTCCTCCAAATGAGGTGGAAACACAAGGACAGGGTTTGCACGTGTTTGCGGGCGACTAAAAGCAAAACAACCTTTTGGATGTTTTTGGACTTCTTGTCCTTATTTGAGACCTTGGTTTTGGATTCATTTGAAGGTTTCCCTGAATCATATTTCCTGTTTTGTCAAAGCTGGAGCTCACCTCTTGTCCGTCTTTGTCCAGCCGGTCTTGAGCGTGGTCGGTCACAGTGGACAGAAACTCCAGGAGGCGATGGAGGGTGTTGCTGTTGCATGCTGGGAGCAGGTAGACTAACAACTGACTAACAATCTGCTGCTCATCGGAATCCAGCACTGTAACACAGGTCAGGATGGATTCATTAGAAGACGAAATTAAAAAAAGGAGTAAAAGATGAGAAGAAGGCGATGCCTACATGTGGTGTTGATGAAGGCTGTGTAGAGCTCCTTGGTAAGAAGAGGGTCCGGCATGTCTCTGAGGAACTCCTTCAACAGAGCTGCCACATCGTGAATGCTATGCTCTTCATCCAGCTGGACGTCAATGCCGCGATCAAACTCCTCACGAAGCTGAAAGAGAGGAAGGAAGAAAAAAGAAAGAGAGGAAGAGGGGGTTTAGAAATATCAAGATAACATCATTTGAACATCATATTTACGTTACTTACTAATGAATATCAATACTAATAACATATTTGTTTGTATTCACTGGAACTAGATATTAGAGATGACTGAAATATCCATTGCATGAAAACAGTAGCAACAGCTAGAGAGGAAGTTTTAGCACGTTTGACTTCACAAAAACACTTTCTCGGATAAACAGTGTTGTTTATCTCACAGTCTATTCTTGGCAAGGCGGTTTTCTTTGTTGCTGTTGACTGCCATGGTTTGAAAAGAAAGTGTGAATGACATTGAACACATTAGTCATTCCAAATTCTGCAAATATAGACTCTGGTTTGTTGTTAAAAGACATGAGAGGCTACTTCAGGAAATCAGAGTAGTGAAATAAGCAGTTGGTTTGATGAGGATGGAAATGACGTGGGTTGTTCAGTATTACGTGAACATGAAATAGGAAACTCGTGGTGGGCCAGAATTGGTTGAAAGTGGACAGTTTGGGGCTATTTTGTTATTATGGGCCATTGAGAGGCTCCATATGTTTATATAGGGACCTTATTATTGTAATCTAGAACCACTGGTAGTACATATCCATGGCCAAGACTTTTTAGCCCCAATGTTCCAAAGGGTTCCAACTGGTTCAGCCAAAATCTGTTGATGTAGGACCCTTAACTGCTCACTTTAGGGCTCATGATCTATTACTGATGACCAAGTGGTAATACAATAATAGGGCGTAGTCTACTTTGTCCTCAGTTTCTGAGAATCCTCCACATGGATCAACCAAGCTGTGTTGATATGGTTCCCTCCAGGTCTATACTGTACCCCTAAGTAGTTAGCGGCAATACAAATCATGACCCAGCCCAAATGTCCCGAGTCTGGCAGGGTCCGTAAAGTATTACAAAAGTCTGATTGGGAAGACACATTTAGGACCCTCACTTACCAAAGAGGCTCCACATGGACTAGCCAAGACATGTGAAGAATGAGCCATTAAAACGTTCCATTTAAATTGGAAAAGCTAAGAGAAACCTTCCAGTATCTTTGTGTCTAATCAAAATCACTCACTTGTCGGACTCTTTTCTTAGAGCTTCCCACTCGAAAGATCCCCACAGTCTGCAAACCTGAGTAGAAATGGAAACAAACTCCAAAACTTCAGGATGACAGCCAAAAATTACCTCAAAGATCTATTAAAGTAGCACCAGAGAACAGCCGCTCACCGTATTTTTCAATGTGCTGACAGCAGCTGTCGACCACCCGTGGCACCTGCCGGTAAATGGGATTGAGGCTCAGCCTCTTGTCCCGGTGCTTTTCCTTTTTACTCGGCGTCTCAGTGGGCAGAGAAAGCTGCAGGGCTTCCAGCAGACGGGACTGGTTGTCATCCAGGTCTGTGATGGAGTCTACTGACATGCCTCCCTGTAGGTTGGAAGCACATTGTATGCAGATGGTTTAAACTAAAGAAAACAACCAATTCCTGGTCTCGAGCTCAGACTAGGATTAAGCACGGCTTTGTCTTACCCTCCTGCGTGCTCGTGGTGCAGCCTCAGGCGTGTTGGGTGACGTTGACTCATTGGCTGTCTCAGATGTAGAGCTCAAAGACGAGTTGCTGCTTGATAATTCCTTATTGGAGGGCCTTTTAGTGGCGAACTGCAGGGTGGACAACCCCAGAGATGGATCAGGTTTTTGGCTCATAAAGCACAATTTTTCTGATTCAATAAATCTGTAAACTGACCTGTATAATGGACGATACAAGGTCAGAGGAGTCCTTGTGTTCCTCACGCTGTGGCGGGTCTTGGCGATAGCCGTCCTGTCGCTGCCTATGTGTTCTGTCATTGGCGATGACCTGGGACAGCGGTATACTAAAGGCCTGGGGTATGCATTCTGGGATACAAAGGGGACAAAGGCAGAGGGGGAAAGAGGAGGAAGAAAGAGAGGGAAATGAAGACAGGAAGGGACAGGGATTTGGGTAAAATTGGAATGACAAGAAAGTTAATGAAACTAAATAATGAAAGCAGAAAACAAGGCTCCAAAATTAGCTCTTTAACTATGTGAACCCTCAGGAAGAACTTCAAAGACATCTCCTAAACTCTTTATTACTCTCTGATAAAAGCCTCTTAACACATTTACTTTGTCAGTAAAACTCTAACGGCGCTACAACATCTGTTTTCCAAAATAAGACATCACAGAAAGAAAGTTTAAGCTTTGACAGACCACTAATTTAAGCCCTCTTGACCATAATAGCACAACTTTGATGATTCCCAACCGCAAGCAATGTCTAGTTCTCCGTGCAGGCTGATTTTAGAAGCCTCAGCACTGACACATCACAGCTAACATGCTATCTAGCTGCTTTGTATTCATTTCCACTCGATTTACAGAATGACGAGAGGCAGGATGGAGTTTGTTTTGGCACGGAGATGCAAGCAACGTAGCTAAGCAAAAGTTTACACAGAAGAATTGCAATCAACTCGGGGCTTGTTGTAGGTACAAGCAGGGCTGGATGATGTCATGCCGGGCCACCGTGGACTATATTTTCTGTTGGAATCCCAGCGTTGTAGCCAACAGCTGAGAAAAAAAACAGCCCAGCTGCTCGGTGGATATGTGTGTGGGCAAGAGGCGAGGGGAAATAGAGGGAGAGAAAGCAAAATGCATTCCACAACCACAAGTGAAGCTCTGCGGTTCACGAACAACACGACCGCTAACACTGTGACACAATGAATTTGTTCTGTAGCCTTGCAACATCAACACGGGCTTATGTAACCTGCGCAAAACCATCCACATTTATACAATCTGGATCACATAATGTGCGACTCATTGCCAATCGTATGTACAGCACTGCAAAGAACATCCGCGGCTTGGCTGCTTTTATTAAGTCATATCAGATTTTCATAAATCGATGTTTTCCTGGCCCGCAGCCTCCAAGTTGTATAGATTTGACATGTTCAGATTTTCTCTTGACATCAAACTTTTCTAGGCACACAATTAAAGATATGCAAATACTAGATTGCTCATATTAAAACTGAAAAATGTTAATGCCAATACTGGATGGTTGTGATCTGAAGGACTGCAGTAAAAGTAGACATGGCTCAGTAGTGGAAATTGCTGCATGGGCCGAAAAATCACTTCCAAACAATTGTTTAGATAATCAGATCATAGTAGATTATTATCGGATTTTTGCACGTAGAATTTAATTAAGGTCTGTTGCAAAACCTTAGATAATGCAATTCACTCTTTGTACCCAATGTTCTCTTTGAATAAAACAAAAAGACAGGCTTGTGTCAAAGCAAAACAGTGAGGTATTTATTTTTTTTCATGAACCCTGGGAGTAAATTAAACTTGGAACCAATTTGGCAGGTTCGACCACATTTCCATCTGAGCCATCTGCTTAGGAAGAGCAGAGCCAGACATGTACTGTAGAAGGAGGGAAAACGGTGAGTTCTAGCTGTCATAAACGAATCCTGAGTTCCTTTATGTTATATAACATATAAAACTCTGAGAGAACTTTGTTTTGGAAGTTTGCTTCATGAAATTCCTCAACTGTATGCCCTAGGTTACGGGCAAATATACTACCAGCTGCCGCAGTTGCTGTAGAAAATATCCACTTCAGTTTGGTTAAGGCATGTGAATTATTCCCAGACATCACAGCTGTAGCATACTATAACAGCCAGATCATATTTCCAATATTACACTCAAGGCTTAGCAGCTGTTTGTGGGACTTTTCACAGCGTTTAGTAATAATTACAAGGCTGGCAAAGATAGAACTGAAATAATCTGACTGAGGTATTTTTCTAATAATGGTTACACAACAGCTACATTTGAGTAAGGACAACTTTAGTCAGAGAGAACTATTTATTTGCATGTAGTTGGTTATAATTGGCAGTGTGTGGATGCAGTGTGGAATGAGGATGAAGAGGGTAGAGTACACCTCCCCAACTGTAGTCAAACAGATCATTATGCTTATACAAGGCAGGGAGAGCAGCAGCAGCAAAGACCCCAGGTGTGTAACTGTCTGGATCCCAGTGTGCATGGCAGTTGGTATTAGCTAAAAACAGCTTTGCCTAAGCAAAATTCTGCTCTAGTGCAGTCATTTTTGACATTTTCTGTATATATTTATCTCACTCAAGGCCTGAGATCAGCAGCTTTCTTTGATAATAAAAGGGAGTTTATCTCCCAACTTCTCTGCCATTGCACTCACTTGAGATGTTTCTTTCTTTTTGGCAAATATTCTTGACTTAGTGCAGCAGAGTGACTGCTTCTCAGAGCCAGTCCCCTTACAAGGAGTCCCTTTACTTAAGCTAAATATAAACTGTCAAAGCCCAGTAAACAGAAACTGTTTTTATAACCTCTCTGTTCACCTGCCTGAGGGGCGGAGACCACAGACTGGCCTTCTGTCTCACTGCCAGGAGACAGCAGTGTTTAGAGTTGTGACAAGGCAAGAGAAAAAAAAGAGGAGGAGAAAGAAACCCCTGTGAGCTTGAGTTTAAAGAACGTGGCGTACCTTTGTCTTTATTCTTCTCTTTGGAAAGCGAGTCCAACTTCCTCCTCAGCGACTTTTTCCTCTTCTGTCCATCTGTGCCGGAAAAAAAACAAGAAAATAAATCATGTGTAGCAAATGGTTTCCATATCTGCAGTGTCCTATCTCGCATATATCTAATAAGCTTTCATCAGGAATGCAGACCCAGATTAAGCACAGGGGGAAACCTGTCTATGAACTCAAATCCATTTAGCTGAAATGTCAGACAGGGTCGGCTCTCGTATTAGTCAGCAGATGATTGTGTTAAGTGGCTAAAATTTGTTTATCTGCACAAGCTGATGTGTGTATCGGCTTTTCTTGGGGTAGATAAGGTCCTGTGATGCTTACATGACTTTTTATTGGGTTTTTTGACCAGGTTTCTCTTGAAAAATATGTTTTGGTTCCTAAAATTACTAAACTGATCAATTACCTTCTGTGGTCAGAGCTCACAGGTAGAGATGTTTGTTACCGTGTTTTATTTTCTAACGCTGATACAGAAACTGATATATCAATATCACTAGCAGTTACAATCCCAATACTGATATCAACACTCATACTATTATTGATATTTTTACCAACACAGATACAAATATATTTTTATATTGGTGATACTGACGATACTGATACCGAAACTGATACTCACACTAGTACAGGCAGTAACATGGATACAAATGCTGATACTGGTTCAGTATTGGTATTAATTATGGCTACAGTCCCAAAACTGTGATCAATACTGATACCGCGACTGATAATGACTCTGTTACCGATAACGATATTGATATCTGTAGTATTAATGATACTGATCAAAACACTGAGACCAGTACTGATATTGACATCAACACTGAGACCTGTCCTGATACCGATATGGTAATGATATTGGCACTGCTACTGATACTGATACTAACATGCATATCGATAATGGTAAGTCCCAGTGCTGATGCCTCTACTGATTCGGGTGTCAGTACTCATACTTACACTTGTGCTAATACTATTGTAGATTATGATATTGTCATTGATATTGATGCAGGTACTGATACAGATAGCAAAACTGATAACAATGATTCAGCTACTGTTAACAAGTCTGGTACTGATAACAATACTGATACTGATAGAAATACTAGTTCTTATAAGGATATCGGCATCTAAGTTGGTACTGACACCAAAACTGATACTGATAGAGATATTAGTTCTTCTGAGGATATTGTTATCTATGATATAGCAATGTTAACTATGTTGGTAATGATACAGATACTGATGCTGATACAGATACCAGTATTGATTTTAATATTGATCATCCCCAAAAATAAATAATACCAATACTGGCAGTTATACCAACACTACTGATACTATTACCAATACTAACACTGATACCAATATTGATATTTATACAAATACTGATTCTGATTACAATGATGATATTTATGTTGCTGTCATAATATATTGTTTTATTATGTAGGTTTCTGATTTGGTGAAGAAGAACAAATATTTGGGAGACTATTGAATTATCGAATTGTAATGGTGCTTTAACTGATATACTAATAAAAACTGACGCTATATTTGAGGCTATCCCTGAGGTGTTTCTGATACTGCTGCCAGCTAGCTCAACACTACAGTACTAACATGGTTTAACAAGATGACAAGCTCTGTTTGCAAACTAGAAGGCAAAGACATTTGATCTGCCTGAATCAGAAACAAGACTTGAATTTCTAAAGAGCAAATGTTGATCTAACAGGAAAGTTTATATGCATATGTAAGCACTTTAGATCTGGGTTTTTGGTGCACTCAAAGAAGGAAGGCCACTTTGTCAGCTGTCCACATGATGAATGACTCCTGATTAATGATCAGGAAGATCTGGAAATCATGGCTCAGGCAACTTGAAAGTCTCAGACTTCTCGTCTGGGGGCCAGGATGTCAGTCTGTGAGACTTTAGCAGCTTTTGATGCTATCGTTCGCTTACTTTGTTGTGTTTGGTTTTTGGTATCCAAGTTCAACTTTGTAGGGATCATTCTGGACCCATGCTGAGAGTCTTGCATCGGTGTAATAGTGGAGCAGCCTCAGTTTGAACCCACAGATGTTCCTTCTGCTGCATCAAATGAGTCACTCAGGAAACTCTATCCAACTCCCAATCTATGTTTGATGGCTGCATTTGCCTGTTGCTTCGCTACGCAGGTTCAATTTCGACATTCGTCAAAAGTTTTTTTCCTGACAAGTCTGAACAAGTTCCAGATTGGTGCCATTTGGTTGATTGTCAATTTATAGCCGCTGAGGAGATTTATAATAAAAGCGTCATGTCCTTCAAAGTCCAAGTGGTGAAGAAAACGGCAGAGAAAAAGTGAGTGAAAAATAGGTGGGAATCAGTGAGGAGGGGGTGAGACATTGGAGAAAGAAAGCAGATGTTATGATGGAGAGTAAAGGCGGAGAGAGAGCGAGGAGGGAGAAGCAGAGATAGGAAATGGTTTGGATTTTTGACAGATGGCTCCCAAAGCCGTACGGAAATCCCCCGAACCTCCAAAACCTCCCCAGTCCAACTCCCAACCAGACTGATGAACCTCTGCTTCTTTCTCATCACACCCTTTGTCTATATCAGGCTCTATTTCACCATAAACCCTTTCCTTGCTTTTGGAGAAACACTGGAAACATGACCCCTAGCACCCAGATAAATATGAGGAACAGCGGGGCTTTAGCGCCCACATTAACGGTGCTGAAATAGCAATAACACACACGCTCTCTTGCCTTCTCTCATACACACCAGTTGAAATATTCCCCTAGCAAGCACATGGCGGCCGTTAGGGGCTCTGGAATTCATAAGCAACACAGACAAGTACGTATTAAATCATGCCGGGGAGAGGTTTAACCTTCAGCTGGAATGCAAGGCCTGGGATAATCCACAGGCTGCACTATACTGCAGCTTTGACAGCGTTTCTTCTCCTATACAGTGTAGTAAACAAACGCTTTACAATGTGGATAGCTTGCATCATCAACCGTTCTTTCAGAGGCTCGCCAAAAGCAAAAGGACATTTTTAAGGTCTGAAAAAGAAGCAGAATCACTTGAAGAAGTTTGGTAAGGCAGGACGAAGTTTACAACATGAGCAGACGATGTGTAAACAAGAAAGTTCGTTGGTTAGGTTACCAAAACCAAGAGTGTTTAAACCAGAAGGGCTCCGAAAAGAAAAGCCTGCTATTTCTGTGTGGTCTCCTGTTTTTTAAAGATACTGTTAGTTTATGGATCGTAATAAGTAGGGGGTTCAATTCCAATAGACTCAACATCTATGAGTCTATGCACTCAGAACTTCAAATACAACAGGCTATTATTAAACCAGAATAGAGGGCTACACAATGACGGATGTCTGCCGTGGGCGCTTGGTGTCACTTTATCTTGTGAAATTAGTTGTACTGTAGGATGTCTGCTCTTCCTCTAGCTCTGGAAGCAGCTTTTGAAAGATAATGTCACCTAAGGTCAAGAACAAGAAGTCTTAAGGGTTGAGTTGCGCACGTGTAAAACTTTTGCAGCTTAACAGGGCATAAAATGTGGGATAATTACACTTTTTTTCTGCTTTAAACACCTCTTTACTTCAAAAAGTACTTGTTCAAAACTTCTTTTTTGTATTTTGTAGGATTTCTAAAAGTGGACCAGTGTTCTTCCCATTTCAAAGAAAGTTTCACTTAAGCACGTGTTGATCATTCCACTATTATTTTTAGTTTCCTAACAGAATTGCAAGTTGCCCACTCTGCATTAAGTGGGAGTATTTCCCTTCAATCTAACCCTAACTCCTGATGCAAGGAGACATTTTTAGCAAGGGCGGGCCCACTGGGAAACCACCAGTTTGCGTGCAGAGCTCGGCCCATTTCTGCTTTATTTTGATGCCTAATTCAGTCATTTTCCAAACCCTCATTAGAGTTGTTTAGCTTTGTTGTTCAGACCCACAGGAACAACACTTTTTAATAGAGTTTACACGACATTTTGGGTGAAGACTGTGGTCAAATTTAGCAGCAGCGGAAAAGGAATCACGTGTTGCGACAAGGAGAGGGGGGGTTCAACAGATACCACGTCCAACAGGAAGCACCCGATCCTAAAGTGAAGTGGTTTATATCCAAGCCCATGTGTTGTCACGACTTCCCCAAACATACACCCAACATGACTTCCTTAGATACACTCAAGGCATGACAGGAGGATGTGGTCAGAAGCTGGAGCGTCGGCTTTATTTTATGGGCCACTTGAAAGTAGCCCAGCCAGTTAGGAATATCAAATGCAGCATGGAAAAGTTCCAAACCCAATCACAGATGTGTTTTGTCACAGTTAACAGCCACATAAATGTTAGTGCCCTGAAAGCTTGACGCCATCTGAAGTTTGCAGAAGCAGTAAATTCCACCCAACCAGAACTAACAAACATGAAAAATTATGTAACTCTGTTTAACATGTGGGGGAGTTGCAACATGCATCACAGCACTTTTTTCCCACCTTTTGGTATGGTTATCTGACATCCAAGGTCATAGTCTTGGTGTAAACGAGTGTAGGCCACTTCCTGCAGCTTGGCCCTCTCCAGCTCCGATAGGCTCTGGATAGCAACTGGTGTCAGTCGCACGCTCCTCCCCGACAGGCTGCTCCAGGTGAAATCACCCTGAGGTAAAGAAATGACGTAAAAAGTGTAAGACAAGGCATTGGATCATGCATCTTAATGTTATATGGAAACAATTGAATATATTTTGGCACATATATACAGAAACTTTTGTTCCCTGTTTGAATAAAGTGAATTTGGTTTCACAAACTCAAATTTCACAAAGGTATGGGGAGACGAGGGGGTGGAGAAAATCAGCCTAAACCAAAACACTTAAAAAAGATGTTTTTACAAGCTGATAAAACTAAGAGAGGAACTAAGATTGTGTAAATATTCAAATTCAGCTGAAACCTTTGGAATTGAAAAATGGAGCCAAGAGTCCCAGTTGGACCTGTCATCACAATCCCACACAAGTGGATTATTTTTACACGTCTGTTTTGATTTTATTGAAGCTAGTTGTGACGCATTTGGCATAATTAGGGCTGTAAGGCATTGACTGGAAAGCATCTGTTTGCCAGGAAGCCATAGACTTTCCTCAGCTCCAACTCTTCGCCCATTTTTTCGGTTTACCAAAAGTTAGCTAGAGTTGGTATTTCAAATATGGCAACCACCATCTCTGAAAAACCAGTGACTGACCCAGTTGAGACTATGTTCTCATTTGGGACATCCAGTTGAATTGAAAACCTTGGAAAATGGTATCCAATATCAGTACCACTTGCTTCAAGCTCTTTTCTTTTGGTTGGCACCAACTATGAAAGCACTTATTTGGCCACTCAATACCTTATTCTGTACACCCGCTACAGTTATGGTATCACATAATGGATTTATGAGCATTATATACAGTTATAATAATCATCAGGGTCCCAATGAAGGCTCAGTAAGGGGAGTGGGATACTGTAATAGTGTGGAACCAATTTGGGGCATTGGCATAGTATAGGGATTGGAATGATAGTGTTTTTCCACCTAAGTTTTTCATAATTATCCCATAATTAATGCACTGGTGAATGTTTTTTGAGAAAACTGAAATCTGATATTGTGACATCTCTTGTCCCAAAATCTCTAAATGGGAAAAATAGCAACTAGAGAAGCAAATGGATGAGTTCTGAGGACCTAAAGAAACTGCAAAGTTGGGAGGTAATCCCCAATCAGTTCAGTCTCTGGTTCTGGAAAGAAAACATTTGTAGGCCAAGTAAGGTAAAACATCGGTGTCCGTTTCTTTGAGTATTATAGTTTGGAAAAGCTTTTTCCCCTTGATTGTAATCAATGACGGGCAGGGGGAAGATTATAGTCGATAAGATGTAGCACCAGCAATAATTACAGTCATAAAAATTATAGGATAAATATGAGAAAGCTGAATAAAAACAACATGTGGGTATTTACGACAGTACCAAACTCAAACCAAATGTATAAAATTAAATTACCCTACCAAGAAATAAAATGTGCACAGGAAAAAAAAGACATTTTTACATTCCAGGAGCAAGTGAGGACATGGAGTGGCCTTGAACTGATGGATTCACAATATGTTCCTCGCGCGCATAGAATCACATTAAGAGTGCACAGCACACGAAGGGGAGGAGGTGTAGGGTATAGAATGCAGACGTTATGCTCATTTTTCATCCCTAGACAAGCTAACGTTGGCTTAATCTGTGATCAAGGTGGGATGGATTAAAGTGAATCATCATGAATTTCTGAGACGCCTTTGAACATTCGAGTCATCTGAGTCAGTGGTCATGCATTCCTCCATGTCTACGGAGAGGAGAGGTCAGGAAGAGGGAGAGGTTAAGACGGAGAGGGAAGAGAAGGAGAGGAGACACTGCTGCAATTTATCTAATGCCTCATCCAGACAGAGGGGATTACAAGCGGACTCTAATGTGTCTGTGTTTATGCACTCTTGGTTTTGTTCAGTTTACATCAGAGAAAAAATATTCAGCACTATAGTTTGTATCTTTAAAAAAAAATTAAATTCAATAATATTGACCTTTCTGAACATTTACTACTGAAGTTCTCCTGCTCATTAATTTTCAATGTATCTACTGCTTGAGCTTGGATAAGACCAGAGTCGTCATAATGTGATAAGAAACAATCTGTTATGATACTTTTTGCACCCACAGGACAACACAATGTAATAATATACATGATATATATAATGATATACATCTAATAATGGTTGACCGATTACAGCTTTTTAAAGGATATCAATTTTTATTGATTCTTGCTGGACATGAGTAAACATTGATCAAATAAAGCTAAACAAGGTAAGAAGAACTTTATTGATCCCTGAAGGGAAATACAATAACAAAATACCATATGATACAGATACCATACAGATATGACATAATACAAAACAACATGGTACAATATGGTGTCATGGTATTGAATTTTCCTTTCAGGGATCAATTAAGTTCTCTTATCTTATCTTAGATAAGATACAGATAAGGTATAGAAACTGTATGGTACAATCTGATCAGTATGACATGATATGAAAGAGTTACAATACAGAAACGATAAGATAAGAAATACGATATAGAGATGAAACAATGCCATACGAAAGAGATATGATACGATGTGATACAGAAACGATACTGTATGATACAATACAGAACTGAAATGATACAATATGATACGAAAAATGTACGATACGATATGATACAGAAACGATACCGTAAGATATGATAAAGAGATGAAACGATACAATATGATACGAAAGATATACGAAAGTGATACAATATGATACAGAAACGATACCGTAAGACACGATACAGAGATGAAATGAAACGGATACGATATGATATGACACAGAAATGATACCGTAAGATACAGTACAGAGATAAAATGATACAATATGACACAAAAGCAATACGAAAGTGATACGATACGATATGGTACGTGACAATAGGACAACGATATGGTAACATACGATACAGAGATGAACAATGTGATAAAGCATGATACTGTACTGTACTTTTAAGTTGCAATACAAAATTACATAATATGATAAGAAACAATCTGATACAGGTACTCATAGCACCCTTTTCAAGGAAAGGGTGTTACGTATCATTTTTATCTCGCTAAATTCAGTTGTCACCCATGTATACAGATTTTATGGGACTATGTTTGTCCTTTAATAAATCACAAAGCAAACTAATGAGCCATATTTGCCGAAGTGTGATGAGGAGTATTTCGTTTTGTGGCACACTGAAGTCTTTCTGTTAAACTTTAATGATCAGACCTCTATCGGCGCTAATTTATTTGACTCACTCCTCCCGCTGTCAGCCCTCTTGTTATTTAACCCCACTCAGTGCACCGAGGCAACAGAGCCGCTATTCAGTTATAAGAGCAAAACAAGATGTGGATACAGGCGACCTACAGAGCCACCTGAGAGTGTGTGCATGTGTGTGACCGAGCCTGTAAACAGGTCCAGCAGGTAGAAGTTGCATGTTGCCCTTTCTAATAGAGCGTTTTATTCAGCCCAGCTGTGTGTTTTTTTGTGTGTGTTCCCTTGTGTGTGCCATTCCTTATCGCTGACTGAGTCGGCCCTTTTCCCTACTGCTTGACCTCACACACAGCTTGAGGGGGACGCACACACATATGCACATGTACATACACACACGGCGAAAGAAAAGACAAACAGTTGGAAAAGTTAAATAGGAGGCCTCTGTTCGGTCAGGCTGGCTTCGCCCAGCGGGGTCTCTGAAGGGGATGGATGAGCTTCAGTTCTGGAGTGTCAAACTATGAAACCCCTGGAATGCTGACAGAAGAGCGAAGGGGGAAGACTAATTCCTGGTGCCACTGCTGGAGTCTGGCAACAATGAGCTGAAAGCCTGTGAGACCTGTAGTGATGCCCATTGAAATTCACAAACTGTGATGTCCAAGAGCTCGCCTTTCAGGGTTTAACTTTTGACAAAGTGGCTTTTTGTTAGAGGATAACTGTAGAGTCTCGATATTTATTATAAGCCCCCAAGCAGTACACCATTAAAACAGACATGACTGTAGTGGAAATCACTACATGGACTTAAAACACTCCCCAAAACCATTGAAATGAGACCCTAAACTTTTACAAGTATGTCTCCTTTGTTAACTGCACATTTAGTAATTATCTAATACATTTAAATTCTATTATAACAGTCTGGTAGAGTAATACAGACATCTTTTGGCCTTGAATGGTCAGATAAAGGTACTTTTAGTCCAAATTACCAAAATTAACAACCACAGATTCTTCTGTAGTTCCCTTGGAATGACAAGAACGTTCCCACAGGTTACTTAAAGCACAAATTCCCACAAAAATGCCAAGGCCGTGACCAGTGTTTTTTGTGCTATTTTCGAAAGATAAGGGGGGTAAATGAGAGACACAAAGCTGTTTAAAGATCAAGCTTTTATTTGCCATGAAGCATGCATGCAAAACCACTCCCACTTTGAGGGATTCCACTTCTCCTGTGCTACTTTGGTTTTGTTCCAGTGTTACAAGTCAAGACGTCCAACAACTGGCTAGGAAGCATTGAAAAAATCTAAATTTAACATACATCCTGGAGACATGCTGTTGTAGCTACACTCGAATGTCCCCTTTTCCAATTTTCAGTCAGATTCATCATCTTATGTTCTCCTGGAGCACTCGCCAAGTTTGTTTCAGTGTTTTTCCGCTTCGGCATCCATCTGCGCTAGTCTGCATCTTTGATTTAACCCCTTATCTACATTGAAATCACTTGTTCATTCTCAACAAGCTGAAGCCAAATAGATCTGGCCAGGCTTGGATGTCCAACTTGGAACTAACTTCAGCAGAAACAAATCCCTCAGCTTCTTGTCATGGTGAAATATCTTTGTAAGCTCACATCTACTGCTATAATTGGAAACTGCTTACATTCTGAAAATATCATCCAGCAAATTCTTAATGATCTTGAAAAATCGACAGTAATTTGCCGTAATTTGTCATTCATTTGGTTATGATGTCATCCATTGGTGAGTTCCAGCTCATTAACTCCACCGTTACAACCACACTCCCAGTGTCACACTCCAGCCCGTCAAGGTTAATGGGATCACATATTTCTCGGCCGCAGATCCATTCGTTCATGTATCCCCTGCTGCTCATCTCACAAATGTCAAGCCATCATAACACTGAATGCCTCTGGAAGAAACAACCAAGGCATTCATAATGTTAGCTCCCAGTGTGACGTGAATGCTTATTGAGATGTAACACTGTTTGCGTAGCCTGTATTGAGACAAATCTGCCGTGCAGCTACCGTCGCAAATCTTTTAACGCCTTAATGTTTGTCTCCAAAATATAACCCGTTGCTAAGCCTCAACGCGACTGCCATCATCTGTTTTCCCCTGTATTTATTCGACCTCTCAAACTCCCCACCCATGATGTTTGCTGGAATGACCCAGCAGATCTAATCAGATAATCTGAAGTTTAACAAATGGTATTTTCTGCCAGTTTGCTCCACTTAATCCAATTGGGTATGGGCAGAAATAAATCAGTTTAAACCAGGAATATGCTTTGCAAGAGAAAAGAGTTAGACAAGGAGGTGAAAGAATGCAAAGAGAGATTTGAGTGCGCGGTTTGCCCAAGATAAACAACTGTATCATAGAAAACGTCACTTTCACTTATTAAGTTGGCATTTACAATCATTAGATAAACTTTTAATCAATGGTTTCAACAGCTATTAGCTTAGTACAGCCCATTGTAGTTAAATGCAGAGGCAGAAACGACCAAAAGAAATTTGGCGAGTGCTCCAGGAGAACTTATGCTGCTGTACTCGCCATTTAATTCAGGATCTGACCCTCATCAGGAATCATAGGCAAGATTGATGATGCTTTTGATTATCATGATGTCGACGAGGCGTAAGATTAGGATTAAACAGTGCTTTAAACACAATTTTATGCACTCCTTTTTACTGTCAGTTCCCAGTAGTTCAGTATTTCAAATGTTATGTAAAGCCTCCGTCCAATTACCCATGGTTCTCAGCATTGTTTGTGTTTCTTTTTGTTCTCATTTGACAGATGTTACTCTGGAAAGATTAATCACTCCGCTGACTTCACTGGCCCTGTGCAGTTAGATGACTAATGCCGTTTTGACACACAGTGCACTGCAGCATGTGGTTTCCGTTCTATTTCAGACAAAGGGACCAATGGTGCACAAAGCCTTGGAAAAAAAAAAATAAAAAAATTGTCAGTTTCCATGGGAACACATACACAGAAAATGAAAAGAGGTTGGGGAAGGAGGGGAAATATTGCTATGGTAACACACCTAAAACATGCATGAACAGCCAGTCGGATGCATGTTGTGATGATGGACTGCGTTAATCTGACTGAAAAACAAGATGAGTGACGTCAGTGTGTTGCTGTCATCACAGCAAATTTGAGGAAATATTTGCATATTTGACTGTCAATATGAAAAATAAGCAACATGAGTGGAACCACTTGTTTCTAGAACCACGAGGATCATCAATGTCCTTAATGACTTATTGATAGCGCCATGCTATCATGTAGCTAATAATAAACAACAAAGCTATTTACTTACTGCTCAATAATGCTTGCACTAGAGAGGCGTCACTTTGATCATTATTGGCCTGCAGCGCCGTGGTAACGCATCGACAAAACCACTCCCCAATCGCTCATTAACGTGAGTATAATATGGGAAAAAGGAGAGCGATAAACCCGCCCCTGACCCTTCAAAGAAACGTATTCACACACATACGCACGCTGCTTTTAATTTCTGCTGGGAATATCCCCATTAAAATCCTGTACAATAGTAAATAGACACAATGAAGCAAATCCTCTACTTTCAAGCCTTTAATCCACTGGCTTGAGCAATGACCAGGGTAGAAATCCTGCAAGACTCCAATCAGTTCTGACTGTAAAGAAAGCCTGATCTGTCGTATGAATGCCAAGGCTGAGGGCAGTCAATTGAGGCTTTGCAGGAGTTCTTTTATTCATCTCCGTCCCTCTGCTTCCACTGTAACGCAACATTACACAACCCTAGCAGAGCAAACAGTCAGTTAATGAGTCAATCAGTGCAACTGAAAGCTGAATCACAGACTTGCATAACGATATTGACAAAGATCAACCGTAACCTGGACGCGGAACGATTACTCCAGTGCCTTTTCATCGCGGCTGTACTCTGTTTTCAATCAAATCCCAGCTGATTTCAATGCAGCCTCGTTTGATTGCACCATCTTTGCCAGATTGCTTCTCCCGTCTCTCCTCAGTTTGTCCTATTTTTGAGGAAATAAAGAAATTGACTGCCTTGAAGTTTCAGTCATACACCCGTCTTCATTCACTCAACAACCACCGTCATCTTGGAGATCTAAACGTCGATGCTATACTTTCTATACTCTGCCATCTTATTGTCTGTTGTCATGGTAACAAATTTAGATATACCCAACATAACAGGTTATTTTTTCACATAACTCTCCATGTGCATGACCTCCCGTATTCAAAGCCGATAACCTCACATTTTACAACCAATGATAAGCCCAGTACCGCCAAACTGCTTTTTCTCCGAGTTATGTAACTTTTGTGTAAATAACAGTTGAGGATCCATAATTTTGGCGCTTATTTTCTCCTCAGGCAGCCTCGGGAACAACCTGAAACAGGTGGAGAAGCCTATTAATCGTTTTTGTGTGACAGAAACATGTTCAAACACACACACATACGAGTAGCGCCGGCTGACGAGCGAGGGTGGTCAGTAATTACAAGCAGATGTGAACCCTCTAGGAGGTTCCAGGTCAGCGAAAGCAATCTATTACATGCATGCATGACGCCAGCCTGTAAGAGACACAAGAAGTGTTGAAAAATACCCGTGCATTCCTCTGGATCCGTGTTGTGCCACAGAAACTCTGCTCAAAGGTCATTTATTAGGGTGAGACAGCCGAAAGTGCGGCGTGGCGATTCGAATGTTCCTCTTGTGTCTGCATCCAATAAATGATCTCTTCCTGGGCCTCTGCTGGCTTCCTGGAATATCATTACACATGTCATCCTTGATTGTGGTTTAAACAAAGCCAGCCAGGGTGATCCGTGGTCACCGGTTTCAGTCTTGTCGTCTGTGTATTGAGGAAGGTCAGAAAGTGGGGGTAACATGTTTGACTTCAACCTAAGACTGGGTGATGAAATTATCGTAATACATTTCCGTTTGATTACGGTGATCAGCTGTGAGCCTATTTACTCGATCAAACATAGCAGAAATGTGGGTGACAACAGCCAATCAGAGTCAAGCTTCTGTAAGTTGCTGGAGAAGTAAACAGGGGAAGTAAACCGAATGACCGAATGTGGAGCTAAACACGGAGCTGAGGGCAGCAAAATAGATCTCAACCGTGACTTTGAGTCATCCTCCAAAGTTGCCATTGTTAAGAAGAAAAGTTCAGCAGGGTTCATACATAAGGATTTTATAAATCTGAAGATATTTTTTATCTGTTACAGACCCCACACATGAAGATAAAAAAAACAGGCATTGAACAGTTTTGATCCTACTCTGTGTGATGTGCTCCGATAATCTCACCACACTCAAAACGATTCTGTTCCACCACCAATCTAGAATCTAGTCCTCCAAGACCGAAACTTGCATGATAAAACATGATCTAACAAAAATGAAGAAAAAGAAACATAGCAACAACCGGGAAACACAAGACGCAACATGGAAGAGGGCACACAAGAGGAGGGAATGATGGTGGTTTTGGAAGTATTTTTGAGAGAAAAATACCATACTAAATCCCGTAGGCCATACTTTATTTTTGTTCACTTTATTTGGTTCCTTGTTTCTCGGTCAGCTCGCGTCTTGATTGGCTACATTTCGTTTCACATGACAATTCACCGAGTCACGACTCAGGAGTCGTCAGCTTTCCCCACACACGTGAAGATTTTTGGCCGAAAATATTGAACAAGTTTAATATTTACGATTGTCAGCCCCGACCTGTTTCGGACCCAATTATCGGGACAAATTCACTCTACACGCACCTTAGACGACATGATAATCTTATAGGATAATCTTAGAAGACATAAGATAATCTTCAGATTGTCGTCCTTGGTGGGAAAATCGGGACAAAAACAGCCCGATTATCTTTATGTGTGTACCTCGCTTTACTCGACGTTGGTTGTGTGGTGGTGGTTTGGGTTTCATCAAAGTGACGTCTAGCAATTAAACCGATGTGCAAGGTATGTCGGTGCCCTCAAAACACACACAACAAATCTGTTTAATCATTTGAAGAAGTACTTCCCGAGTGATTATGCGGAAAGCACGAAAATGTGAGCGGAGTCTGTCCAGCCTGTCACTGCTGACGGCACAAGTAGCATTCGCGGTTTAGCTACAACTAGCAGCGCAGCCACCAGACCAAAGCAGCAATCAATCAGATCGTCAAAGTTTAGATCAGTCTTACATACCTGCAAAAACACTAAGGACTGTAGATTAGTTCATTTTAATATTTATCTACATTTGTTGTACTGAGTTAATTTTTCTATGTTTATCTTATTTATTTTGCCTTTTTATTCACTTTGTTAATAAAATGTTGAACTAATTTCTAGTTTCATTAGTTTTTAGTACAGATGCTTTTAAACTAGCAGCTTAAAACAAAAAATTGTGATAATAATCGAGATCAGACGATATGACAAAATATATCGTGATCTTTTTTATTTTTTTATTTTGGCCAAATCACCTAGTCCTACTTTAACCTTGTGCTTATTCTAGTACTCTAGCCTAAAGTCAACAACAGGTAGCAGCTTTGTGAGGCCTCCTCAGCTACACTAGAGTTTGTATTGCTGTCCTAGATTAGGTGACAATTGTTTCTTCTTATATCATGCAGTGTTTCCTTTACAGAGGCAACACTTGGGCGGGAAGTCTGGGTATATTTGCCAATCATTTACCTGCTCGAGTCTTCATTAGTTATCAATAAACTGGTGTGTACATGCTCTGCATTTCTTGCATGAGTTTGCAAGTAGTGTCTATTCTCTGCCAAAAGCGTGCATTCATTTGCATTATACTGTGTATATATAAGCTGCAGTCCTAAAGAGATTTCGATGTGGCCAAATTGATCTGTATTTTATTTTTTATTTTTTTATTTTTTTAAGTAAAGACAATCACTATTTGAAGTCCGACTCAGGAATATGAATGAATCGCAGCCTGTGCTGAGGATACAATAGTCCAGGGACACATTCAAGAATCATAAGCATTTGTTCCCTCTGCAGAGTTTATATACAGGTTCAAATACTGTATAGAGATATAAGAAAATATTTACTGTACAGTTACATAAGTCGCCATACGTCTGGCTGAGAGTAGGAGTGAAAATACACCTCCATTATTCGCCGAGTTACACAACTTTCGACCAGATTTCTCCTCTCCTGCGGGGACAGGCTGTGCCGCGTTTGCTTCCCCGAGTCACATCCTGACAACAAAGGCGCTGTTTACTTCATCCCATCGTGGTAATCGTTTATCTTGTTTTCAAAAAAGGACCCAAATGCAGAAGTTGGCTGAACATCACTGTCAAAACAATTTCTGTTTTGACGCTCCAGATTTGAAGCTTTTTTGTATTCTGCTTAAAGTTACACAACTTATTCCAACAATGCGCAGCTTGAGCTGGTTGAGCTTTATGGGTCCTTGATGGATATTATTCATGCACCCTATGGAGGCATTTTATCTTTTTACAATGAGCTCTATACCGAAAAAACAACAACACACTCTGCCAGCAACAACATACGTTTTTCACTGGACCTATATTCCAGAAACCACATAAACTCATTTATGAATGTTTTTTACCTACTAGGATTTTGCTGTGATTTTAATGAGTAAAAATGTATAAACAATAAACACTTCCTGGCACTAAAATGCAGGTATAAGCTTTCACTTTATCGTATTTTTGTCTGCCTTTGCGTTTAATGAGGCCTCCTTGGCTCAGCCACAATAATGAGCAACTTGCAGTGAACGCTCAAAAACACTGGCAGCCACATCTAAATCCTCGGGCGGACTTCAAACATTTTAAAGACAGATTAATATGGAGGGCCGGCAGCCATAATTAGGCCCCGCCACGGAGACTTAGGATCTTGCATAATGGTTACGTAAGCGCAAGAAAATCAGGTATCAACACTGCGGTTGATAGTAGAAAGAGACGTTGAGGTAATGTGGAAGGTTGTGTGTGTGTGGTATTGGCTCAGAGCGATCCGTGGATGGCAAACAGGCCTCAGATTACTGCCAAAAATTAGTCTGGGTATCAGCTGTCAGAGGCAGACTTGGTTTCTGTCAGAGTTTAAACTCCTTTTTCTGTATCGTTTGACTTTCTGCATTACGACACCAAGTTTTTCTTTTTGTTGTTGTGTTTTTGTTGGAGGACAAATTGAAATATTTGAGTTCTGTACAAAAGTTTCTGAATGAATCTACAAATTTTTTGGCTTTGAAACACTAAAACATTTGGCGAGTGAGTTGCACACATTGTGCATATTACTTTGTATTTTTATGTCTCTTTTTGGGCCTCAATGCTGAACAGTTCCATCACATCATTAATGTGCTTTGAGTTAGTCTTAGTTTTAACTCCATTTTAGTCATTTTCTAATGAGTTTTGACTAATTTTGTCGCCTTAACCCCCCACGGCAGTGATTTCAGACACTTAAAACAACATTTCGTACACAAGAAGAAGCCGTGTATTAACAATGCTGTCACCATGAAGACAAATAGCTCAAATTCATGTATACCTCTGTGCAAAGTGACATTCACGTCTTCATCAAAGGAAGCCGGAGCGAGGTGGAGCAGAGTAAAGCTGTGTTTAACAAGCTTGTAATTGCTCCTCAGCCCAACTTTGACTTGCAAACCACTAATTTGCCCGCAGGGCGTGTTTTGGAAAACCTTCCAATTTGCTTGGGCTGGTACGAGAAAAGACTGCAAACAATGAGCAACTTCAGTTTTCCTCTTTATACCTTTCTGTATCTTATTTACAACCACAAACAGCTGTAATTAGAGCGCAGGGGTTCCCAGTTTTAACATTATCATTCTGGCTGTTTTCATTTTTTGGCTTTTTTGCACCATTTTAAGTTTTTTTTTTGCAGATATCAGATGGATATCTCTCCTCTGTTGTGTTTAACATAACTGAGGTGAATTTCCCACGGTTTCCTCATGTGATGGCTACAAGACCTGGTGTCAGATCCCTCAAATGTAAACACTGTTTTCATTCAGGGATCCTCGGCTGTGCTTTGAAAGACTTGGTCCCACATTACATCCATACTTGACTCAGACTGTGGATAAAACAGCATCTTATTCACACCCACCAAGCCGGACACCGAAGCCCTACACAAGTCAAGTCAATAAATTTTCTCCCTCCGTCTTTAGACTACATAACAGAGCTAATGAAGCTGGTTAATCATTACTAATCCTGCATGCAGAGTGGAGCTCTTTCAGTGATTGTTGTTGTGAGTGTGTGCAGATTGGGACGTGGATTGGGGATCATGTTCGATTATGCATAATAAGTAAGTCGTAAAACGCACTCCTTTCTCCACTCCAGATTGATTGTTGCTTAACGGCGCCCTGCAATCAGCACCTGCGAGCTTTTGTGAGTGCGTCTGAGTGTGTTTGTCGGAGTCCTCCGGGCGTATGTGTGTGTTACTGAGCGATTTGAAACTCACTTTAAGGTCACAACTCAGCGGTAGCTTAACTGCTGCCAAACAGAACAGAGCAGGTGACAATTGCAGGCTTTCAAGCGCCAGAGGTGAGCTCCACTTTAGCCGACAAACACTCAGTGGAAGGAGGAAATGGAGGGACGGCTATTCACTGGAGTTTAATTCTGGTGCTGATTTGGAGTTTTCAAACTGCTGTTGCACAATGAAAGCGCTCTTGAAACGTGACGTCCAATCACAGCGATCAGGGACTCAAACCGTCTGCAAATAACAGGAATTGTTGCCGTGTTTCTATCATGCATTTCATTTTCAGAGTTTGCATGGAGAAAATCAAGCTTTTTCCAAGCGTGCGTGTCATTCCAGGTCACATAACTCTCCTCACTTGACGTTTTCTCGTGACTTGCACTGTCTGTATCGACCACAGAATATCTGATCACAGCTATCCTGCTGCTTTTGACACTATACCATTAACAATGACCCTGAGCAATAACACTGCTACAACGGCCTTGTATGACTCAAAGTGAATGTTCGCAGGATTGTATACAATACAGATCAGCTAATGTTGTCACATCAGCTTGTTCTATTCCTCTCCCCTACATTTGGACAGGTGTGCTGTGAGAGAAGAAGTAAAACAAATTTACGGTTAGGTTATCAGAAATTAAAAGTCAGACCAACAGGCAGGTCAAAGGTAACAAAATAACTAAAAGACAGTCAAAATTGAGCTTAGTTTATTTAACATGGAGTTAAAGAGTCCAGCAAATGGTGTCCAGCTGGTTTGCCACCATATCTACCCTGGTTACATATTTCTCAGCTAAATCAAGCAGACTCCACCCATGCACAACTTTATCCCCATTTCCTACATCAAAATACTGCCAAACTACATCACTGTAGGATTATCCGTCATTTGTGCTTGTTTCATCCAGGTAGTTTTCACCGCAGCTAATGGCGATCACCGCTAACCACGGAATACAGTCCTAGGCCTTTTCCACACTATATTGCTGCTGTTAATATATTGCTGTTTCTTTTTTTTTTTTTTTAAAGTTTACCCTTAAGACTGAAATATCTGCGTATCGTTAGGTCATCGTTTTAAGAAAGATGCAGATCCATCCACACGGAGATGAAACCATAGTCATAAGAGAAGGTCATTTTCAAAAAGTATTTCAATCACCAGAAATGCCATTTCCGTGAAGGTGAAACGCTGATACGACAAAAAACTGATGCATTGACTCCTGAACTGGGCCTTAGCCAGAGGTTCCTGTGCCAGTGCCTTGAAAGCCTACGACAGTGACAAGCATCTCATGACTTAGTATCAGGGCCTGACCGATTTCTGGTCTGAGTTTGATCAGTTGGTCTTCCTGTCGGCGTGAAGAGCAGTAGCCTACAGTATATCTACAGTATATAGTATAAAATCTGGTAATCTGACGATCTATGCCAACGATCAGTAGTTCTGGTGTAAAATAGCAAGGGTCTGAATCCTCCAAAAATACCTAGAACTTTTTCAATAATCCTCAGCTGGCTGTCATCAAACACTAAAAAAGCAGCAGCTGTAGTTTATTCTGGCTTGAAAATTAGTAACTAATTTAATCTAGTTTCCATTTTCTGTCTCTTATCCAATAATTCAATCAGCATCTTGTGTACTTTGGTGCTTTTTTGTGGTAGAATCATGTGTTTTTTTTTCCCTTTTCTGGACAAAATGTTCCGATCCAAAGCATAATTCATACCACCGTCGCCCAGATCCTGGTGTTGAGTTAGCTGAATAAATCGTCTGTCACCAGTTTGGCTTTGAACCGAAATAAACACCAAAAACTTCTGCAGTCATGTGAAAATAGTAGCACAGCATTTTCATCAGCTCATACTGGATAAACAGAGCGGAGTTTGGATTATGACTGACCTGGATATAAATAACTAGCCAGCTCTGGAATACAATTGTTGGGTTCAGCCTCTATTAACACAAATAGACAAATACAGTATGTGTGTATATGTGTGTGTGTAAATGTGTGCGTGTGCCCTTTATCTGTCAATCAGTCAAAACGGTTGTGTAAGTGGCCCCACGGGGATTTCTTTCCCATCAAACCCTGCGCAGTCAGAGAGCTCCACCATGTCTGCACCGTGAGAACTCGATTTCACACACACGTATGCAAGTACACACCCACACACACATGCACACACTTCACAAAAACAACTCCCAGAGAAATAATGTGCCCCGCCATCAATCCTGGAATGTCCAAGAGACAGATTCGGAGATTAGAATCGGCATCTGCGCCAAAAAGCCGTAACGCACCGGGCCTCAGATGTAGAATGCGACTTATGCAGCTGCGACTCGCCTTCATTTATCCCCCGCAAGAGACAAACTATAGCAGGATACTCACAACTGCTGTCATGGTTCCTCATGTTTCCTGCTTATAGCAATAACACACTTCATAACACTGCATGTAATGAGATATTCACACCATCATAGAGGCTGTAAAAACGCACATTTTTCTTGCAAGGGTTTCGAAATGATAGTGATGGGCACAGCAGTTCTTTTAGATGTACTGAATCACTAGAATCAGTTCACTAAAAAGATTCATTCACCAAATCACCAAATCATTTAGAAGCCTGCGACCTCCTGAACGTTTAGAAGAATTCAAACTGAACATACACCGTTCCCTTGCAAACCGCTCCAATGATAGGATGCTGCGGGTTTAATGCACTACTTGTTACATGCTGTGTCTTATTGTTTGCAAGTTGTTGTGGTGGCAATTTAGCAGTGATTCATTCACCAAGTGATTCAGGCGTCGGTGCATGCGGTGCCCCGTTTGCTGGCTGCTGGCCTGGCAATGCTGTTTCTTACTTCAGTTCATCTGAAGTCAGAAACGAACGAATCACTTGAGGAAGTGATTTGGTTCAGTGCGTTCACTTAAAAGATTCGGTTCTTTTGAACAAATCGTTCACGACTGACACACCACTACAAAATGAGTGCGCACAGGAAGCCTCAAGTGGACACTTGAGGAACTGCAGATTTTGGCTTTTTTGTGTCACCTTCAACTCTCAGAACTGTAGGGTGTCACTTGAGTTGTGCAAACCAGGCGACCCTATAATTACGATATCTTCTTCCTAACTACACTGTAATGACACAAGAGCTATCTTGAGCCTCATTTAATAACATAAAAAACATTATAAAGGCCATTTTACATCGGTGTCCATCCAACAGATTAGGTGCAACCACTTTAAGCTAAAAAGTATTTCAATTAGACCAGTGGTTCTCAAGTCCACCTGATTCAAATGATCAGCTCGTTATCAAGCTCTGTAATGGCTTAATAACGAGCTGATCATTTGAATCAGGTGTGTTGGAGCAGGGAAACATCCAAAACATGCAGGACAGTGGGCCTTGAGGACTGGACTTGAGAACCACTGAATTAGACGGAGAATAATACAAAGTATAATCTTATTGGATGAAAGATTAAATAGATATATGACAAAACCAACAAACACAACAAAGAGTCAATACTGGATCAATACGGAAAAACGAGTCCAGCTGCTTTTCCCCCAGTTCAGTGTTGAAATGTATCAGTCAAGGGCAAAAACATACACACACAGACCTTCCCATATCTGTAGTTATGTAAGAAGCGTGCCAGGGAGCCAGACAACTCTGTCCCATAACTTCCTGCAGTCCAGACAAACACATGACAGCCCTGACAATAGTAAAAAGAAAAAATCAACCTCATTTATATCGCTTATGGAAAATAAAAATAAAAATAACTCCAGCATCTTTACAGTAGAAAATTCAAAGCATGAATGCTCCTGAAGGTCTATACACAGATTGTTTGCAGTCATTACTTTTCCCCTTTACCCCTTTCCACACAGGTTTGTCTGACACTTTTTAGTTAAAAAACGATTTTGTTGTTTTTTTTTTCTCCTGCTGAAATAGATTTCCTGACTTGCAAATGATCTCCAAGTATGGTACATGTTTTAGAGGAAGTGTGGTTTCAACTGCTATTTGAGATAAGAGAAATTTCTGACTGACAGATGTCAAAATAAAGGCGCAAAATTAAGTTTCTATGCATGGAATTAAGCTGATAATGCAAATATTTTCTATGTTTTGCACCGTCAAACATCTTGCACCACAACAGCTTAGTGTTTAAGTGCATTAACTTAACACCTCCATCTTTATTTCAATGCTTGAAAGTGTGAGTAAGATTATATGTTGATCCTATTAGGGGAATAGTTAGTTTATTTTTCGCACCACTGGTGAGAACATGAGCCGGACAGAAAAGTGCAGCACATTCCCTCTCTGTGCTTCTTCCAGCCTGTCCATTTAACGCAGCGGGATCAGAGCAAAGTCTCCATAAGACTCTTTATTTTCCGCGTGGGTTGCCGGATCCCCCTCCTCCCGGTTAATCCTGTGAGGTAGTTAAAGAGCAAGGCGGGGATTAGAACCTGCTGCTTTGCCCCCTTTCTTTTTTTTTTTTTTTCAGAATCCGGATGATGTTGATGATGAAGATGACAGAGTGGAGGCAGAGCTGCGGTGGCTTTTACAAGACACATGGCAGCGTTTACATGCGGCGTGTGCGCACGAGCCCTGCACGCACACGTGTTCATATGACTGCATAGTGTAAGATAGATTGACAAGAAACTTCATTAAAATACAACAAAAATAATTCATTTTGATTGGGATTTGATTGTCTGTCTTTAAGCTAAATGGCGTTGAGGCCTGCCTCTCTACCCCGAGGCTATTCCTGTCAGAGGAGATGGCGTTTGACTGACTCTGCAGTATATGATGAAAATGAGAGTCTTCCACGTCTTCAGTGGAATGTATGACCGTGCTGAGACGCCACAGATTTCAGGCCCTGAAGCTACAGATGGTGAAAAGATTGGAGACGACTCAGTCCTTGCTGGTTCTTGTAGATTTGGATCATTAGGGTTGCATTTGGGCAAGGAAACATGAAACATACCTGCAACCCCGAGACCTCTTTCACCCATGCACAGGCATTTTCAAGTGATTCAAAACTGCCTTTTCATGCTTGGCCTGCTAAAAGGACTGATTTACCATTTATATCAGTGGTAAATGCAAGGTTCTTTCCTGCAACACGATATGACACGATACAATTCAATACGGTGTGATACGATACGATGCAACTTCTAGTTTCTGGGTGGCTGGGAGGAAAAACTGAAACTCACTTAGAGTGACAATCTCATCTGTCTGCTTCCACACACAGAGCCACCCAGAAATTTTTGAAAAAGTTTGAGTTCTTGTAAATTTCTCTCATCAGATGAAATGGTCCCACCAGGAGTGAAAAAGACTCTTATATTACATGTTATAAAGAGTTTGTAGGAACTGTCTATTTATTGAATCCACAGATTTAGGTGTTGACCCATTAGGGACCAAAAGGACATGTTCAGGCTGGAAAATTTGACTATTTTTCGCCATGGCTGTAGCTCAAGCTTATGGCAACCTCTATAAAAATCCAACGCTCTACAACCCTAATGTAAACAAATGGTTTCGCATGCAGTTTGTCAGTATTTTGAACTAGATAACCCCCAATTCTCACCCCATCCGGATCGGCACCAATTTTCATCGTCCGCCAATTCCTACTGGATCCATTTGTGAGGCGAATTTCATGGCAGATTACGGACAGCAGTAATCGCAAGAACTATCAAGAACCTGCGGATTCACGTGCAATCTCCCAATAACAAGTTGTCTCTAGCCACATAGGCTAACCATATAAGCAGTGGATTGTGTCCTTCCAGAGGACGAAATTTACTCTTAGACTTTCGGTAGAAATTGACACATTAACTTGAATGGTTACGATCAGCTACATTCGACAGATACAGCCTTTTCGTACCCGTTCCTGATGCGGTGGAAATTGCTAGTAAGGGTTTTGTTTGAAACTACTATCTGTCTAAAATTTGCAAATCAAATTGCGCCTTTCTTACTAAATGAGTCCCTCTATTTTCTGTTGAATCTGTAGCAAAGGAACACACAAGCATTCTGGGGCATTGTGACAAAATATTGAGGAAAAAATTGATTGAAAGAAGTCGAGAGAATAATCCATGAAAAGGTTGGAAATTGAAGCTCAGTCAGTCCTTTCAAAGAGCTGTAACAATATGACTAAAATCAGACTTTTTCAAGGCTGAATTTGATCAATAACAATGACGATCAACCAGGGATTAGAGCACAAAAGCCTCCTGAAACAATGAGACCGCAGCTTCAAACCATCAGCCTTGTTTCAGTCCAGGAAGTTTTAGCCAAGTGTAACTTCCTGGAGACCCTCGCCACACCCGTCACAGCCCTGCAATGCTTTGTTCTCCGCGGACACTGGATGTGACGCGACACTTGTGTGTGTGTCCGTCCGCGCACTTGTGCTCACGTGCAACACGGTTCACAGTTGGGTCAGCCGCTCTATTATTGATTTCCCAACAAAAAGGGGGTGAAAACGCAGCGCTGCGGTGCTGCGGTCCTGCACGACACACCGACTGATTTTCAACCTGCAAAAACGTGAGAGCATGAAAATGTGCAACTGGAGAAGTCTTTGTAGTATTAAAGCGATCTAAACAAGACAATAAACTACTCCTCACCTTCCAGATACAGCTTCTATAACTGAGTCTGTCTCTGCCTGCGTCTGTTGAGTGTTGGTTTGATTGGATCAACAAACCATGGACCACAAGCTTAGAGCCAGAACTGAGACATGAGGGAAGCATTTGCTCAACTTTGCTCTACAGTTTTTGGCTTGGGCACATGTTGAACTGAGCTGAACATGCATTACATAATAAATTAACTGTATGTTATGTCATGTAAGGGTGCTTTAGCTCTGTTGAAACGCAGAAGACCCAATCCAGGGTCTCCAAAACAACCAACCACCTTTCCTTGAGTAGAAACTTGGAATAAACACAATATCCCAGCGCCCAATGAGCTCCCTATGAGCTCATAATTTGTTCACAACCCAAACTTTTAACTCGAGCTACAAATCTGCCAAAACACTGTGTTGCAAAAGCCAATGATTCCAGCAAAAACCCTTAAATACGATGTAAGTTACAATAAAAATCTGGTTCTTTTTCTGGTTATCGTTGAAGCGAGACCTACTTGAAGCAGATGAACAGATGCTTTTCCCAGGGATGTGATGGAGCAAAAGTGATGGGGAAAAAGGAAGTCTTGGTTTGGAGTCATTTAACCATATCCACCGGCAACACCATGATAGCTGAAAAATCCACATCCATTTCCATATGGCGTAGCCTCATGAGGTGATGATTACCAACAGGTTCTGGTGCCCTCATGAAAACAGGAACTTTCACTCTCTACTGCACTCTCATCACAGTTCTTTTGCTTAGCTGACAAGTTGCATAACCTCCCTCATGATCCTAATGGCCACCACAACCCAAACAGCATCGCCACCATCAATAGACCCCCTGCTCTGTGTCTGCCAACCACAAGTATTGATCATGCTGGTACTACCAATCACTTGGCCTCCAGTCGCCCCCTGACAGGCAGAAAAAGCCAAAACAAGAGGGCAAGTCGGCTTTCAAGGCTTTTACAACCCCAAGATTAAAAAAACTTGAGAAACTGCATTAGATAACAAGTTTTTGGAAGTAAATTTGATCTCATGCTGTGATTTCCACTACAGAGTCATGTCTGTTTTGTACTCCACATAAGGAAATCTCCATCTTCTTTGAAATAAGTGTCAAAAATCTGACCTGTTTGCTCACACAGTCTCTCACAGAATACTATTAAGAGGATTCTGAAAGACTCAACCTCTCTGGAGCGCCTTTCTTATACCTAAACATGAGGGCCCGGCCGATTTTTTGGGGGCCGATGCTTATTACCGATTATTTGGCCGATTTTTCAAAATTTTTTATGAAGTTATAAAAAAATATATATATATACATACTGTGGATATAGGATATACTGTAGGCTACTGCTATTCACGCTGACAGGGAGACCGACTGATCAAACTCTGACCAGAAAAGCGTTTTCAACTACCCGCACGCGCCATCTACAGGATAAGTTGGGGAACTTTTTAAATGGCAGAACATTTTCGAAGTGCAACAGAATCTTATTCTTTGCATTTTATTTCTGAAAATATCGGCATCTCAAACGGGCTAAAATTGGCCGATTTAATTGGCTCGCCAATAAATTGGTCATGCCCTACTCAACATGTTACTCTCCTCACTTAAATAAAGTAACAGTTGTCTGTGATTATCAACATCTTTTCCAACTTTTTGGAATTGATGTCTTAGATGGAATGATGAACACATGCACTGAAAGCGGGTGAAATTAATTTGTTTTTCCAGACATAAATCAGGGAAAATCCCGCTCTGCGTTCCTGACAAAAACAAACCGTACTATCAGATGTACTCAGCCTGTGAACATGTTTGAAACTGATATAAATACATTGGTAAAAATAAAAGTCGGACTTTGGAGACTGCTGCTCATCGATGCCAACAATCAGTCAACACAGGGGTTATTAGTTTCTATGGAATACTGATGTGACTGCAGATAGAAATGTGCTTTTTTCATTACTGCAGCAACTTAAATGAAACTCATGCCAGTGCTTGAAAATAATACATCTGACTTTGCTCCCTCGTCCTGCATAACCCCGGCCTTCAAACGGAAAGCTTTCCTCCGCAGTTGTCATCATAACGCTGATGTAATGAGTGATGGCGTATTGACCGATATCAGTTGCAGCCTCGCAAGAGTCAAACACAAACAGTGCGTGATGGATAGAGTTAAATATCCACTCGTGCATCAGTCAGCGCGTGCAGGTCTTAACACAATTATCAGTGTGGAAACACACACAGTGACTTTTCCTGTTGGCACACTCATCAATCTATTGTAAACACGTGTCTGCAAGCGCACATGGTGATAACCTAAGGATACTTCATTGATTAAGAGTATTTTAGTCCACAAATGTTTGATTGAAATTAATGCAAAAGTTGAGACTAAAAAATATTGATTGGTTGCAAAAGTCTATGGACAGGGAAGATAAAACTCTGAACAGTTGTGTAACAAGTTGAAATAAGTTTAATTGAACGTTAGTGAATTTTAGAAACATCCGATTTCAATGATTTGCAGCAGATTATTGAAAGAACTGAGTCTCAGATGTATGGATGAGAAGAGTTTCACCGCTCTGTGAGAGACCGTGTGAGCAAATAGTTCAACAATTTCAGAAACCTCAGCAAAGAACTTTGAAAAGAGTTTAATCATCATCAAACGAACGCTGAATGGCCCTGATCTTTGCGGACTCAAAAACAGACATGACTCTGGAGTGGAAATCCCTGCATAGGCTCAAACATCATTCCAAATAAACACCATATGTGAACACAATTTTTTGCTGCAAATGTGTGAATGCTGGTCATCATGGACACCACACCCTCCACTCTTGGGCTTGTTACTTGTAAACAGTTAAAAAGCCAGCTTCAGAGTTTCAATCACTGCATGTTTTTGTTTTTCAGTGTTTTCTTGTACTTGTCCCAACTTTTTTGAAACTTAATTCCTGCATCAAAAAAAGAGCAAGGCAGACAAAAATTTTAACTGCTATGCCCCGGTGAGGAATTTTGCTTTTGCATATCCTGTCCTCTACAGTCTTTAGACTGAAAATCTCATCCAGCTGACATTTAAATGTTTAATTCATTGTGAAAATGCAAAAGGTGAAAACAGGACTTGGCTGACACCCACCCCTTTGCACAAAGAGGCATGACTTTTAATCTTTTGCATATTATCTGCAATGTTTAACTTACAATTAAAGGGTTAAAATTATTTCCAAACAGTTAAATTCTGTCTAATTCAACGTTTTACACAGTGCCATAAGATTGTGGTGCAGGGGTTTCATTTTTCTTTGTCTCTTTTGTGTATTTTTGTTCATTTTACGCACATTTTTGTGTTGCAAAGGATCTTATACAACTTTTAGAAGAAGGTGCATCTGAAAACCCTGTTCATAATTGTAAATGCTAACGATAATCTTTAATACCATGACTGCCCATACGGATCTCCCTGCAACCTCAAGACTGCAATAAATGTCAATAAACTTGTATTTATATCCACACTGAGCCGTGGACTGATGTAAATGATAAAAATAACTCCTTATTTCCCGGCTGCCACCACCGCCAGTTTCATGAAATCCAATTTCCACTCTACTCCCAGCGAGAAAACAGACGGAGCGTAGGGAGAGGAGGGGTGCGGGGACATTAATAGACTGGAAGGTAAACAGTGAGTGTGCCTCGATGAAAACGGGCGTGTGTATGTGTGTGTTCACTTCAGCGTGTGTGTGTGTGTGTGTGTGTGCTGCACTGAGCAGACTTGTTGATCCTTGCATTCCAGTGGCAGCCTTGAGAGCAGCTAATCCAGTCTTAGTCAACGGCCTCTTGAACTCCCGGGTCACACCGCTGCACACATCGATACTCACAAGTTACAAGTTAAATGCATGGGCACACACATGAAATGGGTTTGCAAGTGTGTGCATACCAGACACATGGATGCACACGCACCCTCTGCAAAGACAACACATGATATACCAACTGCAGTATGGGATTTTCTCTCTCTTAATCTGGGTATTTCCTGCATAGAGGCTCTCTGGGATGTCAACAGACTGGAATTTTGACTTCCTCAAACTGATCTGTCTCTATCTGTCTGGTCTTGATCTTATCAGTCTGTCTGTCCTCCTGCTCTCTCCATGCTTGGCAAATAGAATCAAAGAATGATCAATGGAGCTAGCACCTTCAGGCAGGTCACGTACACGCCAGCATCTATCAGATTATCTCAGACTGGCAGCCACTGCAGCTGAAACCATCAAGACACTGACAAGGAAAAATGTACTTCATTTAAGTCTTTTCACCTTCAGGCTTCTGGGTCACACTTATCTGAACCTGCTACACATGAATTGTACAAATATTTGACACTGCCATCGGCTTCATCTGATTGTTATTTGATCATTTTATTATTTTATTATTGTTTTTTTTTCATTATGTTGTGTTTTCCTGAGTATCATGGGTCCCTGGGCAGCTTCAGCATTGCCTTTCACATCTTTGAAGGCAAATTTGCCTAATAACCCTAACCCTGAGTCTTCACCAGGGAAGACTTGCATGCCCCCAGCAATGGGCGGAAAAGAAACTATAACTATATTATTTTAGTTGCATTTTTATACGGTCCCCTCATGGCACTTTTTTCCCTCCTTTGGACATTGCACAGTTAAAAATAAAAGAAAACTACTGTAATTTGTCATGTATTGTCCTACTTTGATATATTTTGATGACAAGTACTTTTTCTTGGGTATATTATTTCAGGTAAAAATCACCCGGCGATAGTAATGGTGTTACTAATTTTAGCGATAGTGTTCTAGGGTTGAAAAGACTAAGGGCCTGTGTCCACACTTTTTTTTTTTTGCACCCACAAAAAGCAAATCCTACTTTTATTCAGCACTTTGTGGTAATTGTCATTTAAAATCACAAAGGTTTGTGGTAGACACAATCATGTACATGGAGAGTATTATGGAAAAAACAGTTTCATCAGCCCCTTTAACAGTTTTCAGAAAGACTTAGGGCCTGTGTCCACTAAAAACGTTTTTGTACAGGCTGTGTTTTTTTTTTTTTTCTATTCAAACCAACACATTTTTTAGTGTCCAGACCACAAAAAAGCCACTTGTGACAACTGCTCTTTAAAGCTGATGATCAATTTCCTTTACCGGCCAATCAAATCCAAGAATGGGTGATGTCAACTTTGTGAACAAGAATGGCAGAGGATCATAAGGAGGAGAAACTAACCACACTTGCACACTTGCAACATAGAGGCGTTGATTAGAAGGGCTCTGGAATTAAGTGCACTGCAAATCCAAAAACGCTGTCAGTGGAAACAGGCCCTAAAAAGGGTGACCCTTACAACCAAATGTTGTGTAGTTTTTCAGTATTTGCTCATAAGAGGTCATACATTATTTATCGTGGGCTGGTACTAAAGCATTCTTTCACACTAAAAACACATGCACCTTGTTAGAGAAAGCTCTCTCCCCTGTGGCCTTTGACCCCTGGAGACAGACTGAAGCAGTAAAACAGACGGCATGATCCTTGATGCTGACACTATTGACCTGTAAAGACTTTCCAGGAAATTTCTATCCCCTCATAAAAAAAAAAAAAAGGGTGGGTAATTTCTGCCAGAATTTGTGGACAGCTTCTTTGAGATGCGACCACACTGTTCCTGACAAGATCCGTCCAAGGCTGAGAGAATTAACGTCTCTGGCTAGTTTTTGGCTTCCTTGTTAAGTTTGACCAAAGAGCAACAGCTGCGAGTGGTGTTGAAAGTATGAGCAGGGATTTCTGCACCGGAGAGCACAATCTGTTCTTAGTATTTAGCACGGAGTTCTGCTTCCTGTGCATGACTCGTGTGTATGTGTGTGCACCCATGTGTGGCTGTTGATTGCAAACATCAGCATGTGTGAAGAAGAGGATTAAAGAACTCTTCATACCCAGGATGGCAGGCTTGATGAGTTCCGTCTTGTTTCCAGTATATTAAACCGTTTTGCAGAGCATGCGAAACTACAAGAACACGCTGTTATTGGCTTCTAAAAATTCCCAAACTATGACGTAAGGCTTCTGTACGCTTCACACAGCAACACTGTGATCGACATCGTGCCCTCATGGGTTCTGCACAAACAGTCAGGAAACATGTCTGACCTTTTCTTGAACCCTGCAACCAACTCCTTCAACTTTTTTCCCAGAAGAAAGAACCACCTCTGGATGAAGTCACGCAGAAAGCAGGGCAAGAGTTTCAGCCGTAAATCAAACTCCTTCAAACTTCTGGAGTGCATATTTTGTTCAGGCCTTAAGAAACACCCCTTCCTTGTGGCAGCACATCTCTCCTAGCAAGATCAGATGTTGCCAGAAGTTTCTCTTCTGCAATTCCTCGGCTCTGTTTTCCCCTCAGCCTTCCACCATCTCCATAAAAAGACAAGTTCTTTGAGAGGGCGGACTTCTCTTTTGCTGTTGATAATAAAACAAGTGCCGTTCCCTGACGGGGTGTAGAAAGAAAAACGAGGGACGGGTGGTGTTGTCATGACGAGCCAGCAGTGACGGCTCTGGAACTTGAAGAGGCTGTTTTTGACTTCCTGCCACGCTTGAGGGACAATACACATGCAACACCAGAGCGAGAAACCAATTCACAGCGAGGGTAATGAATGTAAAGGAATGTATGTTACATCATATGACATACACGATAAGAGGTCGACAAGCCCTAAGCAAAGACAGCTGACCGAGACCTAGATTTGGCTCTGATAGGAGAGTAAACAGCGGATAAAAAGGCTAGTATTTGGAATAATCCTTTAATAAACACGTCTATGGATATATTGTGTGTCCTCAGTGTTTATAAAAAAGGTTTCAGGGAGAGCTGATCTGTTCCAGTTTCGTTTAAAGACCCACTCCAATGAATATCATGTTTTTCTTGTTTTTTACATGTTCATGTGTCATTTTTCTGAAGCTACAGGACAAATCATGAGAAAACTAAATGCGAAATTGCTTTTCTGTTTATTTCTGCATTCAAACTGAATCTCTGGCAGGTTCAGAAACAGTGAGATTTTATACGTAACCAATCCAAGCTCCACCCCCAGAGCCCCGCTTTGCAGGCTAGACTCTGCATATAGAGGAGAAATAGAGAGGACAATTGCGGAACAAGCATTTGCTTTAGCGGATTGCAACGCTCGTAAGAAATCTAATTGTGGCATTAGCTTTCTTTGTGTCCCTAAAGACATTGGTGTCTGAGCTCCTATGTTACCTGCTACTTCTACTACACTGGCAATGTTAGGCTACAAACTAACATGAAGACAAGTGTGCAGAGCAGCGCTGTCTCTGCCCACGACTCAGAGGCGAAAACTTTAAGTAGTAAAAAAAAAAAACGATCAGAGTGGGACTTTAAGGATATCGTCAAGGACATGACTTTGGTAGCAAAGCCCTAAAACTACTAGATTAATAAGAATATCAATATGAATATTGAGAATAACTTTATTTTATCCCCAAAGGAAAATTCAATTGTCTTCAGTCTCATTTGTCATAACTCAAAAAGTCATCTCCTATTTATGGTAGAATTGTAAAGTGTGATTAGAGACTTGTTACACAGTACTTCACAGGAGGCTTTACACATTTTTTTCTCTGTTTTGTAGAAGGGTAATGCAACTGCAGCTTGCAAAACATGCAACAAGTATAACAGGTGTGAAAAAAATTGACACTTTTTGAATTTAAAAACTGTAAGAAATTTTAAGGTTTGGTATCAGCTCAAACAATCCATATTGCACATCTCTAATTTATCCATCTTCCTAGATTTGAAGACAGACAAGTCAGTAATTTTCCGTGCTCAAACAACCACAGTAAAGGGCCGTCAATTGAGTCTTATGTGTATCCATGATTCAAGAGTCTAAATTCGCCAGTTTACTTAAACTCAAAGTCTTGCTTGTCTAAATCTGCAGCACTTTCAATTATATCAGAACCTTAATATCAATCAACCCCCCAAAACTGTGTGATTGACCATTTATTTACATGCATGTTGTGCTGCTGGACTTGAAGAGTTCTCATAACGAAACCTAAAATCACTGCACATTCTTTGTGTCTTCACTGCTGCAGACAAGATGTCCACTCCCGCTAAGTTCTGGGTCAGAGTGTGCCGAGGAAAACTTGTGATCAATGTAAATAAACCTGCTGTGCTAAAGCTGCGTGCCCTGCTGACGCCATCCAAAGACACATGAAAGCAAACGGCCGTGCATTTTCCTGAACGTCCACACTCGACATTTCATCTGTTTAGTCAAAGCTTATTTTAATTTCAAGATGACCGGGGGCTTTGTTGCTCTCTCCGCCTCAGCTGTTTGTTCTGGGAGCGGCAGGTAAGTAAAACAAACACACCTCCTAGAATGAAACCAGGTCACACATGAGCAGGTAAGGAAAGGACAGGTTTTTATAAAATGTTTGCTCTCGGGTCTGGGGAGAGAAAAAAAGGAAAGTGGAGCGAAATACCAAAGTAAAGGACACAAGCGTGACAAAAGCGAGGGAATCTGGCGCTTGTTTAAACAGGTAGCGGCACTCGGGGTGGTTCAAGACCAACCGTTTTCAGTTATGTCAGTGATGAGAGACGGAAAGACAAAGCTGGAGGCAAACAAGTAGCAGTGAGGGAGGGTAATCAATCATTTCACAGATACATCCATTGTGTCATCTGTCAAAGTCTAGAGCGAGGGCACATAATCAATCCAGTGTTATCAGAGATGATCAGAAAATCAATGATTGATCATTTTGATGGTGCCCAATCTGCAGGAACATCAGCTTCCCAAATAAATCCTGAATTTGAACAGCGGCCAACTCTGAAGTTGACACGTTAAACGGTTTGCCAACGCTTGACTTAGAAGGCAAGCGTTCAAGACACCCTTTATTTGACTATTGGCAGAAGCCTTGGCGCCGTCTGGCTCCTCTCCAACATTAGCTCACTCGCATCAAGCCCGCGCTCTGACACTTCCTTGTTCATTCAGTTATCTGTTGTCCTCCAGTGACAGCACATGACTTCACCGCGCACATGACCTACGACTTGAGCAAACCGCGACAACTGGTGGAGCGAGTTCAGGCCTGGAGTTGCAGGAATCCAATTTTGTATCAGCCCTCAGGAAATAACAGAACGTATGAGATACTGACAGTGGAATATTGATGATATTCAGATTGGCTCGTCACCGTGTGTAAATTGAGTTTAACACTAGTTGGTGACGGCGAACTTTGTAAACAGTCAAACTTCGAAATATCATCCCAGGATTGTCTTTTTAAGGGACAGTATTGGCTTCTGTTTATTTGCAGATGGTTGTTCCTTGGTAGACAACTGCTTTCATTCAGCCAATCTGATAAAAAACGGCAAAACAATAACAGATCGTGTCGCTCACTGTCTTAAAAAGCCAACAAACATGTATCTAAATCTGAATCTTCCTCCTGAACATATGCCCTCTCTCTGGGAAAGCATTATTCTGCTGTAATTTGTTCCTCTTGAGAGCTTTTGCTTTATTGCAGTTGACAAATCTTGACTGCGATGACTAAAAAGGCAGCCTTGGTATCGCTCTTCTAATCACATTCAATCTGTAATCTTCTCTTGAAAACAGTTTCTTACTCAAACAGCGGCTGAGCAATCAGTCCAGCCTGTTGTTATTCTCTCCCAGATGTTATTCAAGGCCTTGACGCCATCACAGCCACTTCCAGTTGAACAAACTCACACCAACAATGACTGAGAATTACTTGTTTACGCACAAGTCTTTCTTCTCCATCCCTGAGTGTCTCCAGCCTGATAACCTGGAGTCAGAAACATTTATCCTGGCAAATCCTACATTACCGTGATTGCATCTTTTCTCCGGACCTTTTCTTTCTCATATTTTAACTGCATTCTTTTACCCGGTTCAGCTGAGTGAGCGTTGAGGATTTATATGACAGCGCAGCCGCCTGGCGTCATGTCCAGTAGTATTTGGTTGTGAAGCACGGTCAGGACGTAACTCTTATCCGGTTACCTGCTGCGTTTTGTAATAAAGGGAGCGGTTTAAGGTTTCCAGGGGAAAGATTTGATATATTTTCAACAGTTAGTCGCTGTCTGAATGAATTTCTTTCCTTATAAAGCCTCCAAGAATCACAGTACACTCTTGGTTATGATTTTCAGGCCATCAGGCATTAAAAACAAAGATGACTCTGTACTGGAAGTCCCCGCATGTGGTCAAAATTTATTCCAAAACCCATTTAGGTGACTCATCTGTGGAATAGAACGAGTTTAAGTGAAGAAATTTGTCTGTATTATGACAAATCATGATGTGACAGTCTTTTTGGAAACCATTCAGTTTGTTTACATGACACTCGAGAAAACCGAATTATTACTCCGATCAAGACTGGATAACTGAAGTGTATGTAAACACCTTAGTCTGACTTTAATCAGAGTTTGAGAACTCCGATTAAGACACCCAGATCATGCGATTGGAATTCGATTTTCTCTACCATGTAACCGGCGTAGTCAGAGTATGATCGGACAATGCATGTGCGCCAACATGTGCGAAAATGCCCAGCAGGAGTTGTAGCTGTAGTTGTTGACGTCTGGCACAAACCTACTGTTGTTGGCAGTTGTTGACAGTCGCAGCTGAAAAGTCACATATCGCCCCCTAGTTTTGGGGAGGAGGACACGTTCGCATCAATAATTCGATTTTCTCTCCACCATCAACACACGGTTCAAGAACCAGCTTTTGTGATAGTCGGGGGCTTTGAACACATATTACAACAGCATGGCTCTGTAGTAGAAGAGTCCCTTTGCCTGACTTAACTACCCACAGTGCTGATTTGTCATTTAATATTTAAGGTTTTTGGGTAACAAAACAAAGAAATCTCATTCTGCTAATTCTTTATAGTCAAAGGCCGTTTCAACCGTATACTGTCAATCACCTTGTATGGCGCCTACTCTGCGGCAGTCGTTCTGAACATTAAAAATAATGAGGTAGCAAAAAAATCATGCTTTTCTTTTAGGTTCTGTTTGCTTTTGTAGGTCGTAAAAATAAATCTGTGTAAATTTTGGTCCATTTCATTACTCACTGAAAACCCCCTACAGGAGCTTTAACTATCATTTCCATCATCACATTTGTTTCCACATACGCTGAACTCACCCTGCTCTTTATTCGGATCCAAAGCTCAAGTATTCCCTGTTCCTTTTCCCTAAACGCTCCCTCAGCTGATCTTAGGGGATCTTGGGGCATTCCCAAGCCAAGCGGGCTATTAAATCCTTCCACTGTTTTTACGGTCTGCCCCTCGTATCCTCAGAATTGGACCTTGCAGTAATACCTCCACAGGGTGGCAACCAGTAGAAACCACAACCCAGTGGATTCCACAACCTTGAGTGACTCTATTCCTGATGTCTCCATCTTTATGATGACTTACGTTTAATATCAACATAAATCAGTTGCACTTTTACCATCGGAAACACTTAGACGATGCAATAAAGTTGAAGATTTATACGTTTTGTTCCTCTTAGCAGTAAAGTTGCCCTGCTTTGCTTGAATCACCCTCCATAGCAGATTCAATCAGGCTGTAAATGTGATTTCTATCATGTTTTGGCCGGGTTCTCAGAGGGAAGACCAAGTTTGAATAACCAAATGAGAGCCCAGATTCATCAATTTCAACTTTAAGGAGTCTGGTCGGTGTCCTCAAGCCTCGTCAGCCTGCTTTTGGATACAGTTTAGACACCATAACGAAAGGCCATGTGGCGACAGCTTTCACACCACCCAGTACACCCAGAGCACAAAACCCAGACCGCAACACGCCGCCGGGAGAGCCAAAGAAAATTGTATTGTTTTCCAATCAACGCTCATAGCTTTTTACAAGAGCTCCCAGCCACAGAAACATTGCTCATAAAGAGGAGAGAGACCGCTGGAAGAAGTCAGAGGAGGATTCCTCACTGCTGGAGAAGAGGGGGAAAGAGGGGGAGGGATGGAAACAGAAAGGGCAGATGATAAAACACTCACATGTGTGCTTGTTTAAATTGTCTCTGCTGCATAAACCAACACGGCTCCCGCATTTGAATGAACCTGTTCTGCAAGGAACCCTGTTGCATCTCTGCGTAAACTTCATGGGTAATATGCCAAACAGCTAAATTTGAACCTGAAAGATGCTGAGTGTTTCATTTTAAAGGTGCGGTTCTCATGAATGCTGTCATCTCTCCTCGCAGCCTTGACCCAAACCTGTGTGTTTTGCCCTCATCTCTGCACTAGTGTCGAGCACAACAACTCTGACACTGAGTGTGCAGCAGGTTTCAGTCTGACTGAGCAGCTTTCAGTGCGAAAGTCTCCCTTTTAAACCAGGAAACATGTGTGGTCTTGTGTGCATGTGTGTGTGTGCATGCTCTCTGCACCAAATGTCACTAAAAATGTTCCATCACAGGAAGTTTTTTTTTTTTCTTTTTTTGCACACTGAGTCCTCTTTACACGTCTAAGTTTCAGGTTTCTGTGTCACCTACAATTCAAAGCAGATTAATAATGGTTAAGTCAGATTTTTCTGCTCTTTTGTTGGACTATTTTCAAGCTTTAAACGCCAAAAAGTAGATAGTTAAGTTAAATTACCTATTGTCTGCTTTTGACGCATGTTTCAGAGAGACAGATGCGAAAAAACGGACTTAAAAATTAATTTAAGACCAATAAATTGAGCACTTACAAGATAGGTATTCTGCCTGTCGAGGAACACGGAGTCTCCCATTGTCCAGGATGAGTATCCACATAAAAAAACGCCAAAGAAATAATAAACAATTAAAGAAATCCTGCTGGAAAAATCCCAAAAAGTGAGTTTACGCGCCTCGAAGCGAAACGTAGCAAGAGAAGAAGTCACCACCACTCTCTCCTGTCTTCACCCTCCTCTACATCTAAGACAAACAGACTCTTTTTAACTGCAAACTATCAGAGCGCGTGCTTTTTTTTTAAGAGTTGATGCCTTTACGCCGGTCGGTAGCGCGTGTCAGGAGAGCATCTGTGCCAGGGAGGACACCACAGTGCGTAATGCGTAACGGATCCATACCGCGCGCTCCGTGGATTCTGGTGAGGACAGATGCTGAACCAAGCGAGTCGAGGCAGAGAGGGAGACGGCTGTCAAGTCAATTTAGCGATGACAACCTACTTCCGGTAGAGATTTTCAAAATAAACCGGCTTTAGTCTGCGTCATAGTTCAATTAAGACAACAGAGTGGGATGACGACTGTACGGATGAAGTTAATAAACATATTAGAGGAGTTTTACATAAATAAGGGATCGTGTTCTTTACAATTGATTAATTTCTATACTGTTGCATTGGCAGAAGTGTCCTTTCAAATTAAAAGCCCCTCTGAAAGTTACACCAACCGTTTTAATGGTGCTTTTAACATATTCAAACATGCTTACATCGAATCTAATCACTATTATCTTTGCTAAATATTGGTCAGACTCTTCTTTGGCAGCTTTTAGACAGCTTTCTCATTCCTCTTTGTCATTTTTTTGTCATAGTGCACCAGCTGTTTTTAATAGCTGACAGATGAGCACTGCAGATGGGCCAGTTTAACACCCAGACCCTTCGGCTTCAGAGGTATTTTGTCGCCGTATTGCGCAAAAGTCATTGTCTAGACCAGTGGTTCTCAAGTCCAGTCCTCGAGGCCCACTGTCCTGCATGTTTTGGATGTTTGCCTGCTCCAACACACCTGATTCAAATGATCAGCTCGTTAGTAAGCCACTACAGAGCTTGATAACGAGCTGATCATTTGAATCAGGTGTGTTTGAGCAGGGCCTCGAGGACTGGACTTGAGAACCACTGGACTAGACGGCAGTAAATGTTGCTCCAAAACCTGTATATATTGTTCAGTAGTAATGGTGCTTTTGTAGATGTTTCAGGCGCTTATGCATCCCAGTGCCACCAAAGATGCTGATGGTCTCTCCTCACTTCAGGAAAGAGCATGACCATAAATATGAAATCTTTGTTGTCACCATAAGACAGTTTTTCACTCTCTCAAATGGGTTGCGGCCTACACTGATGAGACGTTCGTTTTCGATGTGATTTTGAGTTCATGCAGTGACTTCCACTACAGAGTCAAGCCTGTTTTTTTAAACAGTGTCACCTTAGGGCTCAAAGTTCCCAGCCATTCAGTGTTAGAATATGACCTTGTCTCTTTTGTACAGAGATTTATCCACATTTACCTCATTTTCTTAATGATATTTTGTACTGTAGATGTTGAAACTAAATTTTTTCATTCAAAAATTTTACTTTCAACATTTAAATAGTTGTCTTTCAATCATCATCTGATTTTAACGAATCTTTGCAAAGTGTTCTGACTCTTACAGAGCTGGGTTTGTCCAACTAATATAACATAACATAAGCCAGGACACGTCTTGTGCTCCATGACTCTGTGTAAACCTGTCCGATCACCTCATCTGTGCATGTATTAAGCATTTATCGCATTATAGCTTCATAGATAAGCACAAGGTATTCGACGCTGAAAAGCTGAGCCAAGCAGAGACAAAGAGGGGGGAGGGGTGGAGAACTGAAGGAGGGGGACTAACAGAGGAAGAAGCTTCTGATTATCAACATGAGGGCTGCTCGAATGTTTTCACGTCTGTGACCCACAAATGGAGCTCTAGAGATGATAAGAATTGAGTCTGAGAATCTCCATTTAGGGAGATTTTTGGTTTGTGGAACAGAAATGAAGCTTTGCTGGTATAAAATGCCAATAAATGATACATTAAATGAAGAAAAGCTACTTATTCATTCACAAAACCCTGTTCTACCACATGATTTGTTCAGAGTTGAAGTCTATGAAATGATCTCCTTTGAGCGGAGAAACCGATCGCTGGAAACCTCTGTGAATGCACAGTGGTCAAGCTAATAATAAGCTGCTGGAAAGCTGATATTTTGGCGACAAATACCCCACTGTAGGTCTAATTACTGGAGCAGATAAATCACAGTGGAGAATTAATTGGCCAATATGAAAACCCACAACTTTGATGGCTCGCTTGCACCATAAAAATAACTGTTTTTTTTTTTTTACGAGTGCGGCCCCCTCCCAAATATGCTCCTCAAAGGCCAGTCCACCGCTGGTAGATTCTCAATAAGAAAGGGGGAGGTCATCGGGGTTTATGTAATACTTAATGTGGAACCAGTATTGGGAAATCCATGACTAAAGACTCCATTTGTATCCGGCCTCATAAAAACACAGGACTGTGCAAAACAACCCATCAAAATCAGGACTCAGTGAGTGATATTACCACATTTTTTCCTGGTTTTTACCCAGTAAATGTGGACGAGTGGGGGTCTTAAAGACACTGTAACTCTTATCAGGTAGTACCGAGTTATTTAAGGAATGCAGAGAAGTCAAGAGAGCACTTAGGTTACTCTGAAATGAAGAGATAACAGATCTACTAAAGGCCGACTCAGCTGTAAACTGAATGCCTGCACTGTTGTGATTGGAGTTTACTGAGGATGTCACACAGACATCATCTCTGAAGCCTGCGGTGTTATAAAGTTACAGGAGACATAAAACCTGTTCCTGCAGAGAATAGTTCTTTATTTGTTAGCTGCTTATCAGATCTGGTCCAGAACAGGTTTGCTTAAATGTTGAAAGATGTGTAAAGTTGTACGATAAAGAAAAGAGATAAAATTGAATGACATAAGGAGAGGAGGCAGAGTTTTGACCTTTTGTTATGGAAAAGTTCTTAATCATGAAGATATTGACAAGTAAGAGCCAATGTACAAATTCGATGCCAGCAAGAATTAGCCACGTTAGTAAGATTGATTTGCAAATATAGCAAAATCGAGTTTCTGTTCGTAGGGAAACAGAGGGAGAAAAAAGACTGACACTGACGTGAGCTTTTCTCCTCTTGAAAACACTGAGTGAAGTTCAGCGGTAAGGTTAGACGCTGTGTTTTATGGCTGTGTAGGAGGAGCCCATTGTCTCCTAAAATGGTGTTTCAGTGGTCCCAGGGTGACCGTGGCTCACACACACACTAACACTAAAAAACACCGAGCCAGTGAGAGAGGGAGGGAGAGGGGGAAAAAAAGACAGATGATGTATGGATGAGCGATTTTTATATGCGTGTCAGAACGGGCAGAAATCAGCTTCGAACGTACTTAAAAACAACGCTAAACGTTCCTGACGTGAAATCAACTCCAGTTCGTCTCAAAAACAACAAATTATGAACAATTCCAATCAACAATGCTGACTTCACCTCCCACAAACGCACATCTTGAAATTTCCAGTCTTATTTTACAGGGAACATATGAGGCCAGCTCCATAATTCCAGCACCGTATAGTATAGGCAGGCTGCAGAAGACGCCAATGTTTACATCCCCCAGAGCAGGAGGTGCAGCAGCCTCCGTCCAAAGGCGGGATGCCTCAGTCGTGAAATCACCCCATGGAGTGGAAAGTATTCTGTTAAAGTGCTTTAAGACGATCCAGTAAATGACAGAGAAAAATCCTGCAGGGGCCTTCGATCTGTTTAATAAACACTCGCGAAATAGATGTTGCAAGGCCTCGATCAAAGTGTTTGCATGTGTTGCATCACACTCGCGATCGCCTTGCGTGGCCCTGGCCCCGGAGGACGCTGGGGGAAAACTATGAGCAAAGGGTTGAGAATTTGACTCTTAATAATTCAGAATCTCTTTAATGCCAGTTGGATCAGTTCCTCTGAGAGTGTAATCCATCTTGTATTTCAAAATAGGTGCTGGGAATTATGAGCTGGCAACAAAACGGCAAGAGTTGTACAGATTAGCGATGCCATCATTCATTTCCATAAAGGATAATTTTAGCTACACTGTCTCCTAGAAAGTATGTCAGTGAATTTATTTCTGAACGTTTTCTGTTGGTGTTTTCTGAATTCTGCCAAAGTCTATGTTTTTTTGCCGCTCAATTGGATTCCCAAGACGTGGTCGGGCAGCGAGAGCACTCTGGGAAAAGGTCATGTCAGTCAGAGTTTGCTAAAAGAAGTCACAAAGTTTTTCCAGTGGTATTATTTCAGACAACCATGAAAAGTTAAGAAAAAGTATATCAGCTCAAGCAGAAAGTGCAAAATCGCCAATTTACCTGAAAATTGGACCTCTACATTTTCATTTTGCAAACATTTCTTGCTCACCAGAGGTTAAATCCAATGACTTCTGATGGGAATCTCATGCTTTCTTGTACAAATACTGCCCAGTCAATTGGTCAACAACCATTAAGTAGATTGAAACATCCCAGTAACTTTTAAATTGATTGCAAAAAATCTTTGCACAGCTGTTCATGATCCCAAGAGGGTCAACCCCACGTACTCTGATTACCCTTTTGCTTTTCATCTCGCTTCAAAGAGAGTTGGGCAGCTTTATTGGATGGAAAATGTCTTCAAATGTGCAGAATAGACTTCCATTTAATTTGGTATAGACTTACATGCTCCCCAGAGGATGCATCATAATATTCCCAATCCTCAGCTTGTACAGAACGAATTTGTTGCTTCATATAAACACAAAAAAGGAAAGGAAAATGTCTCATTTATCCAAAGAAGTACTTCAAAACTTATTGTATTAATGGCATTGTGTCTTTCATAGTTCTCAGAGGATGTACCTTTGTGATGCTGTTTGGTTATATGGAGCATTTTACTCTGACGTAGTGAAGTGTTTTGTTTTGTTTTTCTTTTTATAGTTGAAGATTGGGGCCATATTTTTACAAAAACACAACACTTTTTTTAAACTAATTTTTCAGTTTATTAAGCTAATATGGTGACCTTAAAGTGTGGCCATGTTTGACATCACTGATCGCACTGTTTGCACATAAACCAAGCACCAAGAGCAACGAATTTATTAATTCAATAGCTAAAAAATTACTGATCTAGAAACTAATTTTCATTCATATGAAACACTACACTATCCAAACATATCCAACAAATGTCAAGGGAAGTCAAGGGCTAAATATTAATTGTTCATTTGATCCAATTATCCAAATATCATGGTTGTACGCATATATATTCCAGTTTATAGCTGGTACCCGTTTTAAAAGCAGATCAAATCTCACACATTTTAAGAGATAACACAAATCTAGCAGATAAAGTGTGACGCTTAGCTCATGGTTTCATGCTTATTAACTTCTTGTCAATGTGTTTTATCTCTCTCTCTCTCACATGGTGAACTTTGACCCCAGTTTCACAAGACATCCACATGAACGGGGGAGAAAGAGAGAGAAAATGAGGGAAAAGAGGAGAGGGTGGGGGGAGAATGGTAAAAAAACTGGGCACATATAAACGAATTTACAGCAGGAGCAGCACAAAGCAGCTCCAGGGGATGACCTCACAACTGGGGAATGTGTGTGTGTGCGTGTGTGTGTTAATGTGTGTGTGAGACAGTGTGTGTTCACTTCTACACTTCGGGGTAAATACAAAAGACACAAACAAATACAATGAAAAAATAATGCATCTTTAAGGGTAAAGCATTGAAGTTTTCCCCGCATAGAAATGATGTTTTTAAGATGATGCTCCAAACACAGGACACGCACTCTCACACGAACACACAACATGACGACAGCGCGGATCTGGATTCAATCTGGACGCTTCCATCAACAGGCCGACCCATGCGTCCTAAATCTCCATACTGTCCTCAGGGCCAATAGACAGAGAGGGGGAAGTGAGGGAGGAATTCTGGGTTGTAGCCCAGTGTTTCTATATGGCTTTCATCTCCATACCACCTCCATTAGAGCATGCTAAAAGCTGCTGGCAGGTCAGGACCGTTCTGCCGTGGAGACGCTTCGCCCTGACCTGAGGGGCTGCCATGCTTTGCGAAGACAGGAAAATATGTTTTGCAGGAAAGGAAAATGATTTAAACGTGAAAAACAGTAACCAAGGGGAGTAAATTTGAATTCGAAACAAACAAGACCCGTGGCTCTTTTGACTCTGAGGATTTATGAAATATGAGGTCAGACTTCACAACCTTTAAGCCCACGCCCAGGTGATCGCTGAGCTGTAATTTTTTGCTTGGACATGACCAACAAACAAAACAGACTTCCTCTGAGTAACTGACCAATCATCCCCAATCTGTGTTTTTGTCTTTCTCGCTCTTTTGCACGAAAATGACTTTTTTAAAAAATGAGTTAAATGAGAGTGTAGCTCATGGCTGTACTGAGATGAATGTGTGTCCATGAATCAAGGACTCTGTCTGAGTCATATGATGGACATGATTGGTTTCAGGCTGTTTTTTTGCACTCTTTTTAGTGCCTGTTTTTGTCACTCTGACCCTGAAAGTATCCCCTTTGTGCAGCTGGGACCGTTTTGTTGTTCTCTCCATAGTCAGACTTTAATTTGCCCATTTGCTCCTTAAATTTAATCATCTTTTTCAGCTTTTTCTTGAATAAAATATAAAAAAAAGTGTTTCTCAGCGGCATGTGTGCGCACAGGTGTTAACCATTGTGTGTTTTCATCACCTGACCCTGAATGACGTCATCCGAGAGAGAGAGAGAGAAAAGAAATCGGTGTCTGTACATCAGTGCCGTCTGCTCTTGCTCCAGTCTTTCCTCTCCTTTTTGTGTATGTTTATCCGTCTCTGTCTGCCTGTCTGCTCGTGTTTCGGTCTGCTGATGTGACCTTCCACCCTTCCACCCCTCTATCCGTCTTCCTGCCTTCTGCTCTGTCAGCTTGTTTGCATGAACAGTCGGCTGGCAGTTTCCTCCATGAGAACGCCATGTAACATTTTTCCACTATTGTCAGGTGATTGGAGGACGAGAATGAGTGGTTCTCAAGTCCAGTCCTCGAGCCCCCCCAGTCCTGCATGTTTTGGATGTTTCCCTGCTCCAACACACCTGATTCAAATGATCAGCTCGTTAGTAAGCCATTACAGAGCTTGATAACGAGCTGATCATTTGAATCAGGTGTGGGACTTGAGAACCACTGAAATAGACGATCAGAGTTCTGCTTGAAAGTCTCTTCTTCGTAAATGTGTGTTTTTCCCAGGTTTCTTTTTTCCAGATCGGCAAAGATGATATGACCGCACTGAATTGAGCAGGCAATAACTAAACACAGGAGTTGGTTAGAGACTAACCTTTTTCTCTGGTGAAGGAAGAGAATCTTTCTTTTTAGATATTGCACTTCATTCTAGATATTCTGTGATTCCCAAAATATACGGAAATTTCTATTGCAGTCAAATTGCGTAAATGAACCTGGCACTGAATGAGTTGATGTAGAGCTACCTGAGGGGCCTGAAAATCCAAGCCACCCGGTATTGGTTTTCATCCTTCTCCTTTCAAAGAAATCCTGAAACTTTTTGCCTGAATTCTGTCAATTAAGAAACATTATTTTCTAAATTATTGAACTATTTTGCTCTAGTTGAGTTGAGTTAATGACCAAAAGTTTACACTTATTCCAAAACTAATTTGTCGTTTTTAAGTGTGTTTATCCTAAGTGGGTGTCATCTTTTCTCATGGTAATGTGATTGAACAAACACAACCTGTTCGCCTCCTGAGTGGCCCCGCTGTCTGTTTAATAAAGGCTGCTTTTCACACACAGATGCTCCCTCCTTCAGCTCCTCCACCTTAACACACGTGCGCACATATAAAGTGTCCTCCACCTCCCACGCTTCCTTAATGTTTTTAGCCACAACAGTTGCCATGGCGTCTCTTCTCGCCAGCTGTGTGAGACAGCACAATAACACAGAGGTGTGTGTTTCTGCGATAGCGGTCTGTATATTCACGTGTCACCGTATAAGATGATTTATAACGCGGTCGCATCTCTTAAAAGTTACAAGTTGTATGTTTAAAATTCAAGGAAGTGTTTGTAGTGTTAAATCTGAGGAAGTGATGTTTGATTTTCACTGCCGACAGGAAAGCAGAAAATAGCCTCTACTTGTTGCCATAGCACCAAAGCAAGAGCAACCAGATCTAGAGAGAGTTATTTGAGATGAGCATGGGATTAGCCGCAGAACTGTCTGGGTTCTCAAGTACGCCTTACCAAAATGAACTCCAAATATGAGTTATGAAGTCTAGACGTATCCCGGGAAAACAGCGGACATGTGATAAATTAGGGGGCGTAAAACTTCGGAGAGGCATCAGTGGTGTTGTTTTTCTTTCTCTTGCAAAAACAAAGAGGTTTTTCCTGCAAATTTGGATGTTTTTCTTAAATCATAAAACGCCAAGAGCGAGAAAACTCCACTTCCACACCTGCTGTAACACATCAGCACAGCCACGTGTTAAAAAGTACCAGTAATTTCTTTTGGAAAACTTTGAACCAACTCTTGTGCGAACCAAAGGAACAGGCGCAGAGGAGTCTCTCCGTGGAGCAAATCTCCAGAGACGTCTGAGTGAAGCAGAGTGAATAATAAAATAGAACGTCCACTGAGTGATGTGACTTGAGTGTCTTGGCTTTGCCTCTGTTAGCTGAAGGATAGCATCTCTCTCCAAAACACTCTCTGTGACTGTTTGTGTATTTGCACGAGGTCTTCTGCGAGTATTTATCTCCAGAAATGGATGTTTGAGAACGATCAGGAACTGCTCGGGGGACATCTTTGCACCTCATTTGCTTATGCTAAGTGTTTGGCATTGAGATTGAATTTGAGAACTTCCCCTTTTATTTGGTTCAGAGTGTCCCAGGTTCCAATTGTTAGCCAAAGCTGCACTAACAACTGTGCAAAACAGGCAGCTGTCAAAGACCCCCAAAGGCCTGGAAACCCTGAACTGACTGTGTGTCATTTTTTGGCATTTGATTTTTGCACATTTGCGCCTTTTAAGCACGCCGTAAACTAGCTTGTTACCAACCAAATGGCCGACTTCTATCGCCTTGGAGATACATTTCTGATGTGTCTTCTGGTCTATGTGCAGGATTATCTGCAAGGGGAAGTAACCCCCTGGGGTGCTGGGTTGATGCTGCCAAGAAAAAGTCCAGAATGAATCACTCTGTTGAAGTTTACTTTGACATTTTGAACTTTTTAACTTGCCTACCGTACAGCTAATGGACAACCACGACTCTGTAAGAGGTCCACATCTGTTTCTAGAGTCTTATTATGCCATCAATCGGGTCAATATTTGGAGTTCAGATTTGTTAATGTGCATTTTTTGTTCCACTGTTGGGAAATGTTCCCTTTTCTATCTACTTTCATAAACCTTGACTGCTCTGTGTACACAGGCTAACGACTGAGCGCCCATCCAATTACCTGCCTCTATGCAAATGAGTTTGCCCAGTATTGCCAGTGCTTTGTCTGATCACATGCTCTTCAATGCAAATCCATTTGAGACGAAATTACGCAAGAACCACAGAAGGACAAGGACATGCAAATTTAATGAAAACAAAGGGACGAGTGTGAGCCTCGCAGCCTCGACTGCTTGTTTACTACACAGCGTGTTGGTGTTCTGCTTATTGTGTATGATAATTGACTCAATCTGGCAGCTATTTCATTCATTTGCAATTCTAAAGAACTTGCCTCGTGGTTTTCCAGGTGCCAGGTGCAGAAAAATATGAAATTGTATGAAGGAAATTTGTTAAAAGCCTCCGAGGAAAGACTTTTCTTCTGGAGTCCTCTATCAGGGTGCCAGTTTTATTGTAAACGGCAAGTGACTTCCAGGCTATTTGAGAACTTTTGAGATTTCGAGAACATAATTTTTTAAGGTTTTAAGTATGCTAACTTGCAGTAAGTCCCAGTTTCACTGGAAGAAGCAGTTTGAAAGCCGCAGTTTTAGGACAAATCTTTTGTTTTTGGGGCGTTCCTTTCCAGATTGTGTTTGAGGAGGTATGCATACCTCCAGTGCATGCCTGAAGTTGAGTCTACACTCACAGGTACACCATGTAGAGTGTGTTTGAGTTGCTTTTTATACACTATAAACGTGACTGTGTGTGATCACCCGGACCGAAACCGCATCAAACCTTTATCAAAATCAAACTGAGCGGCCTCGTTTCTTCTCAGCTCAGGGGTTCAAATATTTGGTCTGCAGAATAAACACAGCAGCCTTCTAGGAATGCGCCATCAACAAACGACAGCAATGCTTTCTTTCATCGTTCGGGCCGATAATCTGGAAAGAGACAAAACTGTTTATTGATCCAAGTATGCAGCACGTGTAGCTTTAGAGTTTCATTGCTTTGCTCGAGAGCCAGGTTTGTCATCTGAGGTATCCTTTGCAAGTTTTTATCTTGATCAGCCAAAAGATAACGTTGGGAATCTTGGCAGCTCAAAAGCCAAATGTTAGCTTTGTGGATGATTGGGAAGGAGAGTTTAGGATGTTACTAATGTCCATTGCATTCACTCTCAATTAAACTGAGAAAAAATTCCAATATGAGAAGATTCATCTTTCGTTGGTTTGTCACTGGACTGTAAGTAGTACGAAATTTGTTGAAATCGGACTGATCCTTACCCCCCAATGAGAACATCCAAGTCCTCAAAACTCCAGACACCTCCTTTAACATTCAAACTCCAGATTTTTGTGTACACACACTCAGATACACAAAGGTTTCATGTTCTTAGGAGGTTTTTCATTACGCAGACAGAATTATCATGTGGTTTAACATGAGCCCCACCAGACGGACTCCCTGTTTTTGTGTATACGTGTTTTTGACGTGAGTGTGCGCTTTAGTTGAGGCAAAGAAAAAGCAGAATAAGAAAGAAGTGGAAGGAAGACAGGAGGTGGGGGGTTGACAGATCCATCCCAGCTCCTTTTTCCAGCTCTGGAATGCAGCCGGAATCCAAGCTCGACTCCCCTGTTGGCTCCACCCACACTCCCACCACCTCATATTATGCTACACACACATACACTAACACACACAAACTGGGTTCACACTGGTTTTTCTTCGTGTTAGGTCATTCTTACCATGAAGTGTTTGCCTGTTCTAACCTGTCCGGCTGATATGTAGCCCCATGCACGCTGCGTTTGATGTGTGTGAGTGTGCAACAAAACTTGAAACCAGTTAAGCTGCTGGTAAATCTTAGAAGATAAATTATCATCATCTGAAGTGGGCTGGATTGAAGCTTCTGTGAAATTTATTTGCAGTTCACTACACAGATATTCATCCACCCAACTTGAAATATTCCAACTTCAGCATAAAAGCTAAAGTTATGAGCAAACTGCACAGAAATCAGACTGATTTTGGCCTCATACTGCAAGAATGAAGCCTTTAAACTGCTTACTATTAACAGTGAAACTGAGACGCAGTAGAAATTTATATTCCAACTGGAGCAAGTAAATCCCAAGAAAATAAGTTTCTTTTTAAGGTTTAAGGTCCTTTCACACTGGGACCTTTTTTGTCCAGTGATTAATTCAAACCCGTATCCTGTCAATACAAGCGTTCACATCAGCGACATTTTCCCATCCTGCGATTTTGCGGTATTTATTTTTTCAGATCACAGTCGAATTTTTCTTAAGTTTCACATTCTGTGTGTCCACTTCTGACCAATCGGATTGCGTATTGTTGTGATGTCTGATTCACCGGTACATCCAACATGGCTGACCGGCTGATTGTTTAAATGTCGGAGAACAGAGTGCTTTTTGATAAAAACACAAATATTACAAAGTTAACGACCTGAAGGACAACTTGTGGAGAGTCATAGCGTCAGATTTCTCATATGACGATGGTTTGTGTGCTTTGCTAAACGTCTTTGTTTTAACTTTCATCTGTGCTAACGTAAGCTAGCAGTTGTTACCATAGTTTCATGTGCTTATCTTATCGCCTCTGATTGGCTGTAAGTGCTGACCGTTTGGCTTGAGCGTGTGATGATATTTCCAGCTTTTCTAGCCAATCAGAGGCGAAGGAGGCGGGACTTTCCCGGGCAAAAGCCTTTTTCCGGTGTGTCTTTTCCCCACCGGAAAGTTACAAAATCGCAATTGATGTGTAAAGTCAGGCGCGTCAAAATTCTCCTCCGAATATTTTGTAATTTCGTGTTCTATATTCGCGTCAGCCCCGGTGTGTAAGGACCTTTATGCAGCCGAAAAAAGCCAGAGTGGAGCCTCTGAATTACTTACTATGATAGTGAAACTCAGACTCACTGGGAATTGTGCTGTTTGACATCAACAAAGCCTAAATCTAGTTAAGTTGCAGGTAAATCACACATTTTCTTCTTCATGTATGTGGCCTGTGTTGATCCTGCTACATACAGTAAAACTGAGACTCACCAGAATTGTTAAAAGCCTTCTATACTTTATATGAACAGCTCCAGGATTCCCCAAAAGTTTTATAACCTAAAACACAAAATTTTACAGTTTTGAGATTAATTTGAGAAGATCGTTTCTTTTGTTGTTTGTACCGGTACAGATCCTAATCACCCGAGCACTGATGTCAGATAAGGTACAAGGATGTTTAAGGTAAATGATGTTACGCACTTCCAGACATCATTATTGTTGTTTTTATACCTTTTATAATTCTCATGGATGATCCACGTGTCTGATACCTTCATTCCCAGAACTGTCAAAAACTGCGTCAGAGCCCCCGAGCATATAAACGATCTCTTATTGCTTACGTTTCAGAGGGATGCTGTCTTTGTTCTCACTCCTGCAGCCAGGGTCAGCGTGGTGTTTACATCACTGAGTTGTTGCCACGGCAACAGACAGTAGAGCCTCACAGTCAGAGTCTGCAGAGTTGGATTCAAAAAAATCCTTGAGAGTAATGTGAAACAAAGCCAAACAGGAAGAGGTTTGGTGCCATCGCTTATGGTCCTGATTTAACATTTGTTTCAGATTTTCAAGTTTTTCACGATCCATTTCCCTTCAAAGATGTCTTAAATTTATTTTGAGCCAACAGTGACTTGCATTCCTCGTCTAATTCTTAAGGACAACTGGCAAATTCCCAGGCCAGATGGGATACACAATCCCTCCTGCGAACTCTAAGTCTACCCCGAGGCCTCCCTCCCACTGGCTGCAGTGGGAGGCATCCAGGAGTCCTTATCAAGTGCCCAATCCACCTCAGTTGACTCCTTTTGATGGGAAGGAATGACTCTTCCTCAGGTTCCTGAGCCTCTCTGAACTTTTCTCGAAAGCTAAGCCCAGCCACCTTTCAGTGGACATGTATTTTAGCCACTGGCGTTGCAATAGACACAGTTGATAGTTCCTGTATCGGCCCAGCCAATGTCGATTGGCCATTACAATAAAAGCAGGCACTGAAGTTTAAAGTCTCAGCATTTCTTCACCCTCTTAAAATAATGGCCTATGTCATTTTTTGACAAAAATAAGTTTTTGGCCTAAATCATCTCTTGATAAGGCTGGCCATCTCTGGTAAAATCGCCTAAATCCTTAGTTGAAAGGATCATGCCATGATCCTTTCAACTGCAGCTGTGTTCCAGTTACCTCAGAAGTCAGATTTTGGAGCTGGGAATGACGCTACATCTGAGTTGACGGCGTTCCAGTTAACAAGTTGGAAAACCAAGATGGACGCCTATTGTTAGCCGTTGTTACAAACACCACAGCAACGTGTTCACAGTTAGACGTTGGGCAGTACAACATATACCACTTATTTAATTTTACAAAAAAAACAAAAAACAAAACAGAAGCGCTTATAAATAATACATTACGAGAGCTTTCACTGTTACTCTTTACTGTTGATGCACTGCGCTGCCATCTTGGATGATGACGTTGTCGTCAAGTCGGGGTTGACGAGGATTGTCCAACTTTCTGAGTCGGAAATTCCGACTTCGGAGTACAACATAAGACGAACTAAGGATCATGGCATGATCCTTTCAACTAAGGATTTAGGCGATTTTACCAGAGATGGCCAGCCTTATCAAGAGATGATTGCGGCCAAAACTCATTTTTGTCAAAAAATGACTTAGGCCATTATTTTAATAGAGTGACGATTTGTAACATCAAACAGCTTTGATGTGACCCCAAAGTTGCGATAAATTACATAACACAGTAGGCAATGATGTAGCAGTATGGTCCTGACCGTTACCACTTGCCAACATGTTCTCAACATATTTATACGACATCACGTCATCTTTTTGGGTTGAAAGAAAGATCTCTAAACTATCTACGTCAACCTCCAAAATCAAGCAGAAGCGAGCTTGAAGCAGCCACAACGTACAGTCAAATACACCAGCATCCTTTAATCCGGAGTTGACTCCCAACTAAACCCTGTAAACACATTCAATGAACCAAATCTAAACATCGATTTAGTTCTGCTGTGATCGCCCTGCATGCTGGTTTCTCTTAGCCCACTGTCTCCTCTGTCAGCCGAATGGAAAGATTTAATAACTTCATAAAACCAAGAGGCATGAAGATATGCAGGTAAACATCCAAAACAGAAACTCACACACACACTCAGACACACACACACACGCAGCGTATGACTGCGGTAAGTCATTTCAGAGCCTATTAAATCTCCATTAACACACAGCCTCCCTGCTTGCCCGAGCTAATCCAACCCAGGTGTGAGAGTGTGTTTGTGAGTCCGCGCTACAAATTACCTCTCTCTGACTATCTTTACTCTTTCGATCTTCTTTTCTCTCTCTCTCTGTCTCTTCTTTAAGATCTCTGCTCTGAAAAAAACAACACAGACTCAACTTCCCACGCTCTCCTTTAAACCTGGCAGCTCTGTAACACCAAACCTCCTCCAATTAGGTCAAATTAAAGCAAATTGCTGTTCTCAGCGGGAAAGCAGGCTGACACACCTCATTGTTAATCTTATTAAGCGCACTCATCTCTGTAAAAGTCTGGAAAAAACAGCCTTGTTTATCTTCTTTTTAAAGGGGTGACACTTTTATTATTTGAAAGAGACATGCATTAGCGTAGTTTCATAGTCAGAAATCCTTGCAAGAGTTTTGCCACAGTGTGTTTTGGGTGTAATGTGAAACAAAGTGATCAATTTCTCACCTTTCATTGACCTTAAAGGAACCAACAGGTAGGAACCAACTATTTACACAGCTTTTGTTTTTTAAATAGACCAGACTTCTACCACTCGGCACACAGAAAATTAGTATTAGGGTATGTCAATGATCTGACTGGAGTTATAAGGCAGCAATATAGATGACAGTATCGTCAGCGTAAGCGTACATTTAGCAGCCAACTATCGGACAGCTCTCAGGTTTGGTTGTTAATGTGCAAAGTAAACAGCGACGGACCAAGAACTGACCCCTGGGGGATCTCTGAGAGATAGTTTGGAGAATATCTTTGAAATTTTCATTCCTGATTTTGGGAGGTGTCACTCAAAAAGCAACTAGACTCGGAGGACTCTTGTTGTATACCCTTATTCAGTTCTGACAGGGCAATAAATATGAGCCTCTGAGGGTCAAAAGTATGCTAATAATCATCGTAAAAAGGGCAGTCATTAAAAGAGCTCTTGACCTACTTTCTTCTAAGGTCGTTAACACCTTGTGTTGTGGGTGAGTCACGGGTAATCTGTCAGCTTTCTTACCTATTTGGCCGTTCTCACCCAGACTTGAATCGGCACAGCTCAGCAGAGGGCTGGGAAAGGCGCACCCCATAACATTTCTCCATAAACAACATAGGGGTATCATGATCGAGGGGCATATTGTGGTCGACCAGATTCTCCAAAATAAACCGAAAACTTCAAAGTGGAGCTCATAGACCTGCAGACCTACAGATTGGGACTTTAAAACATAGTAATTAGGGTAACACAAATATAACTTCAACAGCTGAAAGGGATGCCAAATGGACTTGAAAAATGTCTGTAGCTGAAAACTTGTTGATTGAAGTGAGAGCTGCATGTGTGATGGAGGGCTGAGCATAGACACACAAAGTGATGCATACCAACCAAATCCAACTCCTGCCTGCTTGTCTCTTTAAGTTTCTTCATGGCTTACGTCAACTACCCGCCTCTTCCTCTTCTTCTGCTGTTTATTGCAAACAAGATACTGTTGCTGCTCCTGGAAATATAAAACCCCTCTCTTCCAGGTTTGGTTGGATGTTCCCAGGGTGGACACTTTTGACACAAGGTGGCTGATTAAAGTAAAACCCTGACTCAACAGAGTTTGGTGTGTAAGCTTGTCTTCCTTTAATCCAGTGCTTCTTAAGTCCAGTCCTCGAGGCCCACTGTCCTGCATGTTTCGGATGTTTCCCTGCTCCAGCACACCTGATTCAAATGATTAGCTCGTTAGTAAGCCATTACAGAGCTTGATAACGAGCTGATCATTTGAATCAGGTGTGTTGGAGCAGGGAAACATCCAAAACATGCAGGACAGTGGGCCTCGAGGACTGGACTTAAGAACCACTGCTTTAAGTAAACATGTTTTAGTTAGAAAATAAGATTTTAAAGGAGCCTTACACCTCTTGTTTGTTTGCTTAAGCCCGATTTTACTGGAGCTGAAGCCCTCCATTAAACACTTCAAATATAAAACATCTTGTTCCTACTCTGAGTCCAAAAAGTAGGCCAGCAGTGCTGTTTTTTTTCTATCATGTGGGGACTACTGGATCTCTAAAACTAATAACTTATACACACACAATCTGTCCCTCCCTGACACACACATACACGCACACACACATCCACATTAATGTTCTGGGAAGGTACTCTGCAGGAGAGAATATGATCTCTGCTTGGAAGTGACGCTGTTCTCCACTAAAGCAGCACAAACACACATTGTTATGTTTCTGAGTGTGTGTGTATGTGTGAGTGAGTGTGTGATGATATGTGGGTGTTGGTGACAGTACAAACAAGTCCACTCCACTGGAGATCTCTTATGAGCATACTTTGCAAGTGTGTAACAATAACAAAAGCACATTTACCGGACAGTTTTATTGCTTTAATGGCTCAAAAAAAGAAAAAAAAGGTGGAGTTTGTAAGAAAATTCATGCAGTTTGATCGTATAAATGTTTAAAGGTAAATGTTTGTAGATGGCCTGTTGAATTTCCTTTTAAAGCTAACACATTTCCAAGAGAAAATAGTCCACGTTTTCTTGCCTGCTGCATTTTAAACAGTTATATTTGGCCTCAGTGCTGTGAAATATGCACCGCCTGCAGCTGCTATCGGCTTTTATAATGTTTTGGTAAGATAGTCATGACACAGAGGGGCTGAGGAGACAGATGTGCGCAGCTGTGACCAGCCACAATGCAGCCCACCCACATTTATCCTGTGATTCATCATTTAAGTGTGTGTGAGTGTTTATGTGTGTGTGCAAATACTGCAGCGAGTTCCCAAAGTCAGGCCAAGTCAGAGGATGTTTGTAAAAAGCTAAATGCTGCGCCCTGGTGGCTAAAACAACTCTTTACTCTCACTGTAAGAGATGCTTTAATGGGACACATGTACTGTGCTTTGGCCTACTGGAGGAAATTAGGCTTTTTATAGTCAGTTTTATTTATTGAATTTAGTTAAAAAATGAACTTTTACAACCCCAGTTCCAGAAAACAAATGAGAAGCAGTGGAAATGGTTGATTAAATAAGAATTTAATGGTTTGTAAATCATTTAAACCATATGTGTAATTGAAAACAGTGAGAAAAAAATGTGAAATGGTTAAAAAAAAAAAAAAAAAAGGTCTATAAAAAGTATATCCTCACTTTAAATTGGATGCAGGCAACAAGTTTAAGAAGAAAAAAAAAACTGTACACAGGGTTAGTGACATCATTTTGTATAAAAAAAAAGGTCTTCCAGAGAGGCGGAGTCTCCCAAAAGTAATGATAGGAAGAATTTCACCTCTCTGTGAAAGACTGTGTTAACAGTTTCAGAAGAGCAGTCCTAAAGAGATATTCCAGCGTAAAATTAAGTTATGAATAACTTCATAAATTGAGTTATTAGGTCAATACTTTATCATTTCCTTGAAGTAATAATCATCATATTAATCATTTTAGTTCTTCTGCCTTAGCTTCTTGGTCTGATTGCATTTCCATGAGTAAATGCTGCAGTCGATGGACTTGCCCAGAGGTCTCGCTTGAAACAAGTGGCTGCTGGAAGAGAGTAGGCGAGTTGTGTTTAGTCTCTTTGCTAAAGAAATCAGGCGAAGCTAAAAAGATGTTTGGTGGCTAGTACTGTGGCTGGGACCCTATATGTACTGTTGATGAAATTAGGTGCTGTTCTGAGTATTATTTGTGGCTATAAAGTGGCGTTTTGGTTGAGCACGTGGCTCTCTGTATTGCTATTGTGCGGTCGGTCGTTACTAAAGTTGGTTTAACTAGAGAAGCAAGCAATCAGCAACATTCATATTTTATTATTTTTTTTAATTTACTTTATGTTATTGTTTGATTTTAAGACTATTTTTTTATTTTTTCTATATTTTACTTTTTTTACTATTTTTATATTTTATCATGGAGTTATAATTTTAGTCCTCAGTGTTTCCTCATTTCTTTTAACCCAAGATAGCGTTTCCTCAGTCATCTGTGGCAAGTTGAAGAGTCCTCACCTGGTCTTTTACATATGCATCTGTGTGAGTGAGCGTGTGAGTGCTGTATGTGTTGAATGGGGGTTTTCATTGTTGTTGTTTTTTATATATATCCTGCATGAATGGACAACACTTTGTGCCACATTCTATATATGAAAGGTGCTCTAAAAATAAAGTTTGATTAAAATTTGTGATCCAGAAATGACAGGGACTTCATATGTACAGTTTCTGGAGTAACATGTGTATTTCTGTACATATTGCACCAGCATGGCTCAGAAGTAGAAGAGTCAGCACAGTTCTTACAGTGCTGACTAAAAGAGATTCCAAATTGTGGGGCAGCTGAAATCTAACTTCAAGTAAGAAAAAGGCCTCCTTGGTTTCCAAAAGATTACAGCAGGTTGTTAAGAGAAGATATGATTCAAAACAATGATCCTGTTTAGAAACATGTTAACGCAGTTCTCCCAAATGTCCACAAGATGGCGCTGAAAGCCTCTATCTCCAGCTCTCTTGAAGCAGCACTCTCATTATAATGCCTTTCTGATGAGCCGATGTCTAAAAAAGTAGAAGTGGTTTCCTCTCATTGTTACTGCAGTCTTCGCACTATTCATTCCCCCCGCGCTTTAATCAAACACACATCACATAATAAGTAGAGCTTTATGCATAAGCAGCACAGTCCCAAACACACACATACACACACACGCAAACACCCACACCTGCAACCAATACAGCTCCCCCCGCCTGGCCTGGCCTGGCCTCTGGAACTCAAGTGTTCCTCCACTGAGCTATTTTTCTATTTATAGCCGTGGAGAGGCTCGGCGGAGTCTAAAACGCCTGCTGTCTCTTTCTGTTTTGATTCCTCACTGTCTGACCGATTTGGAAGAGGGGGTCCTCCAGTTTAAATCACTTTACTTTTCAAGGCCCAAGGTCATATTTATACTTATACTTGGATGTCAAGGGTGTGCTCTCTCAGAGGCTGCAGTGATAGACAGCAACAGGAAAGACAATTAAAGCTGGTCTGATTCTATGCTGAACAGATGCTCGAATAATGGAGGATATCTGCATCTTTTCTCACTTTACTTCAAATTTTTACGAACTTGTTAACCACCTGATTCCAAGATGAGAGGATTTACTTTATGGCTAAAATCAATCTTAAGTCACACCCTTGGTTAATGGCTGATTAAAATCCAAATTAAAGCCACAGTTATTGGATAATTAAGTAAAGAATAAGCGCTGCTCAGGAAAAAAAGCGAAACACAATTTTATATAGGACTGGCATTTCGGTTAGCCCATGTAGTGACTTCCACTCCAGAGTCATGTCTGTTTTAAAGGGATATTCCAGCTTAAAATTAAGTTAGGGTCAAACCCACCGTAACGCCGAGTTAGACATCCTGTGGAGAGATGACTGTTGACGACCACTTGCTTCTCCAGTTTTACCAACTTGAGTAACGGACGCCAGATATCAATACAGAGAGCCACACACTTAACCAAAAAGCCACTCTATAGCTACCAAAAATCTCTTTAGCAAAGAGACTAAACCTAACTCATCTACTCTCTTCCAGCAGCCGTTTGTTTGGGCAAGTCCATCGACTGCTGTCGGGGGACGCAGCTCAAGGAACAACATTTATGATCATTTCCTCATGCAGTGCAAAATGATTAATATGATGATTATGCCTTCAAGAAAATGATAAAGTAATGATCATAAATGTTCTTCCTTGGGCTGCGTCACCCCACAGCAGTCGATGGACTCGCCCAGAGGTCTCCATACAAACAAACGGCTGCTGGAAGAGAGTAGGTGAGTTGTGTTTAGTCTCTTTGCTGAAGAAATTAGGCAAAGTTAAAAAGATGTTTGGTGGCTAGTGCTGTGGCTGGGACCCTTTATGTACTGTTGATGAAGTTAGGTGCTGTTCTGAGCATCATTTGTGGCTATAGAGTAGGCTTTTGGTTGAGCGCGTGGCTCTCTGTATTGCCATCGTGCGGTTGTTCTTAAAGTTACTTTGTCTCTTTTAAACAGTGATTTCTCTCTTTTACTTCTGTGAGATCATTTTTTCCTTCCATCATTGCACATTTGGATTTTAACGTTTAGTTTTGTCCTCAAGTGGAATTTGCCCCGAAAGGTTGATCCTATGGGGAACACCAAACAGTTCTTTCTTGGCAGTCTGGGCTCGTCTACTTGTCAGTAAGATGGGAATAACTTCAAATAAAAAAAAAAAACTGCAGAAACACTCGTCTATGTGAGGGAGTTTTACACGCCGATTTGAGAGATGACACTGATTTAAACGTCCACAGCTCAGGTTCAAAGGAAAACTGCTGAATGCTTTTAGTGTAGTCCTTGGAGGAAGAGAACGTGAACCTGTCCAACAAAGTCAGGCTGTGATCCCCCTGCTCAGTTCTTGTTTCTTCGATTGTAAAATCAAACTGGTGTGATCTCATGTTTTTGCTTCAGTTGCTGCATTAACTTGAGCTGGGGATTAGAAAGAAATGGTTTTGGAAGGCTAAATGAGGAGGAGAATCCCGCCAGGATGTCTGTAAAGTGAGTTAATAAGAGAGAGGAACGGACGGGAGTCAGCTTCTGTGAAGGAAAATAAAACCAGGTCGAAGATGGGATGGGCGGGCGAAGAGGAGAGGAAGTCAGCGGGGTCACTTGGTCAGTAGCTGCCCCTCTTTCAGGAGGTGCCCCGGGGCCTCGCCATGAAAGCTCTGACCTGGAATTCCAAATAAATAATTCCCTAAAGCTCCCCACTCTCACACAAACACACATTTAAAGGAGGCAAAATGCACCAATTCCTGCAAATCCACGGCTTATTTGAACTTTGTCTTCAAGTATTTGGGGGTATATTTGAGCAGCAGATGCTCAGTAATACTGCAGGGTTAGATCTCATACACATGTGAACAAAGTATGCACATTTACAAGCCGGTTTAGTCACCTAAATCTTGCATGTGTGATCAGGAATGTTCAGTTAATGCTGCCTAAATACAGCATCATTCGGAGTATTTCAAGGTCAGTGCTGAAGATTTCTTTCAAGTAATTAAAGTTTGGATACCATCGCTGATAAAACAGGGTAGATTTTGAGACAAGAAACAAGAAAAATAAGCTAAAAAAAAAAAAAAGTTTTATACATCTACAAGGGCTGTAGGCAGGATGTCCTTTCCTGAACTCGGAAACCAACATTCGGATAAAAACCGGAGCTTGATAAAATCAGGAGATGAAATTGGATTTTATTCCTTTGGGCTCATTTTTTCTGCAGCAGGACAGGATATGAAGACACGGTGTCCTCCTGACATTCCTTATGGTCATGGTACACAAACACCCACCCACCGAAACACAAAGGATGTACACTCTCTTAATTGAAATTAAAGGATTAGCATAAAATTACATCTTTTTAGCTCTGAACCTGGGACTGGAAACTGGTGAGCAGCATTTAGGCTGAGCTTTAGGTTGCAGAGTGATGGCTTGGTTGCATTCCATCACACAAGTATGTCATGCTCAGGAAAGTCGATGCAGATTTATAGACTCGGCCGAAAGGTCCTTACACACGGGGAACGTCTGTACTGAGTCGGGGCCAGTACCAGATAAGCACATTAAACTATAATCCATAAACGTAAGGTAACAACCGAGACCTAATGCTGCTGTGACAGCAACGCGATTGAGTTTGAGACAGTGAAAATACATATGGTATGTTGTATCTGAACAGGTTAGCTTACGAGCTAAAGTTACTTAGCACAGATGAAAGTTAAAACAAAGACGTTTAGCAAACTGTTAAAGCACACAAACCATCGTCATATGAGTAACGCTATGACTCTCCACAAGTTGTCCTTCAGGTCGTTATCTTTGTATTGTTTGTGCTTTTTATCAAAAAAACACTCTGTTCTCCGAAATGTAAACAATCAGCCGGTCGGCCATGTTGGATCTACCGGTGAATCTGACGTTGCAACAACACACAATCCGATTGGTCAGAAGTGGACACACAGCATGTGAAACTTTAGAAAATTCGACCGTGATACGAAAAAAGAACGCAATATCGCAAAACAGGAAAACATCGTTGATGTGAATGCTTGTATTGACAGGATACAGGTTCGAATCAAAATATTGATGTCCGAAATAATCGCACGAAAAAAACACTCCCGGTGTGTAAGGACCTTAAGAGTGCTGCAAAGTTTAGGTTTGATATAGTAGGGGTGGGAATCACCAGTAGCCCCACGATACGATATTATCATGATACTTGGGCCACGGTATGATATTATTGCGATTTTTAACATTTTGCAATATAGTGAGTATTGTGATACAATATATTGTGATTTATACAATTTTTTCAACTGTTAAGCTAATTTAGCATTTGTCTATCCTTTATGTTTGTCTTATTTATGCTGTATTCTATTTTCATGTAGCACAACCTGCTAACCTTGCATATATTTTTTGCAGTAACTTTCTCCTGCTCTATGATGTCACCTCTGCCAACCTCACTGAACAGTTGATTTTATTTTTCCATTATCATAGATTTGACTTCATATTAACAATTAATTCAAAAAATCAATAGCTGGTAAATAAGAGGATACGATATATTGCCAGACAAAATATCGCGATACAATGCTGTATCGATTTTTACTCCCACCCATATAATATAGTTGTTTGATAGGATGCTCAAGGCCAGCCTCGACTCTACTTCCTTATCTCAATCTCTCTCTTGGTTGATGGAAAGTCGTCGTTTCGATTCCCAGTGGGCTTCAAATGTTTTTGCCGCAACAGACAAGGGTCAGCGAAAGTGGGTGATACAACTCAGCACCCACCAATGGCTCCTCAGTCCATTTAATAACCTCCTTATCTCTATTCCCCTCAGTATAAAAACAGTTTGGTCAACATTGAACTTAATCCTATCAGTATTGCAACATCAGAGACTGAGCTGAGCTATGGGGTGAAGGATGATGGATGTTTATAGTGTCAAGACATTGTGCAAGCATTTCTTTTCTTATCTGGTAATGTTTTAGAATACTTTCCCTATCATGTCTTTCTGAAATGAAATATTAAAGGAAATTGAGGGGAAAAAAATATTAATAGATCGCAAAAGATATTCAGTGTTTTGTTTTTAGTTCACAGCACTTGAATGGGAAGTTGTAAACCCAACACACGAAGCACATGCGAGATAATCTTATCCATGCTTCCCCTCTGGCCCATGACAAACCACATTACAGAGAACATTAGTGGACACAGAGGTCACTGTAAATGCACACACACTAGCACCCCAGGGAGAGGAACATTTATGCCTCCAAGACCCAAAAGTGCACAATTAGATCATCCACCCAGTGCCGTCGGGTTCCCTCCCACACACACCAAAACACACTCCCTCCCACTAACAGTAACTCAACACTTGTGCGTTCTCACCGGTGGAGAGGTTTAATCTGCAACAGACAAGACACTGAGAGAGATTTGGGCTGCGGAAATTAATGTTTGCTTTTGGGCCGTCTCTATTTCAAGCTGCTCTCTTTTTCCGTCATTGTTGACAAAACATCCCAAAGGAGATGTGAGATTGCTAAAGCAAAACACTGCCGAACAAGCCCCGCTGATTCATATGTTCTTTTCAACAGGATATAATGTGTACATGTCAAGAATTACCCCCTGACAGAGGGATCGTGTTTCTGTGCAGAATGAAATGAGGCTTAAAATATTCTTTCCCACATATTATATACAGTATGTCAAGGTCTCTCAGGTGCTGACATCTCATTGGTGTCATATGTTGATGTCATATCCTATTAGCTTCTAAACCGCACTCCATACTCTGGGCTCTACCATTATAGTATATCCTGTAACCTTCAGACACGGAACGGGAGAGAGAGGGTTATATTTCATAATTTCAAAAAAAAAAATGTCCCTCTGGTGTATAGTATGGACAACTTGGCTCCGCCTCCTTTTTTTCCATTCCTGAAACCGGCATTTGCGCAGTAGAGTTTGTAAGTCACTGTGATGACACTCAAAAACATAAACATCCTATCTCCTAAATGATCTATGCAATCTATATCTACGGTTAGTATCCAGTTTGGACTTTTGGTGGCTTCTCTACCTTTACTTTTGCATATAAAGTCTGAGATTGTACAAGGACTACCAAAGCCTGGGGGCGGGTCCCCTCCCTTTCTTGTACATACATGAAAGCCATGTAAAGGCAGGGAGAGCACCAGCAAAGACCCCCAGACCTGCCCCTCCACAAGGAATGCCAAAGCCTAAGGCAGGTTACAGTTATACGACTGTCTGTTTTTGCTTCTTTTTAATAGATCTATATCACACTCCCTCCAGTATTTAGGCTATGTTGCATTTCTGTTTCGTTATCTGTAAAAAAACCTTGACTCATTGTGTTTGCTGCCCATTCTGGTTTACATCTAACAAGGGCAAAAACAGGAGAAGACAGTCCTCTCTCCGAAGTTGTAAAAAAGTCACTCGAGGTCCAAGCCCAATACATTCAGCAAAAAAAAATACGCTCTTAGTGTTCACCTCAGGTTACTGAAAACAGACTTCAGTCCAGTCTGTTGGTAAGTTGTACATATTAACAACCAGACTCATTAAACTTAACGAGGACTGTAATCAAACTACAGCAACGCAGGCTCGCATTTGTAAATCCAGAGCTTCTCCCTGGAGGGGAGTCGGACTGGAACACTGAGCAGAGGCCGTCTTTACAATAACAAGGAGTGTAAGAACACTGGAAGAAAATGGCAGAGATCTAAATATGAAATTATCGCTGCTTGCCAAGCATATCAACCTGTCTTCACTCTCAATTTCAGTATTTTAATCAAGCCTCCTGATGACTTCTTCAATTGACCTCTTTATCAACGTTATGATCCACTCTGGCCAGACTTATACTTAGTAGAAAGTGAATTTGTCGAGATAGCTGTTGTGTTGAATCTTGGCTGAACCATCCAAGGCAAAGTAAGGGTGTATTTTTGAATTCCAAAGATGTCACACCATCAAGGTCTTGTTCCTCCGACGCAGCCTCCTCACTTTGAGGGATCTCAGGGAGGAAATCAGGGAGGAAAGGCAGGATGGATAGCTGTTTGGTTCACCAGTTCAAGCCTCTTAGTCTTGTACAGTGGGTCCGAAAATATACTGAAAGAGGAAATCTTTGAAATATAGAGTCTCAACTGCTGTTACATAGATTTATGAGATTTTAAAGACTTGGAAAACTGTGAAAGATTTGTAACTCTCTTTTTGTTACATAAAAGGAATGTGAATCTAATAAACGCAAAGAACTAGCAGAAATATACTCAGTTGGGACACTTTAAAATGTTGATAAAAACAGATTTTGATGGTTTGCAAATCATAAAAACCTTCTATTTTACTGCAAATAGTAAAAAGACAACATATCAGATGTTGAAATGTAAAAAAGTTAGGATAATTGGATAAGTTGGATAATCTGGAGAAATCCAATAAATCTAACTTTACTGGATGGCCATGACCTTCAGGCCCACAGACATGACTCTGGAGTGGAAATCAACGTATGGTGACAAATCCCAACTGACAGATTCTTGGAAATCATGGGTGCCAAGTCTCCTGCTTTAAAGAGGGATCGTTATCAGTGCTCGATTTAATAACAGACAGCATCCATGACTGCTTTGAGATGATACATAACACAAGAAAAACATGTTTGAACATGAGTTGGAGTTGTTGTAATGTCTTCGGACCCTCGTCTATTTAAGATGGACTGAGGCAAAGTTAAAATTGTGCCATGTGAGATTCTTTTAGGAAATTCACTCTAAAAAATAGGGGAACAACCAGGATTTGCGAAATATACAATTCTGTTATATCTACATTTTATATCTGTTCTTTTGGGATTTGGAGTTGTATCTTCACACTTTCACTGTTACATAGTGGTTTTCATTTAGAAGAGGGCTTAAACAGATGTCGACAACTCCATTTGAAAAGGTAATCTTTTCAAATTTTAGTTATTGAACTCCTGGATGAAGTTATAAAAAAAAAAATCCCTTGACAGTAGATTCTCAAATCTTTTCTCTGTCTCTGATGTAAGAATACAGGATATTTTGTGGCTCTAGATCACCCAAATGAGACTCTTCGGCGTCACAATCTGAAAACTGTGACTGCTTTTTTTTTCTTGGGTATTTTAAAATGATTTCCAAACCAGATAAGCGGAGAACAACGACAGAGAAATTGCTGAGGACCCCATACATCGACATCAAAGAGAACTTTTGAAAATGAAATAACAGTGCTTTCCAAGATCTTGCTCCAACAATCCTCTCATCCGAAGCCAAAATTTCCCTCCTAACAAGTAACCGCTGATAAGATGCAAAGTCCAGATAAGAGAATTCGCTCCAGCATTTTTCCATACTCACACCATGTGTTGTTGTTATTTGAAATACTTAAATGTGGACTGCTCCTGTTAAAAAAAAAAAAAAAAGCAAAGAAAACTTTGCTGTTGCCTCCTGGCAGGGAGCCATGACCTGTGTGAATGCCCCAGCTCCCATGGTTCATAGCATGAGCGATGGCAAACATGTGCAGCAGCTCCGGCTGTTTAAGACAAACACAGAGCATGATTTCTGATAAATGAAGCTTTACGCCAGCAGATGAAAAAATGGTTTCAAAGTCTGACTATGCAGCAACATAAATGTTTTTAATTACATATTTTACATACCGTGTGTATGATTTGATCAGAATAAATCATGGGAGTGTTCAACGAAATTTCAAACCGGAGGCCAAGAAACTGTCTTCAATGTATTCTTGGACCTAATAATGGTGGTGTGGGGCTGTTTACATTGGAAATATTAAGGCTACCTTTAAAGGAAACGTTTTCACTCTCTGGTTGCTTCGTACTACAAGAGTTTTATACATTAAGTCAACAAATGAGCATTCATTTACAAGTCTACCTGAATATTTTCAAGGCATTGAAACTTTCCTTGAAGAGAAAACTCCCTAACCCTTCTCTCCGTTCAACTAGAAGGTTGAATCAGTAAAGATTGGCTTTTTGTCTTGGAAGAGGTGTTGCTTGCTTCAAAATCAACTTTCCGAGTTGTGTTTTAAGAGGTCGCTGGTGACCTGTTGTTACTCTTTCAGATAAAAATTTAAGTTTAAATGTGTGAAATTTGAAACTCATTGTGGAGCTGAATGGATCCCAAAAGTATTTGGACTTCATACTCTGGGTACCAAGAATGGACCTACCAAACGTGGTGCCAATCCCTCCAGGAAAAGTCCAGATATGTAGGTCCAAACAAAAGTGGTAGACCAGCCAGCTGACACTATTCAAGACAGGAACAGCACTTAAAAGAGTTCTTGTTTATTTTGCTCAGAAACCTGAAATTCATGAAGTTTTTTTTCCTTACATGTTTCCAAAGCTCTTGTACCGTGACGCATTTCAGTAATGGATTAATTGCATAAATCATACAGGGATATGTGGAGAATTTTAGATACGGTGACATGACGTGTAAGCCATCATTCATGAGTATCCTTTTTTTCCATTTCAAGTGCTGTTACGAGAGCACTGGGATGTTGATCTGAAAAAACGCCAAACAAGACGTCTTCTATTGAATTTATGGGAAAAAACAAATAAGAAATTTGAATCTGAGTCATCATGAGCATGTAGGTCAGTAAAGCTTCTTTTGCGCACGAACTCTTCGGTGGTTTCACAACATTTTCTCAGCCCAATACTTTTGGGAACATGTAGTTGACACATGCACCTTTTGGGATGTGCTCTCACAACCTAAAATACTCTGTTATCAGCGCAGATCTTTGTTGCGACATTGCAAAGATCTTACCTGAGCAAAGCAACGAAACTCCACTGTCGACATTTTACAACACAAGTTGCGAAAAAGTTTATCCCTCACAGAGTATTGAAACTTCTGTTCTCTTTAATTAGAAGAGATTTGAACCCTCTGGAGTTCCTTTTTCTAATTAAAATAGGCTCCAAAATGGTTTACCAACCATCTATGTTTGCTTTTATTAACATTTTGCACAGCCTACCATCTTTTTTGGCACTCAGGTTGCATCAGGGAGCTGTTTCTTTATTTTTTTTAATTATTATTTCCAGGATAAGGATTTCATTGGAATGATTTTCCCTGCAAGTCTATCTCTTAAAAGTATCACAGTCTAAAAATAGACCTTACTATGTCAACACTGTGGCGCCCAATAAACAACCAGGATTAAATTAGCAGACCACTGTTTCCTCTCCGGGCCTGAGTGTGTGTGTGTTTGCACGCCTATAAGCGAGCTATTGTTGGCGAAAGCTGAGGGACTATCCGCGGCAGTTTCACACGCTAAACTTACAAATTCCACTGCATCAACAAGAACGTAAAAATCAGCTCTGTTTTTATACTTTGGCTATTTCTCAAGACCACGTGTTGACAATGATGCCCGTGTTTGGAGTCATCACTCCACATAAAGAGCTGCTTCCAGTCACTGACCCTCCTACAGGAATAACACAGAGGGTATTTTCTGATGATTAGTTTTGCCCGTCATTGTTGCTTCCACATCAACAGCCCGACCATGGAAACAGCTGTTAAGCAATCATGGCCAATATAACTGTCAGAGCTTGCTTTTAGTGTAAACTGTTACATCTCCACTTTGTCTCTGCTGCGCTCTTCACTCTCTGCCTCTCTGCTCTTGTCTCCCTCCTTAAAAAGGCAAAGCACGAGACTCATCCGCACAGGTTGCCCTAACACATATCAACACAGGGTTACAAACACAACCATAAAACGGGACCTCAAATAGCTGGCTGATCAGGTAGAGATGGTCCAAATAGAGACTGATGGTTGCCATTGGCTCGTGTCGGTGTATAAATATGAATGAGACATCTCCACCTCCTCCAATTGCGGATAAGTGAAGCCAAAGTGGTGCCAAGATTGGAGATAACACAGGGCTCGACGGTGTGACCATTTCACTTGCATTTGTGACTTAAAGTAGATGTGTGCGAATTGTAAAATGTATTTAGGGGCACATGTGCGCATAAATAAAAAAAAAATTGGCCAAGGCAACAAATGTTTTTTCATGTAAATACTGCGGTGAAGTCGGTTTTAGGTTGGCTATCCGATGGACATTCACAGCAGATCTACTGGTCTGTTCTCACTCTCCAGCGTGGTCCTTGCTGTCAACAATGTCGGGTGTTGAATAAGGGACCATCAACAAATTACCGGTTGATGTTCTCAAAAAGGCTGTTTTCCTTTCAATAGCTTCCTAAAGTTCTTTGTCAACTTTTTCAACTTAGGAAAACATGTGCTCCTTGTGAAAAAAGTTGGTGTCAAGCCCTGCAACATACCCGATATTGACATATGTTGGCCTTAGCATGCACAGAAGCTTGATGGTAGCCAGTCACCATGAAGAGCTTTAACTGTCTTAGCTTTCCTTTCAGGGTGTCTACGGCTCTTATAGGAATATAGCCTTGGCTACACCAAAAGCCAATGGTTGTGCCTGTGTAAAATCAAAGCCTGGTCTGACTGAAAAACTGTGATTTCTGCTTAGAGATTCAATGTTCCTTTTCAGACTCTGTATACACAAATTATGCTGACAGAGGCAGTTTTTGCCCTATTTTCAGTGCAAGAAAAGGAAACAGACTTCAGGATACCAAGTAAACATCTTCTAGGGCAGTGGTTTCAAACTTTACCCCCCTTTGGTTGATGAAAATATTATCAAACCCTCCCCTCCTTTTCCCTTGACACGGGTATCCACACAAGAGCTGTCTGCAAGTCTAATAGGCACACACACCAAATCGCACTATCAGGCATGTCTTTAATAAACAAATTCCTTTATTTTAAGAGCATTGTAGTACTGGTGCAACATGCTCCCCAATATGCAAACAGATGCAGGAATAACCTGGGTACTTGCATAGTAATCATGTGAGTTTACAAGGAGCTTGATTCACTTATTATAGGTGAAATATAACAAGTATGCTGCTGACTCAAATGTTTATACCATTAAAAATTTTGATCCATGTCAGGTTGTTATGAAACATCTGTTTTTATCACAGTGTTGCATACTTGTAATCTCACAGGGTAACAACTCACTACGGTGTTATTCATAGCATGTGGAGCTGTAATGTATGAAGTAAATTGAGGTGCATGCTCAGTTTCTACGAAGTCGGTATATAATCTGCCAGATTCAGAACATTCCTGATGTAAAGTCAGCGTTGACTGGTGTTTGAACTATTTTACCTCACACCCAGCAGTTTGTGAAACCTCCCAGCAGAGCTTTAACATGTCCTGGCTGTGTTTTTTTACAAACACTCTGAGGTGCAATAACTTCATGGTCCAGATTGTGTTAATGACTCCAAACCGATGGCCTCATGTTATCCTCAGTGGGCCGTATCTGAGGAAAGGGAGGGGGGGTGTATGGAAAACATACAACGGTGGGAAACTCTGCTGAGCGAGAGCTTCTCCACATCTCTGAGTCTCAGAGGAGAGGAAGAGAGGAGAGTGCAGAGACGTGCCTATCTGTGAGTGTGGAGCCGGAGCTGCTCTGGCTAATAGAGAATGATGGGAGAGCTGTTCGAGGGTTTCACGGCTTTGACCCTGTGACCACTTGCAGTCGTGAGAACCGAGTCCGGGGGCCGTGTGTCCTCAGGACCCTTGAGCTTGAGCAGCGTGCACACGCGCTGGCTGGCTGTGGCAAACGCACACACTTCATGCGTAAAAACAAGCAAATGAGAAGACAAGGGGGAGAAGAAGCTGGAAAACTCACTGTGCCTTTTCACCCGTGCATGTGGACTGGTGCCAAATATGCAGCCTATAAAGCCCCCCTGCTAAAAATAAGTCGCCCAAGTATGTTTTCTTAAGGATTTCATAGGCTGCCCTCCCCTAATTCACACTCAATTTGAGGCCTATTTGAAGACAAAAGGCCGAGAGACGACAACATAAAGAGGATTTTCGGTGCACTTCAATGCACATTTTGTTCGAATTAATGAACTTAATCGTCCTATAGGTTTGACTTTAGCTTTCCCAGAGGTATTTCAGCGTCACACGGAAAATTAGAGAGGTAAAGCAATGCTCCCTCACCCCCCCCCCCCCCCAAACTGAATTACCAGTATGCCCTTGGGCAAGACAGCTGCCCCAGTCGTAGTGTACTGGTTTGATTCTGGATGAATTCCAGGTGCAGATGTCACTGCAGGGTCACCGCGGGGTCAACACTCCCACTTCAAAAGCAGTAAATCTTCCAGTTAGGCTGCACCATCACCAAACACACACAGACACACACATCTCAAGTTGTGACGTCTTGTATGAACACTGAGGAGGCGTTCTAGGTCAGGGGATCAAACCTTAAGAGATTTTAAGCAGATGTGTGTCTTGGCGAGGAGTGGGTTTCACTCATAGGAGAAACAAATGGAGTGTAAAGTCTGCTGATTGCTTTCTCTAATTGATCCAAGAGCTGTCACAGAGAGTAAACTGTTGAAAACAAGCACAAATATATTCTTTTGAGCAACTTTCTCATATTGTTAAAATCTAAGTCCTGGAAAACTCATCAAAGAATACAAGACGACTTGCTGAAGGAGGTTACTGTTGTTTTTGTTGGTGGTTGGTTGGTGTTTTATTTATCACTCATTTTGGGACAGGTAGAATAAACTGTAAAACTAAGACCAGGGTTTGAACCTTGTCACTTTTTATTGTTATGCACACTAGATATGCCTCATTTCAGCTTGTTCCTACTGAACAGTCCCCCAGTTAAAGTCAAATTAATACAGTCAATCTTGTGGAAAATCATGTTGACATTCTAGGTATAACAGCCCATCTAATGTAATTTGCAGTTTGATCCAGCAGAAGGGGCTCTCATCGTAACCTGACCAATGAATGGCACCCTTGACCTCAGTAAAAATGCTGTTGTACTCCCCACAAATATCTATGCTATAGATGGCAACTTAAAATACAAAGATATGACTATATGGTGACTCATTGGCAACACAAATCTGCAGGGATCACAATCAAGCTGCACAACATCAGCAGGTCATTTTGTTACCTGTACACCTAACAATATGCAAGTCATTATAGAAGCTAAAGATGGTGGGCCCGGGATGGTTCCTTGGGGGATTCCTGGTAAAGTTTTGAAAAATTCCCACTGGGTGTTATTGATCACAGCACACTGTTTATTATGTTAATTGTAATTTGAATGGGAATTAAATTTAACAGAAATGTTGAAATGTCAGATTTCACCATTTACTGTGTCGAAGGCCTTTTTTTTAAAACTTTACCTTCAATCCTCTCATTCTTGTATGCTTTTAAACTGTAAACAAGTAGCTGACTCTAGGTGATGTTGTCTAATATTGATGTCAAGGATTGCACTCAGCTAGAGATGCGAGGGTTTGTTGAATGTATTGATGGATACAAAGAAGAGTTGGACTTTTTTCAAGCAGGTGTCAAACATTTGCTGGTTCAAGCAGGTTGACCAATTTTCCTGACTGAGTCTTATAAATCAAAGTCTTAAGGTTTTGGCCTTTAATCCTGAGTACAGAAGATATTTGGAGACTTGACGTAAGAAAATTGCAATTTGCTATTTTATTCTCAATTGAAATGGTGAGTCTTTTGCTGAGTGTGCTGCAAAAAGGGATAAAATTACCTGCAGGAAACCATAATCACTGCACCGGAGCCAATGTGTGAAAGTTTACCTCTGACTTCCACACGACGTAAGCCTGCGAGCTGGACGGCTGCGCTTTCTTCTGGAGCCACCTCCGCGGGGAGAACAGCGTTCCGGTGCTCCCTGACTGCGCTGCTCCTGATCCCCGTACCAGAAACGGTAAATCCCCGGCGGTATTCCTTTTTGCTCGCTTCCCGAAATCATAGTCAAAGTGGAAGTTAGAGGAAGGGGAAACATCCAAAGGTATGGAAGGCGAGGAGATTGACGGTGAGATCGGCTCTTTGAGTGTTGGGATCTTCGTGCGTAAAGACGGTTTCACAGCCAAGCGCTCCGAGGACGCACCTGTGTCCAAGGCAAACGATGCGCCGCTCAATCCTTCGCTCCCGTTGCCGCAGTGTCTTATGATAGCAGGGTCCAGGCTCCGGGTCTGACGGAGCCTCCGTTTGGTTATGGCTTTGGAGGCAGGAGAGGAGCAGGAGAAGACGCTGTTGAGGAGTCCTTGAGCGGCAGACATGTCTCTGGAGTTTGTGGAATCACATCAGCGTCTTCCCAAATCTCCCATGCAACAATAGGACACAAGTTTAGGGTGTCGTCATCTAAAGGAAGGTGCGAGTGCGCGTTTGGAGAGGTTGGACTGTGGTGCATTTGGTTGTAGACGCTGCGCTAAGTTCTTCTCCTCTCCTCTGCGCGATGGGCATTCCCAAATCAGAGTGGAGTGAGATTGTTTGAGAGTGTGGGAGGGGGGGTTAGAAAACTTTGTATCGGTATTTGCATAACAAAAGCCTCTTATGGAGCAATTTAAGGTCAAAATATAATCTAAGAAGTACTTTAGATTTAGTTTTTAACCCCTCATGCACGTTTGCGGTCAAAATCTTAACTCAAGAGTTACGTTTTTTGGTCTTTTGGTCACTTTGACCTGACACAATTCATTCAAAGATCATGATTTGATCCTCATTTTCAAAGTTGATAGAAAAAAAATGTGCCATGATAGGAGCTGCAATCAGTAAGTTTGGTATCATTGTGGAAATGCAAGAAGGCTGGTCACTCAGACATGATTCAACCAGGATGGAAATTGGTTTATTAATCCGAGTTTCTCATTAATCCAGCTCGCTGTCTGGGAGCAATAATAGGCCTATCAGTAAAGCCTGCTGAGCTCTATTATTAGCCAGACAATAAGTGAGCTGCAGGATTAATAGCTGATCCCTTTCTTTATACACCTGTGGCTGTATTCCAGACGTTTGTTTACACAGATGCTTTTGGAGGAGCTCTGTCATTTCTGCTGTGAGAGAAAGTGTGAGAGAGAGAGAGGGGGAAGGAGCATGTGTGGCCCAGTGTGTGAAAGTATGGGAAAAATGAAAAGGGACAGCGGGGGTCTGGAGAGGAGGGTGCCGGACGGCTGATAAAGGAGCTTATGAAGCTGCGCCACATGACACACTCACACACATACACACAACACAGCGTGACACGACACTGATAACAGCTGAGATAAATTTGACCCTTCTAAAAACAGTCGGCATGGAGGGAAAAGAGCGAGACGCAGGGGCCGAGTGAAAACACAGAAGCAGGAATTATGGAAAGAAAACATTGTGTTTTATATTAGAGGAGAATGTGGGACATTATTGCTGTGAACTGTGCCTATGCTACTCCTGGGAAACAAGCCAAAAACAACAGCAAAATCATTTCATCATTCATATGATTTCATACAGAAATGTCCCCATATCATTCACTCATGCAGCATCCTTTACTTTTCATCTGGCAGTCCTCAAGAATGTCATTATTCAACCCAAATTCCACAAGAACTAGGGCACTGGGTAAAATCTTCATATCGAAAGCTCTTGAGTTTTTTTGCCGTTTACGGAATAGACTGAAAACCATGAGGCCTTTTTATAAGACATAAAAGCAAACTAGACCATCAGTGACAAAGTTCATGCTTCATATTATGTAATTTTGGTTTCAGCTGAGCAGCTAAAGAATGAGCACTGTCTTTATTTTCCACAAGATACACACAATAAATGATGCGCTTGACTATTAACAGTCAGCAGGATAAGATTATTAATCAGTAGACCTCAAGACGGTAATAGTACGAAGACTGCTTTGTCCAAAATTGACACCAGCAAAAGATGTCTTTCAATAAGTGATAGAGCCATGCTGTTGTAATCCCTGCAGAATGTGGTTTGGAATTGTTTCGCTGCATTAAACGAGATCCCCTTAAAATAAAAAAGCCCTTGTCTGGATGGCAGCATGTGTTGCTCCAAAATCTGTATATATTGTACAGAATTAATGATGCTTTCCCATCCTTTGGCACTATTTTTTCATCCCAACACAGTCATGAATGCTCTTCTTTAGACTGTGTACTGATAACAGACCTTTCCATCCATGCCTCTCTGGAATGACCAAATACTGTATGTTACCAAATGAACTTTATTCACTGCCCATGTAGTGATTTCCATTCTTATTAATGCTGTGCTGTCTGAGGGTAAAAAGATCACTTTCACCTAGTATTGTTTTTCAGCCTTGTCCCTCTTGTGCTGAGATTTCTTCAGATTATTTGAATCTTTTAATGCTATTGTGTTCTGTAGGTGATGAAATCGAAAAATTCTTTCTTATTTTACACTCAGGAACATTAATCTGAACAGTTTTTACCCTACTCTTTCTCCCAAACTTTATTTCTGTTTTGTAAGTCATGATGTTTTAAGTGTACTGTCCTATTGGTATGCTATTTATCAGGTCTGCTCGGTAAATTGGGCTCAGTGAGTGATTCGTTCACTGAACGTTTAGAAGAATTCAAACTGAATATGCACTGTTCCCTCCTAAACCGCTGCAATGATAGGATGCTGCGGGCTTAATGCACTACTTGTTACATGCTGTGTCCGACTGTAAGTTGTTGTGGTGGCAATTTAGCAGTGAAATGAGAAAAAGAAAAGGAAAAAAAAGGTAGTTTTGTCTGACAAAAATGATTCCAGAGAGTGTAGTTCAATGCGTGATTCGTTCACCAAGTGATTCAGGTGTCGGTGCATGCAGTCTATTGTTTACCGGTTGCTCAACTGGTAATGCTGTTTCTCACTTCAGCTCAATAGACCTTTTTCACAGCATGCAGAAGTTAGCATTCCGCTCACTTCCGGTGTTAGCGTGTGGTGGAGCCACTTAGCATTGCCCATAGATGGCGCAACTCATTTTTTTGAAAGGTAATGTAAAATTTTATGCTTTGTGCTGTTTTACTAACTCCTGTTCTTCATAATACTGTCCGGATTTTGTACTTTACTTTTCGGGAATTATGTTTAATAGGTCATTACTGAAGGGCAATGGTTACCATCATCAGAAAATTTCCAGACCTATTAAACATAATTCCCGAGAAGTAAAGTACAAAATCCGGACAGTATTATGAAGACCAGGAGTTAGTAAAACAGCACAAAGCATAAAATTTTACATTACCTTTAAAAAAAAACGAGTTGCGAGCTTGTTAATATCGTGAAAAATGAATGGCCGTCAATGGGCAATGCTAAGTGGCTCCACCACACGCTAACACCGGAAGTGAGTGGAATGCTAACTTCCGTGTACTGTGCAAAAGGTCTATTGAAGTGAGAAACGACCGAATCACTCGAGGGATTGATTCGGTTCAGTACGTTCACTTAAAAGACTGGGTTCTTTTGAACGAATCATTCGCGAACAACACACCACTACTGTCCTAACTGTTTTGGGAAGTGTTCCCATCATCAGATTCCAAATAAGCATATATTTTTAATAACATTTGATATTTTGTGTTTGCACTCTTTTCAGCTTAACATTCAAGGATTTGCAATTCATTCAACTCTGTTTGAATGAATTACATTTTTACAGCGTCCCAGCTTTGATGGGCTTTGAGCTGAAGAAGACAGAATTTGAGGGATTATTGCCATTAATCATGCCAATGCAGATTTTACCATAAAATGTAACAATAGTTTATAATTTGTAAGATATCATACAGGCATGTTTCTATAATGCAGCTTCTTCACTTTTCATCTGGCTGCTTTCAAGTATTTCATCATACATGAAAGATAATCATAGCACTGCTGGACTCAGGTTTCTCACATGTAACCATGGAAAACACCTAATGCAAAACAGCGATCATTTGACATGACTGTCAAAATACATCAGACGTGGTCAGGGTCAGAGAAGGAGTGTAAATCAACAGTGCTGCACTTGAGCCAGTCACGTTCAGTGTTATATACACACTGTCCATATTTGGTATACAATAGCAGAGCAGCAGTGCCTGGAACCTTTTTAAGCAAAATGAGGCTGGATTTAGCTCCAGCTGTAGAGACATGGTTTCCTGTGCAGGGATCAGTGTACATTTCATTGTCTGAGCCGGTTAGGTAAACATGAAAGGAAGGTTACAAGGTCAGGAGTAGAAGGAATCTCATTATTTGCAGATATTTGAAATGTAAAGCGTAATATTTGTAATGAAGGGTTTATTTTTGGACACTTTTCGCTTGGGGACTCTTCTACTACCGAGCCACGCCATTGTAATACATGAAAAATGTTGCTAGGATCAAATGTAAAACAAGCATGTACAGCATTTTTCAGAACAGAATGAGTTAAAATACTTTGTCTTTACAGTGTTTTCAATTGGTTACAGAATTCAAATCATTTGCAAACCATCAAAATGTGCCTTTTCAGCATTATACACAGCTTCCTCTCTTCTCTGGAAAACACAAATTTAAAGGTCCTTTGAGGAACTTTTGTTTGTGTTTATAGTCACTCTTTTGGCTTTTTTTTTAGGTCATAAAGAGACAGAAATCTTACTCCCACTCTGTTTCAACCCCAGCTAAAATCTCCTCACAGGGGCTCTAACGTACTCTTTGAGTTTTGATGCAGTGTGTACATACATTCTTGGAAGCACATGTAAATATCCCCATATTGTGTTTATCTAAGAGCTGCCATACTGTTCCAGTTGAGGTCAATTAGATTATTGGGTCATGGTGCATTTCCTTTTACTGTATTTTGCCTCAAGGAGAAAGGTCTCTCATGAGACGGCTGATCACCAAAACATGTTTTGTCCCTTTAAGGGAGGCTATGGAGTATGAGACTCAGGTTTCTGTTAAATGTATGTAAGGTTGAAAATCATGCATTTCATTAGCAGAGTTGCATTTGAGGCTTTTGCAGTGGTTTTGCATTTTCTAAATAGATTATTATGCCATGGATCCTTAAACAGACTCAGATATTATCCCAGGCACTATTGTAGGATCTATTTTCCTGTGGATTTGGAGGCTATAGCCTGAGAAAATACCTGCCAACCACTGACAAAAACTATGATATATCTATAATAATATAAAACGCCTGGTAATAGCTGTAGAAATGAGACAAAGTAGGTGCTTTTATTTTGTTGAAATGCTGACATCTGTTGGCTACCTGAGAAAGGTGCACACATGTGAAACAGGGCTTTGGAAATTGCGTTTCCTGTGCTGCATTCACTGTCATAGGAAATGTTGGTTGTCACAACTCTTTCTCTCTCTGGCTCGCTTCGCAGTTGGGGATTTTGTATTAATAAAAAATGATCATGTAAAAGAGAGGTCAGCAAAATTATGGATGTACTCTTTGGTAGTTTTATGTTGTTCTATTAGTAAATCCTACTGAAGAGCCACAGGATCATTCCGTGAAACCGGTGCCTTTTCAGCTTAGAAAATTTAACATTGAAACTATATTTAATTGTTATTTTTCAGTACCTAGGAATCAAAGAATGTTTAAAATAGCAGGAAATGATATTGTGCCATCTCAGGCTGTGTTATTTCATATTTTATAACCGTTTTTCTCCTAGCTGTTTTCATAATCTTGTCAACCCTGTTACTGACATAAACTTACCAAAATACAATATTTCTAATTAGAAATATGCAATATATAATATATATATATTAGCAGTACTTTAGACTCTCTTTCCATCAAGATTTATTTTATTTTATGGATTTTTTTTCTCCAATTAGATATTTGTCATTCAGATGATCAAATTTACCCTAATTTTGCATGGCGATCACGTCTCAACTTACAGTATATCAGATATATTGTAGAAGGCATATGTTTAAAAATGGCCCAATCTAAAATATAATGTAATTGAAATAATTAGTGTTGAAAGGCCATTTGAGTTGTCATTTTTTACATTTTTATCAAATTAATGACAACAATAGGATTGATGTTATGGTAACAGGGCTGACAAGAGTAAAAGTAACTGGACACTCAGCAACTGGCTCTCCACCGGCGTATCACTCAATCAATAAATGGTAATGTTATATCTTTAAATTACATATTAATTTGTCATTATCATTATTTTATGAATGATTACTTCTTGGGGACGCAAAAGGCACCGATTTCATGGAATCACCCCATAAACGGTCGCGTCTGAACAGAGTATCCATAATTCCGAGTGTGCAGTGAAGGCATCACCAGAATTCGTTGCCCTGCTCCAACAACAGCGCCATCCCTGCCGCTTCCTCGTCGGTTTTGCTGGAAGCCCCCCTCTTCATGGAAACGTGTTCAGCCAGGAAAGGGTTAAGGAGTTTCTAGGGTCCAGACCGATGCCCCCTCTTCCCCCACACGTCGCCATGAACAAATGAATTCGCGGGGAATTAAATACCGGTTTCACAAAGGAGAAAGAGTCCTGTGCTTTGAACCCGATCCCACCAAGGCTAAAGTGTTGTATGACGCTAAGGTAATGTTATGTGCAAATCTAAAGCCTTGCGGTGCTGTACTTGTGTGAAACGTTGTACTTTTTGCAGGGAAAAACAGGTTTGTCAGGGTTTTGGTTGAGTGAAACAGCATGATCAGGCCTCAGAAAGACAACAAAACATTAGCTGCTAAAATAGAGCTAGCTGTTATCTTTGACGTTTTCCGGGTATTTTTGACTGCACGTTTTATGATCAGGAAGGATTGTTTTGAACAATCATCATTTATAGTGGCATTTGAGGAATTTTAGATAGAGCTGCATAGTATTACAAGAGCACAAATTATATCTTACATGACTTCAAAGTGTTAGAAAACAGTGAATTGTGTGTTTTGTGTGTGTGTTAAGTGACAACACAGAGCTTGTAAACAAACACACAGATGTGTCTGCTGTTGCTAGCGTTAGTTGTGGCAATTTTCACGTAAATTAAGCCAATTTATTGCATGTAATCGTAGTAGGTGTTGTATTCGAGCTGGTAAAATGCTCAAGTCAAGAGTGGATATATTTATGTTGCTGGTGTTCTGACGGAAAGTGTTACTGTAGCAGAGGCTGTCTGTTCTGTGTCAAATGGTGTCCTGATACGGAATTATGTTACGTTTTATTTATTTATTTTTAAAATTTTTGCTTGATTTTTATTCTATTTTGTTTTATTTTTTATATAAAAACTCTGAAAATTGCTCTAGAAATAAAATAAAATAAATAAATAAATAGAGACCGGAAAAGGATTCATTTGTGGGCTCGTGTTGTTAAGCACCAGATTATGGCTTTGCGCATGCGCCATGAGCCATTTAGTCGCCCATTTCTGTAGGTAGCACTAACCGGTAGAACACCTGCGTCTGTTAAGCTAGCTAGCGAACAGTGGAAGCTAGATTGAAGGTTTATTTACACCGACATTATTTGGACTTATTAACCCTTGTAAGCTCAAAGTCAGCATCAATCATTGTTTAACTATTTGTATGCATTATTGGATACAGTTATCTTCAAGCATAGTTTCACTGTCGTTGATTTAAGTCGTGTTTTAATGTTAGATTTGTGCTTCCTTGGAGGACAGACTCGTGTTAGTCTGATATTTATTGAAGATTTATTTCGCTTTTTGTCCCAGGGTTAGGTGTTTGCTCCAAATTTGCACCTATATAAAATTGTTAATACAATGGATGAAACAAAGACAACGAAAAACATTGTTCTTAATCCAAAGGGGCCTTAAACTAAGTTCACGTGTTCACATCTTGCAGGTCCTTGATGTCTTGATAGGGTCAGATGAACATGGAAGAAGAATCCCAAAGTACCTGATTCACTTTAACGGTTGGAACAGAAGGTAACAACACAACCTGGCGTTTTTGTGACATAATCCTGCACTTCATGCTCATTTTACTGTTTATCATTGCAAAGTCTTATCACCACCTTGTGTAATGATGTAGCTACAAAACCCTGTTGTGAAACCGTGCAAGTCTGTGGATTTTTATTTTTTAAATGTTTGTGTGTTTTTGGGTAGCTGGGATCGTTGGGCTGCAGAAGATCATGTCCTAAGGGACACTGAAGAAAACCGTAGATTGCAACATAAACTGGCTCGCAAAGCTCTAGGTCGCATGTAAGTTCATGTTACATTGATTCATTCAGTCGTGGAGGCTTTTAAGTAGCTCCTTTTTATCCATAAACAAGGTGGAATATGATCTTTAAGATGAGAAGTTTTGCACCACTTTGATATTCAGCCCTCACTAGGACACAGAGCTAGGTTGTGCAATAAGAAGTAGTTGAAACAGTCGTATTTCCATGCATCTTTATGCCTTTCTTGTCCACAATATACTGGCATTACAGCTGTTTTCGTGAAAGCCATTCACGTCACAATCAAACCATGAAACATCTCGGCCTCCGCATCCATAAATTTCACAATTTCGCCACAGATTTGACGAAACATTTGTCCCTCTTTCTTCTCATATTTGTCTGCCTTACACTGCACATTGAAATTATCACTAAAACATGGATTTATTTCCAGCAGCTTTTTGGAAAAGTTGAATGTTAAGTCTCTGAGAATGTTTTTTTTTTCTAAATGCAAATTAGTTTAAGACTTTTTCCAGTCCATACCTTTAAAAAAATACAGACTAAAATACCCCACAAAGTAAAAGCTGAGCATTCAGTTTCTGCAGCTTAAGTTGAAAGCTGTAGAGAATCATATTTGTAGATTGCAGAGTACTGCAGCGCTGTTATTGACCTTACGTAAACCTAAAGATCAAACTAAAAGTTCAATGCAGTAGCTGTAGCAGTTTTTGTATTTGACTGATGGTTGTTTGGGTTTCCTGTCCTGGTTCTAGGAAGAAAAAGGGATGGGCAAAGCGTCGTCGTCGCCAGTCTGGTACTAAATCTTCTTTGAAGACTCTCCCAAAGGAGGACGACAGTGATGACGCATGTGAGCAGCCTTTTTTTGCCTCTTTGTTTGGATTGCCCTGTCTCTCTGCCGTCATGTTGATCCATCTTTTGTTGTGTTGTGTTGTGTAGGTTTGATTTCATCCTCAGACAGTAGTGAGGGGGACGACTCTGACCCTGAATCTTCAAATAGTGGGGAAAGCACCTTCTCGGAGGATATCAACAAAATGGTAAAAGGGGGCTAGTTCAGTTTCAATTCTTGGTTTTCTTGGGATGACCTCAATGCTCTGGGTGTCTTTTAGACTTAAAGGTGGGGTAGGCAGGATCTGAGGAAGTGCCAGTTTTGGGGAGAAATCTTGAATGTAAACACTACCCCTCCCAATCAGTTTTCCCTTCAGCTCCTCCTCTCCCCTCCCTCTCCACTTTGTTTGGGCTCCTGAATGACATGGGGGAGCGGCGTCCACCTCACAACCAATCAGGATGGGGGAGGCGGGGAATGGCTTTGTTTACAGTCAGAAAGAGCAGAGCACTCACAAAAATTAAAATGTTGACTACACAGGCACAACAAAACACAGCGATATCATTATATTCTCAAATGTCGCCAATAACTAATAGCTATTGGCTGATATTAAAAGCTTTTTTGTATATACATCACAAAAAAAGACCCTCCTTTACAGATTCCTGCCTACCCCACCTTTAAAGGGATATTTAGAAGTGAGGTTATATGAATTATTTGTCATTAGAAAGTGAATTAGCCTCAAGGGATGCTGGTCAGGTCTGCCCCTTTTAATAAGGTACATGAGCATGCAAGCAAGGCTATCATTTTAGGACAGACTCAACCATAGTGTTTTATGAGTTTTGAAAGACTCTGACCCAAGCACACGTCCTAGTTTGAGTGCATGTTCAAGTGACACGTTTACCTCCATAAAAAAGACTATTTTAGCTGCTGAAACTACAAACTCTTCTCATATTATTGTGTCTTTTTGCTTGACATTAACTGCACTGTCTACGGAAAACTAGTTTAACTTGCATACTGGTTTCTTCTGGTTCTTTTGGGGAAAGAGGTATGCTTTTGCTCTATGTGTAGTTACAACTTAATTTCTGATTTCTTTCAGAGGGTTGAGCCAGACATCAACGTCAAAAGGGAAACAGAGGAGAAGATCGTCCATGTGGACATCAGCATCCCAGATGTTCTCAAGAAGAAACTGGAGGATGACTGCTTTTACATCAACAAGAGGAAGAAGGTACATGAAACACACTGAGTGGGGTTGTAGAGTTTAATCGTCTATTACTGCTGTGTTTGATAGGCTTTGAGAGTATTTAAGGCTTTATGGATTTAATTTTTTTTCCGTCAAGCTGGTGATGGTTCCCTGTCAGACGAACGTGGTGCACATCCTGGAGTCCTACGTGAAGCACTTTGCCATAAACAAAGCCTTCATGGCTAATGAGAGGTACAGGCGCCAGCAGAGCACCACGCAGAGCAGCAGCCCTCAGCCGATCCCTCCAGAGAAGAGGTGAGTCCTCGTTTACCCCGAGCTAGTGCGCCTGCTTCCTGGTGTAAACAGACAAAATTAGGAAGTGTAATATGTTGATGTTTGCTGATCAACTTAATATCGTGTGTCTGAAGTGAGGAGCTGTGTAAGGAGATGGTTGACGGCCTGAGGATCACGTTCGACTTCACCTTACCCATGATCCTCCTCTACCCCTGTGAGCAAGCTCAGTTCAAAAAGGTCAGCTCCTCCAGGCTGTTCCTGGCCATCAACGAAAGCTCGCCTTGCTCCAGCAGGTATGTGTCTGCGGCTCTGACATGTTTGCCGTGATACCCTGTTTGTGCTTTAGCATCAAATCGAAAGCCTCTGGTTACCTCCGCCAAGGAGGTTATGTTTTTGGTCGCGTTGGTTTGTTTGTCTGTTAGCAACTTTATGGAGAAAGTAACAGACGGATTGACCTGATATTTTCACCAGAGGTGCGTCTCACTCCTAGGAGGATCCCACAAAATGTTGGTGGTGATCTGGACAAAATTCTGGATACTGTGATCCAGAACACACAAAAATAAGGGTGTCGTTGGAATTTTCAATGCTGAAAGATAATCAATGGGCGGCAGAGTGGCGTAGATAGGCGGCACAGTGGTGTAGTGGTTAGTACTGTTGTCTCACAACCAGAAGGTCCTGGGACAGGGCATTTCTCGTTTAATGGGGGACATGAGCTGCTTGGCGGAGGTATGCGCTCTTCCAGTGCTTTTCTAGTTTTGTCTGTTTTTGTGTCTGAAGTGCCCAAAGAGAGCGCAGCCCGAGTCCTCTGGGACACAACCCGCCAACCCCGCAGTCCACGGACAGCCAACCGGCACTGAGCGACATCTCTGCAACAACGCCCACAGCTCCAGCTCCCACTCCGAAGCGACGGCGTCACCCTGACATGGACTGTATCTCCTATCAGTCCCAGTCACTGAGGCGCTCCACCAGGAACACATCTGGAGGTGACCGGCCCGCAGAAGGAAGCAGTGGAGGTATGTTGTGTTCAATTAGTGTGGAGAAAATTAGATAGATAGATGGATAGATATACTTTATTGGTCCCAAACTGGGAAATTCACATGTTACAGCAGCAAAAAAATAAATAAATAAATAAAAATAAAAAATACAAAATAATATTAAATATAAGAAAAAGTACAACACAGACTAAAAATACTAAATATATACAATAAATACAGACTAAATATACTAAACATCCTACGAGAAAAAAGCGAGATATGAAGAACGTCGGCTATTGAAATGAGCAATAAATATGAAATGCGAAATATACAGATGGGATGATAAATAAACAGACAAATTAAGGTGCTCAGTAATGTGATTTGGTAGGATTAAATAAAAGATGATAGTCAAAAGCAAGAAAATAAAATGTTGATGTTTCAGGTGGAGGCAGCGCTACAGCATCCCCGCAGCTCAAACGCCGTTTGGTTGACACGTCATCGCAGCCGAAGTTTTTCCTCAACCTTGACAGAAGTAAGCCCGTCTTTGGATTAAAACTGATTATCTTCATAAAACTGTAACCTGGTTTTTGACGCCTTTTTTTGCTATAATTTTAACCTTATTTTTAGCAACTCAGTATTTTAAATCACTACTAAGGTCAGTAATGATGGACAAAAATTGACGTCCTCACTGCCTTCAATCTTAGATTTACTAGATGTGACATTTTCTCATCACATGAAGTGGAAACTATGTTTGCAGTAACCAGTTTTGTCCACTAGATAGTGCCATCTCACTTCTTTCTTTGTGATAGTCCCTTCAAACTGTGCTCCCTTTAGAGTCACGCTTCTTCTTAAATTTTCCAGAAACGCCGGTGCACAGCGGCTCGTCTTCCCCGCTGCCCTTGACGCCGAGCAAAGAGCGAAGTGGGCCTTTCTACGGCCTAGAGAGCCGGAGAAACAACGAGCTGAATGAGGTGCAGAAATCACTTAGAACAGTTTGATTTCTTCTCCTTTTTTACCTGTTACCCTCAAATAAAGTATATGTTAGGGCCTGTGTCCACTGACTGCTTTATTTGCGTTATTTACTTTTCAAATAAATCAGTGTTTTTCAGATTAAGTAATATGCATGTAAATTCTGTTTCCATAATGTCTGTAAGATTTCTTTAAATAGCAAATATTTCAAACACTTAAAGGTCAACAGTTCATTTCAAATATCACAATCAGTGGACACAGGCCTTCAACAGATTGCTTTCTTGCTCTTTGAACCAGGTTTTAAGTTGGAAGCTGACTCCGGATAACTACCCCCTTCATGACCAGCCTCCTCCACCTTCCTACCTGTACGGAGCGCAGCACCTCCTGCGTCTGTTTGGTTGGTTTCTGATCAGTTTACTCCCTCTGATCCGCTCTGAAGTCATTGATTTCACTTGTATTTCATTTATATTCTCCTCGCTGTCTTTGCTCGTCTTCCAGTCAAGCTTCCTGAGATCCTTGGAAAGATGCAGATCCCTGAAAGGAATCTCCGTGCCCTGGTCAAGCATTTGGAGCTCTTTCTCAGGTTACTATCTATATTAAAACCAAATGTATCTGCAAGAGGCTTTTATCACGCCTAGATAGGAAAGTGTCAATCTTTAGTTTATAGATGCCCTTACAGCTCCTTGAGTTCCACAGTCAGGCATAATATTGAAGCCCAGTAACTTCTTTTAAAGTGGATTGTGCGCTCGAGTGGACAGAAACGGTGTGAAATCGTGTACCATCTCCTCGGAGAGTAAATCATTAAAAAGACGAGGTGCTGCATTCAATTACCAGGACATCGGAAAGGAAGCACTTCAGCTTTAAAACGAGCGTCGCTAATAACCCGCACGGTTCATTAAACAAATCCTGACCTTACTGAGCGTCAAAAGCGAGTTAGAAGAATAGAAGAAGTCCTCGTCTCACAAGAAAGGAGGTACCTGAAGTCTCCGCACAGGCTGGTTTAGTGCGGTGTTCGGTAGCCGGCTTAACAGTATCGAGCAAGAGATTAAAGGTTAGAGGACAACAATGGGTCAGCGAAATAGTGATTGTGAGGGAATTATTCATAAATAAAAAAGGCAAGGAGACGTACTTGGAGTAAATGAGAGCGTGTGTGGGGTTAGAGGGGAGGGATGGAGTGAGAAAGGGCATGTGTTAGAAGGGAGGGAGATGAGTGGGCGTTACACAAGCGCGGGAGTCTAATCTTTAAATCCTCCAGAGCGATCTTCAGTTCAGCCAGTCCCAAACCTGGGGGATTTAGGTCCTCTCATTCTCTTAATCAAACAAACGCAGTGCCCGCCAGCTGCCACCGAGCAGTGCTGTGGAGCAACAGCAGAAGCCAGAAGAGGTCTGGTGAGAATTTGATGCCAGCAACAAGATTCAAAACATGTTTCATCACCTTTTCTTTTGAACGACACTCTAGTTTGAGAGTAAAAAGTCTCATTCTTGACTGACATGAGTCTTCAGCAGCTCATTAGTTTCGAGTCTCTTCCGCCATTATTATCTTGTTAGCAGCAGGACTCTTCTACTACAGAGCCATGCTGTTGTAATACATGCTAAATGTGGTTTATTATGTTTTTGTTATATTTTGAAACGCCCTCCCTAGAAAGTCATTGTCTGGATGGCAGCGAATGTTGCTCAGAGCCTTCACAGATCTAAAAAGCTGGTTATACCGTGGGCACAGGCAGTTTTTATTGGATGTTATTTATTTTTATTTAACAATAATACAGAGTGACAACAACAACAAAAACAACAACAAAAAATAAGAAATTAACAAAAATACTTTTGTGGGGGAGGGGAGGGGGAAAGAATATATTTAATAGACAAAAAAAAATTTTTTTAATTGGATTACATTGAAATATATATAATAAAAATTACTATATCTATCTATCCAAATATAAGCAAGGACAAGGCCAGCGCTAAAATAACTTTCGTAGATGTAGCCGTCTTGATTCCGCCTCCGATTTCGCTTTTTTCCGACGTTGTAACTGAAACGCTGGTAACTCGTGTGTGACGTCATTCCCAGCTCCGATATCTGACTTCCGAGGTAACTTGAACACAGCATCAGCCCCTTTTTACAGCCGGTCACGTCACCAACCCGTCACAGAGTAACTTCCCTGGGTGAATTTCTTGCATTAGGGCAACTTTTTCAGCATTTTCTTGTCCCTTTAAGAACTGTTTTCAAAGTTTTGCTCGCATCAAATTAAAAATTACTCAACTTTTTTCCAGTTTCGGCACTTGATATGCTGCCATTGTAATATTTTCATTTCGTGTGAATGATTCTCAAACCGTCACAAACTCTTTTTAATCTGTATTTCATGCTCTCGAGTAATGAATGCTGTAATTGCAGTGATATTTCAATCTCTGCAGCCACCATGAGCCACCCGTCACGATGATATTTAAAGATGAAAACATTCCCACCTTGGTAACTGATATTTTCCTGGTGTCAGGGGCTCTCCAAGACACTGGACTCAAACTGAGAGATCTTTCAGGACATCCTTCATGCCTTTTTTTTTTTTACTCTTGAAATCAGCCTCGTGGCAGATTGCGCCAAGAGAAAAAGAACTGATTGATGTCGCAGAGACCGGAGTGCAAAGCATTCTGGGATTTGGCCACAGCTGATCTCTCACTCTCCCTTTCTCCGCAAGAATGATTATGATTAAGTACGGGCGTGTGAAGGCGTGTGCACATGCGTACACACACACACACACACACGTTATTGTGATTTACAATGTGTATGCCTAAAGCGGCTTGCCTTGTGTTATTACTGATCTAACAGCGATGAAGATTAGCACGAGGCTGGAAATGTGGCACCAGAGCGCCACGAAAAGATTTCCAATCAATACATATACACTGAAACCTGCTCAGTGCCTTTAAAGGAAGGTTTTCGAATCATTCAGGAGCGAAGAATCTCACTTAAACTAACTTCTCTTGGGTGAAATCTTGCTTACTCACCGCCATATAGACACACCGTCCCTTTATTGTCCCATCACGACGACTTGTTTGTTATTCGTCGTCAACGCACTCTTAAGTTCTCCTCTGATGAGGATAATTTGTTTGCATTGAGATTAGGAAGGCCGGTGGAGCTAAGATGAGATGGCAAGATTTAGAGGATTTGGCCGAGTAGCGGATACTAAGAAGATTCCGGATTAGTTTTCCCCGCTACTGATTAGATGAGGAGGAGGGGAGGGGGGATTTTTCACTCTTTCGCTCTCTGACTGTGGGACGGTCACTCTCAGGGTCTGTGTGTTTCTCAGGGTGATTGGTACTCTGTTGGTGGTGGTATAGAGATGGATATAGGGGGGCTTTGTCTCTGACATTGACACCCCCTGCAGAGGGCAAGGGTCGAGGGCTTATGTGGAATCAGTCAGGGAATCTCCAGGAAGAAAGAAGTAGTCACAGTGGAGGAAAAACCCGACCTCCTCTATCCGTCTTTTAGCTCGTGGCCATGTTTGCTAGTCATGTGACACACACCTTAAACGCTGAGCACTGTTCATAATTTTTCACAACATTTCCTTCTCTTGCACCATCTTTCCTCCCGCCCCTCTCCTCTTAGGTTTCTGGCAGAGTTCCACGAGGATTTTTTCCCTGAGTCTGCATATGTGTCGGCATCAGAGGCGCACTACAGCATGAAACAACCCCGGCCGATTTATTGAAGGAGACGTCGGCTGTCGCGATCGCTCTTTGCTCGTGTCTCACCGACCTTTTCAGCTCGTCTGGACTCTCCAGGTCAACAAAAAACAGAACATTCTGGAGACGAGCTGGATTTAACTTCCTGGACCAAACCCCTTCTCCTGCTGTTGCTGCTAACCCTCACTTGTGCTTCGCCGTCTTGCTTTGCGTAGTTTTATAATTCCGCCCGCTAACGGCTGTTTGATTTCTTCAGAGGCCCTGTGTAATTCATTTGTAGAGTTTCCTGACTTGGCCCACGCCTTTTAAAGCCGGAAAGCTCATAAGTCTGTCGATGTCGTTGCTGCAAATTTGGAATATTGTGGCATGTTTTTCCTGAAAGCACGGGGACGCATCACTGTTTTGTCTCCAGCCTCTTACTATGCTTGTATCTCTGTTTTCAACGTCAGTGTTCGTTTCTTTCAAAAATATCGACAGGGTGCAGGGTTTCCCCTACATGAAATTGATCGGGGCGCACCGCCAAGGCTAAATAAAAGCCGCCACACCTAAAAAAAAAAAATAATTTTTCTTTATCATCTGTCTTTATCTTTCTGTTAATGTCAAAAGTCAACAGATACATCACAAATGGAAAAAGAAAAAACAGAAAGAGGCCTTTGCACGAAACTGTCTGTGCTCTTCCAAGTCCCGGCTACCGTAAATCTTCCAAAAGAGGCGCCAAGGGTCAACTGAAACCAATAAGGAATGACTGTTTTTGCTACATGTCTGAGGAGTTACCTGCAATGCTATTTCGAAAGCGATATAAAGGCCAACAGAAGAGACTTGCTTCGGAAAACTCAAAGATCCGACAATCCTTTAAAAAGAGGTGCACACTTGCGAGTGACAGCACGGCGTTTGATATGCTGTGAAAAAAACGGCAAAGGAAATATCTCCACACACATTTGACAAAAGTCTACGAAAAGAGAGAGACTGATTAACCGTTGGCGAATGATCAAATTTACCCATCCGCAGAGAGAGAATATCAAATATATCACAATATCAAACAATTTCTATCAGTTCTGTGATGATGCGCTTGAAAACGCAGCGCCTGCTTTCTAACTTATTCTATTCTATTGCATGTATGTCCTGATTTAAAGAGGCTGCTTTTGCATTTTTATAAACCTGTAGACTTCTTTGTGTATCATTTGTTTTTTGGAGCACTGTGCTCTGATTTTCTCTTAACATTTCTTCCAAATTTCCTCCAGCACCACAACTCAGCTAAGGGTCTTCTTTTTGGTAGCACCCTGATTTATTTGTCCGATCTCTTGTACAGTAAAAATGCTGTATATACTTTATTTCTCTTGTGTAAATAGGTAGGACTGTTGTAGAGTTTCTACAGTGTGTATGAACCCATGTTGTGTGTTTTTGAGTTAAAATAAAGACTTTCTCCACATACGATCTTGTGTCCTCACACCACACCAGGCATGTCAGTGTTTCTGAAGTCAAGTGCACATTTTCCCACCTTTGTGCTTCTCCACTGTAAAATGGATCATCTGAGAGCGTTGCAGATAGGCTGGAGTTATTGAACTCACCTCACAAAGCGCTCATCTATTAAAAGTTAAATGTAGACAGGAGACTTTTATCAGCTACCTTAACCTTCCGTGTCCCCGGACTGAAGCTGATTAAAACCTTAGAGCGTGAAAACGCTGCTGCCACAATCTGACGCGTTCAATCTGCTGCCCTTGTCTTTGCGGCCCTCGTGTTTGTGTTTGATCTAGTCTAGGGCGATCTTCATTAAAACAAGTGGCACCTTTTGATATAAAACTTGGGCTTGTATTAAGGGAGCTATTGATTAAAAAGTGTCTGAAGAGGGAAGACGGATCTGCCTCTCTGCGAACAAGTTGAAATTTCCTTGCGGAAGATGGATTGTTCTTTTTTGGTTTGAAGGTTCTTGGCAGAAAACGATCTTGAAATATCTTGTTCCAAATTTGTCTTCCAAATTTTAAGGATTTTGAGAAACCTACGGGGAATATTAAAGCACTGTTTTACTCCTACAAGTGCAGCAGAGATGGAAGAAAAGGAAACACTTTTGTAAGTAATTCTCGAACTATGAAGCTGCTAACTTGGTAGGCATAACATCAAAAATCTGGCGTTTGATCTTGTTTTCTTCAAGTTACCCCCGGCGAAGTTGCAACATTTATCGATGCACAGAGTTTTTTTCTTGTTTATCCGTCTCGCAACGAACCACTCTCTTAGTTTATCCCCTCTGTTCCAGTGGGAGTCTAGCTTACCTGGCCTCTCCTGTTTCATGGCCCTAATGGGTTTTAGTGGTGAGCCTTAACTGCATTTGCACTCAACCAGGTTTCTCGTAATGAACCGCTTACCATTGCAACCCAAGACAGCACTTTCCTCCCTGCCGCTATCATGTAGCCGCAGAAGCCACCAGTTTCGGCCTCTCCTCGCATCTGGAATCGATTTTCCTCCCCGCGCCGTCTCTATCTTCTTACCACATGATTCAATTGTTGAGAGGGAAAATGGGATGTAATGAGATGTGAGCTAGCACCTCTTAAGTGCTGCTGCCCGCACCTTTCACCTGATCCCGCCTCTCCTTTTGTTTGAATCCCACCCCGTTCCATCTCCATCAGTTGGGTCGTATGTTTCCTTTCCCCTCTGTGGTCTTTGCGGCTTCTCCTTAAGTCATTGAGTCGTTTCCTTTTCCTGCATCTTTTGTCTCGAGTTTCCTTTGAATAGTCTTTTGTCTTCCCTCCCTCTCTTGGACGTAGGAGTGCAAACAGCGTTTCTTCATCCCTTCATTTTTGGGAAAATCACAACATTTGTTCATGCATTCATCTACCTACCCATCTTCATCCAAGTCCCAGCCGTTTTTCCTCTTTCTCAGTCATCTCCAGGCTGCGCTTTCTTACCCCCCGACCTCCCGCCGTCTCTATTTTCCTTCTTGCACCATGAGCCGCAGAGATGGATTGCAGGAGGGAAAAGTGGACAGCAGCCCATCTGTTTCCTCTGACTCTTCTTGGACTTCATTTGACCTGAGCACTGACCTCACATCAGTCAGCTCGGACCAAATCTTGACTCCTCTGACGGCGCCCATCGGCTGGAAACCGTTTGAGGAACAGAACCCGAAAATGTCCTCTTCAATCAAGGTCTCCTCTGAAGTGCCGACCAGGGGGTTTGCATGGAGGGAGACATCTTTTCTCGGGGATGATGAGTGAGTACATGATTGTAATAACTGGAGCATTCATCAGGGACGGGGTGAGAATAAGTGACAGCAACACTTTCATCTGCAATCTGCTGGTGAGAAATAGGGTTCAGGCCAGTAAATTTTCACTAGACTTCAAATTAACATGCACTTAATGAGGTGTTAATTTAGCTGCATGTCGTCATATTGTCGCCTCACAAACATGCCTGGTCTACAAAGTTGTATAAGCTGATAGAAGATAGACTTGTATAGATATGCTTATTCATTATTTTTGAGTAAGCTTTTAAATAAAGCTCAAGTGAATGTCTTTAAATTGGCTGTCTGGTTTTCCCAGTTGAATGAAGCCAAATCCAAAATTCGACTATAAGAAAATATCCTGAAATTACTACGATAAAAATGATCAGTTGTTCAGAGAGCACTTTGACAAATTGCTTTACAAAGGCAGGAAGTTCATAAAAACTATCAGTAAAAGAATATATTGAATGATATAAGTGGTTATTTGAGTTTGGCACCAACTTTCATTGAAATTAAGACATTTTTTTAAGAAATCAAAACTTGATATATTAGCGACATGACCATATTGACCAAAGTCAGAATGGTTAGTCCTTTGGGAACCATGAATTACCCAACCAGACTATCCCAACCAGAGCCAGCAGGACCATATAGGTACCCACTGGCCCATACTGACCAAAGTCAATGACACAAATCCTTTGGGGGCCATGAAAATACAAAATCAGCTTAGGTTGGTGGGATTCTTTAGAGACCATAAAAAGACTAGCTGGACCAAACCGACTAAAGTCAGTGATGTTAATCATCAGGGGACCAAACCTTAGTGACTGAAATCAGTAGTATTACTCTGCTAGGGACTTGATCAGTCTGACAAATGCCATCCTCGGGGAACCAAGAAAATGCTACTGGTGTACTGATTGAGGTCAATGGTTCAAATTCTCTTGGTAACTTGGAAGTACCAACTTGACCACAGTTAAGTCTGTTGGTTTAACCCATAGACTGTATATAAGATGGACAGAGTCTGCCTCCTCGCTGGGTGAAGCCACTCCGAGAACAGCACCCTCTGATGATGGGCTGCAGTACAGGTCATAAATCCCGCCTCCGCCAGCAAAGCTTATGGGACTGTGGACAAACTTTAGAAATTTATTACACAGAACGTAATTTTTTCTCCCCCCGGTTGTGATGTTGACATGTAGTTATTGTGAGACTGGTTTGTGCTCAAGTCCTTTTTTTTCCGTACAGCTCCGTTTTTAAAAGTTATTAGGGGGTTCATGTTTTCTATGATTGACACCTGGTACAGCCTATGGGCGTTCAGGGATTCCGTAGCTCTTCCGGGGGAATACGCTGTTTGACCCGAGCGTCATCACAGGGACTCTCGGCGACTGCGCGGCCGAATGCGCACAACGCTACTGCACAGCTCTGGTTTCAAGGAAGCGGAGAAAAACCCGGAATTACCGAGAGCCGTTTGGCTTCAAATCCGTATACAGGTGGAAGGCGGAACCACGGCGTCCATCTTATATACAGTCTATGGTTTAACCCTTTAGAGACCCTGAAAATACCAACACGACCATATTCAATCCTCTTGGGACCTTGAAAGTACCAGGTCCTGTTGCTGTCAGGTGTCTTGCTGGGTAGAATGAATCCAAATCGCGGCTTCTAGACTCCGATTCAAAGAGCAGTTGAAAAAAAAACAGTTCTCAGATCAGTTTTAACTATGCTGTTTGAGCTTGACCTGTCATTTAAATAACGTCTAAGCCTCATTGCGTTTTAGTGAGTGCCAGAATGCAGAATTATTGTCTGACTGCATCAATCAGTGGATTGACTCAGTCTGTGATGTGCATTTCACTGGTGTGGACTACAACAGACTATAATGACTCCCTTGGTACAAACACAAGGTCCGATCAATATGTTTTCATTATGCCTGACAGTATCAATATGAGGCTTGGCGGACTTGTTGAGCTTGTGTTGGCATATCACCGACATTCAGAGAAAAGCATCCCTGATAATCGGAGTCCTTTAAAAAGTGCTGTTACATTTGGTTCAGGAAAATAACCTCCGTAGGACACAAGAGACGAGGATAAAAGATCCCCTCCAGTATCTCATGAATCCAAGTGCTCTCTCTCTGAGACTTAGCTTTCAGCGCGCAGTGGCGATGATTATCTGTTTCATCTGGTTCTAATCATGAGTGGTTCTGTAATGGGACTCTGATTCCCAGTCGCAGGACTGTGAGAGCGGATAAAACAAGTCCCCGCATTAGTTTAGATAGATACCATAAATCACCTCTCCTCCTTGAATTCTTATGAGTCTGTCTCTAGCAAGTGGAAAAACGCAGGGTGTTGTTCATCAAGCGTTTCTTTTAAGCTTGCTTTTGTGCACTCCCTATCACTCCGCTCTGATATACAACCGCCCTTCCACAGAAAGACGAAAGTTTGAACACACTCACATGCGGGTAAGATGTCTTGAAATCTTCTCTTGCATAAAGACTGACAGAGCTTTGATTGAGGAATATTCCAGAGCCAGTTTATGGTACTCTTGCATACACGATTAAGCTGCCCTGTTACCCCTTATTCCACCGAGCTGGCGCCAGTGTTCGATCCGAGCTGGTTCAACTTGCAAATTGTTCTGCTCTCCGCTGGCTGGGGCCACAAAGGAGCTACATCATTGCGCTGCTACATGCATCGGTGAGTACGGCCACCAGTCAAGATCAGAAAGCACATGTTATTGCATTCATTTGATCCCCAAATCAAGACACTGCCAGAGAATTGCTTCATATTACTAGTATGAATGTCAAAACTGTTTTGAAATGCCTAAGAATTAAGTAGATCGCAATGTACGGTTGAAATGTAGCAATTTATTTTGGTAGAACAACAGTAATCTAACAGCCTCAGGATAAACGTGTGCGTTTGTGGAAACAGTCCAGATCTAAAGGGAAGGAAGCAATTTCCATTTACCAAACTGACAACTTTCTCAATGTTTTGGTTAAAAATAGTCATTTGCAGTGATTTCCTGAAATGTTTTATTGTCTCTGAAGTACTGCCTCTTGAATATCAATCTGTTCTCGCAGCTTTAGCTAAAAAGCCTCTTTTTCTATCTGTCATGTTTCTGGTAAAGCCTGAGCAGAATTTGCATTGCAATTGCATGGAAAACTAGCTGTTACTTCTCATATTTCTATCTCTCTTGGTCTGCTGCTGACTCTGACTCAGTAATATGCAGGGAAATAGTTAATGCTCTTGTGCTGTATTTAAA